GTATTTGTGAGTAAGTGAATATAATGAACCTGACTGGAATTAGAACACTGCTCTCCAATTTCCAATTCCATGCCATTATCCATTACATCACCTGCACATCCAAGCTTACAACACATGGTATTGCCAAGTGATCATCCATCTAGGTACTGACCAGGCTTGATGTTTCTTAACTTTGGTGATTGTATGAGAACTGGTTATTTCAATGTAGTTGTTTAAGTCCTTTTGTCAGGAAGATGTGTGTTGGGTTGACATTTTCATTCAGCAGGGTGACACTCTTACAAAAATGTTCTGATTAATTATAATGAACAGTTTCATTCAGCCTGTTCAGGGTTTCACAATGTTTATCTGTCTTGTTTGGCTTTGTCATATAATGTTCACATTTAGCACACCATTTTGCAATTCAGAACACAGCTACTATCAATTTCTTCACTTTTTTAGCAGATGATGAATGCTTCCAGGTCACAGAATCAGCCTTTGCCTCTAAGGTAACACTATGCACCCAAGTCTCACTAATTATGTTCCTTAAAAAGTCTATCAGTCCTCATCAATACTGAGTTTCTTTTTTCTGTTTAAATTATTTCATCCCAAACAAGGCAATAGAGCCACGAAAAGACAAAGGGGCTACTGAGTGTCAAAGAATAAGAATAATTAAGGAGAGAAAACAATAATAGAACAGGAATTAAGACAACAAAAGATAGTGATTGATATTGCATTTAAATCTTTCAAGATCAAAGTTGAGTGGAAAGCAAGAGGCCAAAAGGCTTGAAACTCCGATATATGACAACTTTTTGTAAATGATTTCATGGAAGATCTTCTCTATCACCATATTTGAATATAAATCAAAGACAATATGAACAATTTTTGTAAATGATTTCATGGATGCTAGTAATTTATTCAGATTTGTAAATTCCAAGATCAATACTTTGTGTTCATGGCATGTTCACCATCCACAAGTGAATTTGAATCATTTTAAATCAAATGTAAAAATTTTATTACACTTTGCATCTTTATGTTCGTCTACTATTTTATATTGGCTACCATCTTTGTTGTGATGTCCCATATGCATGCTCTTAATATTAAAGTTGTCCTGGGGTGTTACGAGAAATATTGCATACCCATTCCCTGTTGTTTTGGGCTTACTGATACAATATTATAACTTCAGTCGACATATCTATACTTGTGAGCTTCACTTCTATTATGCTGTTAACACTGCAGGAACCAAAAATTAAATATGTTAATACTTTCTTCAAAGATAAAATACAGTTCATATTTGAGGCAAACAAATTTTTGAAATTATCAAGAACTGTGTAAAGGAAATAGTTGTTTACTAAGCATAAGTTAGTTATGACAAAAAGCTAAAAGTGAGTGAGGGTTACACACAATACCCATTAAGCTTAGTTTACTTTCTGACCCAAGACCATAAATATACAGCACCCAATGAGTTTGGGTGGTTGATCTGTTTTCTACAGTTTATCAACTCTTTGCAGGTTATTTAAAGTCAGAAAATATTTTTAGTTTGTAAGAATTCTTTTGGCGATAATAATGGTTTAATGATACAAGTCTTACTAATTAATCCATAGCAGGAGAGAGAAGAGGTGGATTCATAGCTTTCCCAAGGATATTTGTGTGTAAGTGAATATTAATGAACCCAATGGGAATAGGAGCTCGGCTTTCTAGTTAATAATTCTGAGCTATTATCCATTACACCTAAAGAAATACATAAAAAGTTAATTATACTGTCACTGTGTTGTAAACATAAAAAATAAAAATTAATTATAGTGTCAAAAATAATTATAAAATAATTATAACAATTATAATTATCAATAATTCATTCATTCTAAACCAATGAAAATCAACCCCACTTCTGTCCTCTATACACACACACAACATTCTCACAATCAGACAGGCAGTCAACAGGGACAGGCCATCAACATGTGTGTTGACAAAAATTTTTTTTCTTTTTTCCGGCCATAATAGTAACATTCATCTCTTAACACTCTACAAAAATTTGAGGTAAGAAACTGGACACTCAGTAAAAACATCTATAAAAAGACTTATAAGAAAGACTATTCTACCGGATTCTGATCCATATTTAATCTACATTTGACCCCAGACTCACAATTTTACTCAGTATTCCTATCTCTCATGTTTCCAACGCCACATAATAAATAATACTAATTTCCACATCTTGCTGTTTCTCATTTTACAAGTATTTTTGCATATATAAATGTTGGGAGTGGGGAGTATAATTGTTTACTCAGAGTTATAACTCCCCTACACACCACCTGCACATCCAAGCTTGCAGCACCTGGTACTCCAAAGCAGTACTAACTACTATCTAGATACTAACCAGGTTTGACATTGTTTAACTCCAGTGATCATATGGGTACTAATATTTCAATGTGATATGGCCGTAAGCCCACATCCAGTGAGGATTAAAGTTATAATTCAGTAGTAATGCTCTGCCACACTGGCTCAATAACCACTATCAGCAAGGTGCTCATGAATACCATCAAAAGCAATCTTTTGGGGATGAGGTATTGTAAATATTTACACTATTTACATTGTTCAGACTGTTGTCCTCATCTTTATTGGTTTGATTTATTTTGTTTAATGGCATATCAATCTCAATGGGTTAATTAATGCCGACAACATTTTTAGGATAGATTCATATGAATAGAATATGTATTCTTTGGTTTAGATTGGTTAGGGTTATTTTGTTTTACGGCATATCAACCTCAATGGGTTATTTAATGCCGACAATTTTTTATTGCTGGTAATATTTTGTTTTGTCAAAAATCTGTTTCTGGTAATATATTTCCTTCAAAACTGTATTGCTGGAAATAATTTCTTCAAAAAAATATTGCTGGTAATAGTTAACTATTTGCCCATAGCTGGGATCCTAACAGGAGCTACCAACCCAGGTCAGGGTGGACCTGGAAACACCAGCAATTGTGGTTCCATGCTCCTCAAAACCTCCTGATCAGAGGCCTTGCTGCTGGACATAGTTTAACATCTTACCCAGGACAGTCATCTTTATTGTCCCCAATAACAAATGGCTTAATAGACAAAAGTGTTAGCTGAAGTGATCCAGTGACTTGACACAAGGAGTTGTGAGTTCAATACCTGGCTAGGCCGAGTTGAACAAAAATTTGGAGAGTTGAATTACTAAAGGGAAATAACTGAAACTGAGATATCCAGAACAACTAGAACAATCTACCCCAGTGGACTAAATAAAGGATTAGGTTCGAAATCCCAATGTATATCACCTGAAGAAGGATGAAGCATATAATAGCTGAAACATTGCAAATATGACAATAAAGGTGAGGACAACAGTCTGAACACTGTAAATAGTGTTAATAATCAAAAACAATTGATGACATTAATGCAAGACCAACAGCAGCCATTGAAATGAATAAACAAAAATTAAAATGGATTTACTATGTCTAAATAAACAATTCTAAATATGAATAAACAAAAATTAAAATGGATTTACTATGTCTAGCTTCGATTTGGTACAAAAGACAAGTACATGACACTCTGTGAGGATCAAACTCATTTTCAATAATGTAATGATCTGTGAAACCAGTTGTTAACATTTATTTTTCTGGGGGCGAGGGGAGGGGTAAAAAAAAAAAAAGCAAAAATTAAAGAAATCTTTTATAAAATCCATTTCCTTATATTGTTTCAGATGGGCCTAAGTGTACACACTTGGGTTCCCCACATTAAACCTGACCTTGTGTCACATCTCAACTTGGGTAAATACTATCAAGTTTCAGGTGGAAAAAAAAAAACAAAAAAAAAAAAAAAAAAAACAAAGAGAAGTTTGATTTGATAGATTTTCTGAACATTTTTACAAAATAGTAAAGTTGGATGAGTGAGTTCCCATGTATCAAGCTGTAATGTTGGGAACATTTTCTCAATACACTCTACTTCCTTTTGGTTGCCAATATTTTGGCTTTCTCCAATTTCTTTCTTAATAGACTTGCTTCACCTACAAATAATAGATTCTTGTCTACTTTTCATAGCATTTTCCCAAATATCATGAGAAATAGAAAAGAAAATTTTATTTATAGTTGAAAAGAATCAGAGAAATCCAATATAAAAAAAAAAATCACATTAACAATGTCAATAAAACATTTAGATATTCTTTGAAATCATAAAAAACAAATGTATTTTAATAAGAAATTAGTTTTTTATAAAAGTCATAATCCTTTCCTACAAATGGTAAAGTTGATTGGTTGTTTTTGTTTAGCAACTGTGGCGGACATGAGACAGAACCTGGGACAAGCACAACCGGTCGCGACTTGCCTTGTCCCCGCCAAAAAAGAGCCCGTATTTGCTTAGTATGTAAAGCTACAGCAGTTGAAATGAGGGAGAGAAAAAAAAGGCACTTACCGCTCTGCCGTAATACATCCTCGGCCAGATAACGTAAAAGAATGAGGGGGGACTGGCATTGCATTTTTATGCAATAACAATGCAATGCATTATGGGACATGGACGCAATGAATTATGGGATCACATGAAGATGCAAGGGATTATGGGTATATGAACAACTATAAAAGCAACTACTTTTTTCCGAGTTGGGGAGTTCTTCGAGGGACGTTCACGGTTGACGGCGAGAACGGGCAGTTAGTGTGATTTTGAGACAAAACTCAAGAAGGAACGACTCAAGGTTGAAATACCAGCTGGGAGAGCTTGAATTTACTCGCTGGTTACTGTTTTCTTTATTCGCCTCAGCAACATATCAACTTCTATGGGTTATTTAATGTCAAAATCTAAATATCTTGTATGCAATTTTATTTTTGGGAGATAATAATGGTTTAGTGATACAAGTATTACTAATTAACCCTTAGCTGGGGGAGAAGAGGTGGATTCGCACCATTTCCAAGGGTATTTTCACGTAAGTGAATATAACAAACCAACTGGAATTGGAACTCATCTCTTCAGTTAACAATTCCTAGCCATTATCTATTACACCACCTGTACATCCAAGCTTATGGCATCTGGTATTCCCAATGTCACCCAACTAGCTACTGACCATGCACGACATTGCTTAACTTCAGTGGTCATATGGGAACTGGTGTTTTAACATGTGACCTTAGGCCCTGGCAGAGTTGAGAAAAAACAGTTTCTCCTACAAAAAGGATAAAATTCCTTTTCACAAGTGACAGAAATCTAAAAGGAAATTAAATCAAGAAACAAAATATATATTAGTAATAGCAGTAGTAGAAGGCATCCATTTATCTCTCAAGATAATGGTAGCGTTCTGTTTGGTCAAAATTCAGTCCTTTTGTGAGTAGCGTCTGAAGTTGTTTAACAGTTTAATCTTTTCATGGCCTTCTCTTCTGCAGATGAAACAGATGAAGCTGGAATGTGGAACGAAGATCTGAAAATCTCTATGCTTTCTTTGTTTTCATTTAATCTCCAATTTGGTTTCATTAAAGCCCTTCATGACTCCTCCTTGAACCAGAAACTGTGATCGTCTGCTAGCTGTTCCAAACTATCAGTACCAGAGTCAATGGTTGTGAGTTTCAGATCTCTCTTACAGATGTTTTTGAAAAGTGGTGCAGAGTGATCTACTGGATGGTCATGGCTAGCTCATTGTACATTATGTCTTTTGGTATACAACTATCATTTATTTGGTGTACTTGACCCAGTCATCAAAAATGACATTGACAAAAGATGATGTATGCTATATATATATATATATATATATATATATATATATATATATATACACACACACACACATACATACACAGTTGTTAAGTAGAGTGTAGTGTCTGCCCAATCCACAACTGAGTTGGAATCAGCTACACTGAGAAACCTAAGTGGAGAGGAATTGGGATGGGGCTATGAGAGAGAAAGAGGAAGACAAGTAAGAGGTAAGAAAGTATGGAAAAAATAAATAGAGATGGAGATGATAGAAAGATTTCTTGACTAGATGTAAAGAGACTGAGTGAAAAGCAGAGGCAGTTCGAGATGGAAAGGCATAAAAGACAAAATTCTTTATGGTGGGGCAGAGAGAAAGGGAGAAAGAAAGCAAAAGAAATGTAGAAAGGAGGCAATATATCTCTGAAATTTCTTATTACTTTATTAAATATGAAATTTGGATAAAAATAAAATTGAATAGGGAAGAAAGAAATAAGATTCAGTGCAAAAGGTATATCTCTGAAATTTCTTATTACTTTATTAAATATGAAATTTGGATAAAAAGACATAATAAGAGAGAGGATGGGATGGGAAGAGAGAAGAAGATTCAGTGAATGGTGGGGAAGGTAAGAGAGAGACATGGAGAGAGAGGAGAGAGAATGGTTGAATCCATGAGAATGGTTCTCAACACCTGTGGAATTTTCCCATGCTTAGATAATTCCAATTGCATCAATTTACATTTTAATTTTTTGATAAAATTCAAAAAAGGGATAATCTCCTAATTTCCATTCAGATAAACATTAGTTTGTTTGCCCACTTCCCACTGATGAAAACTTGACATCTACAAATTCAAATGTAGTAATGGTTGACTGTACAACATGAAAAAATTTGATGCAAGATTACACTCCCAAATACTTAGATTTTAAGCTTAAATTAGTCTTACTTCTAGATTTACTGCAATGATTTTTATACAGCTTTTAAATTTATATATCTTACCAACAGCACAGGTCAAACTAACAAAATTCTACCAGCCTACCACACCCACCCAGAAAAAAAAATACAGACAGGTGTTCAGTTTAAAGGTAAAACATCTGAATAGGACAACAGCATTCTTCAGATTCTTTCATCATTTCTTCTGAGGCTGTGAATGTCCTTTGTTGGATGTAGGCCGTCCCCAGATTAGGCCATTACCTTACTGCGCTGGCCTAATGAATGTTGGTAGGAGTGGATATGACACTTTTGGGTGATCATGTCTCTTTTTGATTCATCATCTCCCAAGGTTATTTACTCAAGTTAATAAACCCAATAGGAATTCAAACTCAGCTCTCCAATTTCTCATCCCAAGCTGTTATCCATTATACCAAGCAGTTACTCATCTAGGTTACAAACAGGATCAACATTGCTTAACCCTAGAACATTAACCATCAATTAAAGTTACACCATTACTAATCATGGGTATATCATACCCGATTTTGAAAATATCAAAAAAATATCTTCATTTGAAATATTTTACATGCAGGCACTTCAAATTTTGTACTTTGAGTTAACATTAATAGGAACTGAAAAACATTATTTAGGTAAGAAAATCAGGTACTGAAAATTGTAATTAAAAATAGAAAAATTTGTGCTGAGTACTATATACCATGGTTAGTATTCTAGGATTAAGTTCAGTCATCAGATGGGAACTAGTGTTTGAACATGATGTGGCCATAAACCTTTCAGGAGTTCACATGTCTTTAAATTTTCACATGTTTGCTTATTCCACAATACAAACCAAACAATAATAATAATAAAATAAAACAAGTTTTCCAAAAGTAGGGATAGAAATAAATAATACCTTGCATCATTATTATTATAATTTACTGGTGCCAACATAAACTGAAAAATATGAGAGGTAAATAATGTCTTGTAGAAAAAAGTCTATATAAAATACATAATAAAATCTGAAGTAGTATAGATTGTATACTATTCCCACATGCATTATAACAATATAAACTCCAGGTATGTTTACCTGGCCTTCCCACCAAGGCTGAATAGGATAATATTTTTCATTAATTTTATAATCATTTTATTAACAAGAACATATATTTTCTTTAATTAACATTTAACTTCTACAAAAGTAACTGTTGATAATGACATAATAATATAAGCTACAATAAAGATCCCGTTCAGTACCACAAATTTGCTTGTCACTTCCTTAATCAGTTGGGCATGTCCTCTAGGGGATGATATACTGTGCACCCCCGTTTATGAGCCAGAATAGTGGAAGAGCATCATGGCTAGATATCAAGAAAGTTGTCATTTTTTTTTAAAAGTTTGATGGCAGCCACAGCAACTTGGGTGTCTCATTTTGATTCTTGGGAACACCCTCAATTGGTGACTAGGTGGCCAGAATTTAACTGGGTTCCACCTGCAAGGTTATGTGCTGATTTTAATATAACTTGTCATCATATTGTACACAATTGGCTGTGATGCGTATACTTACTATACACTTATTAGACTGGGTGCCATGACAAGTATCATATTATTGACATGCTGCTCTCTCACTCAGCAGTGATGATAAAGATGGCACACGTAACAGTGGGAATATTTTGGATATTTAATGCGTTTAAGAGTAAGTGGTGCTGGTACCCAACTGTTCCAGCAAATGTCTATCAAGGTATTTAGCTCTAGTGTATTTGGAGAAGGTACACCAAGGGAAAATGGGAACAAAAAGAACACTTATACTTAAAGTCAGAAAAAGACAGTTGAACTTTCTATGGAAAGAGGGCTTGAAGAATTTGACACACACAAAACATTGAAAGTAAGAGGCACAGGGAAAGCTGCGAATAACCAACGAGCTTGTGTAAAAATAGTTGACACTAGCAACAACAGGAAGTTGTGGAGAACTATGATCGCCCACATGCTGAAGAGAAACGGCACATAGAAGAAGAGCAAGAAGTGTTAAAGACACATTAAAATTCCTGACGGACCAATACTTTAAAGTTAGTTTCAAAAACAGAGGTAAGAAAAATTGCCAACCCATTTTAAAGGCAATGTTTTAAAAAAAGACAAACCCCACCATCCTCCTTGCCTAAAATAACTAAAAAAAATTAATTTACGACTGAACAAAAAAGGATAGCTTTTTTTTTTTTTTTTTTGTCAATAACCATTTTTAAAAAATTCAGTTGTGAATGCCTCTTGACAAGATTTCTCCGTCTTGGTTATAAATCCAAATCAACATGCTAATCTTTTTTGTGCGTCTTTTTAAAGAGAGCAGTAACATTTGGGACCGCAAATTTTGTTACTTTCAATGGTAAAGGTAAAAGTAAAACTAAAAATGCAGATTAACGGCCCTCTGCGCGGGCCTCCAAACTGGATACAATTCATTGTTTTTATTTTAAAACAGGTACATTTCATTTTCATTGTTTTAAAATAAATTGTGGCAGAGCAAACAGATCTTGAGATTCTTTTCTGAATAAACATTCGCAAATATACTCTCTCATTGATGAGGAGTTTTGTTATTTAAATTTCGTGTAGGGGCGGGGCGTTATTCCTCATTTTTTTTAAACCTTCATTGAACCAAATTTTATATTTCTCTACTTATCCGGACTTTGTTTGTAGTTTATTTTATATCTTTATTTGTGCATCTGCAAATTCAGTCACAAATAGTGAACAAACAATAAAAATAAAGTAAACATTGATAAATAAAAAAAAAAAAAAAAAAAAAAAAAATCAAACATTGACTTTCTAAATTTACGTATCACTTGATTTGTTTGTTCCAAAATGTCCTTTCCACTTATTTGGTGCAAAGGGAAAAATATTTTCAGGATTTTTCCACAAGTGAATTTATAAAAAAAAATGAATTTTGGGGAAAAAAAAAAAAACAAAACAAAACACAAACATACATTCTCGGTTAAAGTAAAGTAGATTTTTTTTCACAAATCCTAAATTAACTTGCTTGAATGTAGAGAGGGGTCCTTAAATTACCTTAGGGACTCCGGGAGGGACCCAACCCAAGGAATACCTCAGTTTTACAAGTTTTTTAAAAAAACACACACACACACTATTTGGTGCAAGAGTATAAAGTTTAAATCTCGAATTTAGAATTTGAATAAAAAAACCTGTTAAAACATTTTGAAAGGTACCTTTTATAATCGAATTAGCAAGAAAAGTTTAAGGATATCAATTTACAAATTTTACACATTGAAGCAACAAAAATAAGAAAAAACAAACAAACTTGGCAATAGTAACAATACAAAAATAATGCTACAAAACAAAAAAAAAATACAGTGGGAAAAACTTCAGATAAAATTTTTTTCTATATTTTATACAAATTTTAAAAAAATTCTACAATAATTTTATTAAAGAGCGAAAGAAAATAAAAAAAAACGAAACATTTCGAAGTGGTTTCAGTTCATTTTGAAACGAATGACGGACAGAAAAAAGAAAGGAGAAACTCTTACGATTTAAGAAAAAAAGTTGAGAAACCTGTTTACAAGAAAATTTTAAAAAGATTATATTGGCAAATTAATACAAAAATGCATTTTTTGGTAATATTCGCAATAAAATATTAGTAGACAATAAATAGTCTGACGCTTCTTTCTTTAGCCATGTGATTTATCTGGGGGTATAGAAAAAAAGAAAAGAAAAGGGAACTCATCTGGTAGTCAAATACTTTAAAAAAGGCAATGTACCTTTTTTTTTTTTTTTTAACCCTTCTTTTCTAATTAAGTATATTATTCATGGTCACAATATTTGTCACATTCTCAGACACACGTGTTTTAATTGCTGAAATACAGTCATAAAGAAAGAATTAGGATTGAAATTTACATTCGTTGCCAATAATTTTTTTGTATTTTACTTTTAGTATTAAATTAATATTTTTAAGTAATTTTAAAAACTCAGTTGATTTTTTTTATATCACAAGAATCCATCCTACAATTTAATTTATATTCTAAAATGTTGAAATATGAAAATGACATGTATTTGAATTGCAAGTTTCAAAAACAAAACAATCGTACGCCCAACGTTAACCATTGTAAATTCTTTTTCGTATAACCTTTTTTAAGTTTTATGAAATAAATAATAAAAAAAAGACGAGATTAATAAACAAGAAAGAGAAGCAAAGTTAAAAATAACTTACCGCTAGTAAGGATATTAATTCCTTTCGATCTCAAAGTAACATTTCCAATTTCCATTATCTTTCTTCATAAAACATATCCAGAAAATAAACTTTTGACAGAACGAATAATCAGTCAAAAAGTCTTTCTTTTTCTTCTAAGAAATTAACTTCATAAGAAAAGAAAGAAAAGTTTTTGTGCAAAAATCAAATCAAAAAGGAACCAAAATGCACAACGCTTCCACCAAAAACAAATATATTACTTAAATTAGTTACTAAAACTAAAGGAAGATACATTAGTTTTCTTTTGTCTCTTTCTTTATGCATCCAAAGCCATTCTGGTTTTCTTTCTTTCTTTGCTGCAACTTGTTTTAATGTTTACACAATGATGGTGTTTAGAAGAATGTCCAGGTGTTAAAAAAAACGTGTTAGTGGCGAACTGATCTCAATAATTAAACTGAGATCTCAAGCCGAAAAAAATAAATAACCACTAAAGCAGCTGCCAGCGGCGGCTATCAAAAACAACAAAAAATCTCAATGTAGGTAACTTAGAAAAGAAGGAAACATTTACGCAAACGATCATCACAATTCACACATTTTCTCTTCGTGTATTTTATCACTTAGTTATGTCTTGATCGATTGAAATAATAATAATAATAAGATGAATGCAAAAAGAGGAATTGCTCATGCGGAGTGGCAAAAATATATAACCATGGCAACTGCTAAACATTTGGGTGGGGGGAATAATACTAAATAAAAATAACAATCAATAAATCTAAAATATCTGTGATTTTTACAAGCACATCGTCTTTATTTTCTAATTTATGAATTTTTCAATTTTTAAAAATAATTTCGGGAAAAATGTTTATGAGTTAAAAATAATTTAAATAAATTAAATAAAATAACCATTGCTTATTTTTTTCTCAAATTTCAGATAACAAAATTTAAGTTGATGCTTTAAAAAGTGTTTAAATATTCCTAAAAAATCATCGTACATCATTTTTAAAAAATAAACATGCAAGGATTTGAATTCAAGTCCAATTTTTCATTTTTATTATTTTTAAATTAAGTACTGAATAAAACTAAATTTCAGTCATTTTATTCTCAAGAAAATGTAGAATTTGTTGTGGATTATTTTTTTGTTTATTTTTTAATAACCAAATTTACAAACATCTTATTGGATAAAATACATTTTTTATATTGTTTACTTACTTTACTTTAGAAGAATTCGTTTCGTTTCGTCTCGTCCTTTTTTTCAATGATACCTTGTCATTCTTTTTTGGTCGTGACTCCGATGGCGGTTGATTCAAACTACTAAAAGTTTATGTCGTACGGTAAATCATTTTTTTTCTAAATGAGACGTTTATCAACTGTTAAATAGGAATTTTTCTTTACGTAAATTACATTAAATCACCTCTTTCTCTTCATGTATTTAACATTACAGCTGCATTATAGTTTTTTTGTTTTTAAATTGTGTAATGCTTTTTTAATAACAAAATTTCTTCTTCCTTGCACGTGTAATAAAAAGTCTTACGAAATTTGGAAAATATGACTGTTTACAGAAAAAACAAACAAAAATTTCATATTCAATTTTAAATTTAAGATTCATGTTATCAAAAATAAATCTTTTTTTATTTCTTAAACTTAAACTGACAACAATCAATTTAATTGTCTGTTCTTGAAATGTTCATTTCTTTTTTTTTTTAGTAGAGACTAGAGAATAAAAAAATGCTATATTTCTTATTTAATTTTTAGGTTCGACAAAAAAGTGGTTTTATTTTAAAATACTAACTGTAATATTGATTCTCACGTTACGCTTTACGAATAATTTTGAAAATTTAAAAATGCAGAGGAAAATTAAAACGGCGATTTATTTTATTTATTTATTTATTTTTTGGTTGTTTATTGTTTTTGTTTCAGTCTGTTATGTGCCATGCGTGATACACGCTTAGGCGATCATGTATTTTTTGGTACATGACTGACGAACCAGATTTTTTTTCCCGCAGTAGGTTGATGCCATTTCTTTCTGCGGTAGACCAGTTGCCATTCAAGGCTACAGAACCCAGTCTGTCCTGTTATTTACTTATAGCTTGGGGGAGAAGAGGAGGATTCATATCTTTCCCAAGAGTAGCACATAAGTGAATGTAAATGGGTTCGACTAGAATTCGAACACAGTTCTCCAGTTCCTTAATCCGAGCCGCTCTAACCATGATTACTCCACCATAGTTTATCAAATTATTTTATTGCTTTCGTCTATCCTGAAATTCATCACTAAGATGTTTTGCTGCAATAATTCAGTTTTCCAGTATCAAATGTGAAATTTATTATGTTTCGATTTTAATAATTATTTCACACTTCGGTTTTAATATTTTTCTTTTTTTGTACAAAAATGATTTTTCTGTCATGTCCTTTCTTCAGGATGTAGACGTTCAAGACATTCCACCACTTGCTCTTCTTACTTTTCGTAACTCGTAGTCGTCTCCCTTTTTAGTACGGACCACATTTCTTTTGTCTGATGATTTATTCTGCTCTCAGACTCAAATAGTTTATTCTTTGTTTCCTCCGTTTCTTCTACCTTTCCAGTGTGGCCTGTGAATGTTAGATCCTCTAAGCCTTCTTTTCTCACTACACATCCGACATATATTACTTGTTTTTGAGCAGCAATTTTCTTTTAGTTCCTATTTCCTAAAAATCTTATTCGTTGCTCACATGCTCTGTCCATAGTATTCTCTGCATTCATCGGTAGAACATTTACTGTTAAAATTACTAAACATAACCGTAAGTTCTAGTCTAATATTTCCTTCTCTCACATTTCTTACCTGTGGAATTCTTTCCTGAGAACTACAGGCTTACAGCCATAAGAGTGTCATCCTGCCACATAAAAATGTCATCCAACACACATATTCTTGGCCAAATGGCTTATGATCACAAACACCAAATCACCTAAGTTAAGCAACATCGAGTCTAGTCAGTATTTAGATGAATGTTGCCTGGGAATACCAGCTGCTGTAAGCTTGGATGTGCAAGTGATGTAATGGATAACATCTCAGAATTGTAAATCTTCTTCCCCCATCTATGGCTTAATTAGTAGGAATTGTATCGATAAATCATTATTATCATCATAATCCAAAAATATTTTCTGGCTTTAAACAACCTGAAAAGGGTTGATAGGCCATAAAAAATAAATCATTCAATCAATCCTGTCAACTACGATCTGCAAAAATTTAAATGCAATGTTGATCATCATCATCTGTCTCCTTGAATCCTGTTCTATTTATTGTCCTTTCTTCTTACTAATGTTTTCTCAATTTCATTCATTCTTGCTTGTTTAGAAGCATATAAACTCCTTATGGGTCATTTAATACCGAAATTTAATTTTTGGGGGAGTATTAGTAATCTTTTACAAAAATGTATTGCCGGTAATATTTTGTACTATGAAAATGTATTACTGGTATTTTTAGTTTAAAAATGTATTTATTCTTGCATAGTGTTTTGACCCCAGTTTGGAAGTTAACTATTTGCCCATAGCTGGGACTCTAACAGGTGCTACCTGTACCAGAAAACGGGGAGAAAAAAAAACAACTTCTTGGGACACAAAAACGAACGCCTACTTGCGAACCTGAAACGAATGCGACACAAAAACAAACACCTTTTTATGAACGAACACTTTACGACAGCAAACGAGCACAATGGCACCCAAGACTGCTGCCGACGGACGACCGACCGCAACGACTTGTGTCACCCAGAAAAGACACCAAATGACTCGCGCGTCTTCTTCTTGTAGTCCTTGGTTGAGTCCATTATGGTACTCCAAGGTGCGCCCAGCGACAACACACACACACACGCAGTTCAAGGATGTTTCCGCGCATGCTCGTTACACTCCTCCCTGATCTCTAGATCACACAAATGGCAATGTGGGGCAGGCCATTTCTGCCTGGTTCTCCGTCTCAGTGGTATGGTCTCGAGCGCTTCCTCAGTGGTGCTCTCTTCAGACGTCTCACTGAGCTCATCCCGCATAGGTTCATCAGGCGCACTACTCTCTGAGGTGTGCTCTTCCTGCGATTTTGTATATACCATCAGGGCTTCATCAGAAGAAGAAGATGAACTAACATGGTTGCTAATGGAATAATCCTTCCTGCACGCTGGACGCACATCTTTTATGTGGCGCGGTATTCCATCAACAGAGACGGAGTGTGGGCTATTAATTTGTGTCACCGTACCCTTGTTGAACTGTGTCGTACACCTTCCATGCGGATTTTTCACCCAGACAGTCTCTCCTACCGTATAAGGATTGGCAGCTCTGTTGTCACGCACCAAAGCTGCGTCGATACCATTAATGCGGACCCTGTAAGTGCAGGTTGCATTCGCTAGTGCAGTTGAAGCTGTTTTATTGTCCTTTGGGGTAACATTGTGCCAATATACAGCTTCCAAAACTGAACACCATGTTCTTGTTGTGATGCGCTTTATTGTACGATGGGATCTCTCAACTATTCCATTCCCCAATGGTATTTGGGCACAGCAAAATCGTATTTGTACATTCCACATCTTTGCAAACGTGGCAAACCTCTCTCCACAAAACGCTGCACCATTATCCGTAAGCAGCTCAACTGACATATTAGTTCTGCCTTCTCCAACCATTCCACTACCGACTGTCTAGAATCGCTTCCGTCGAACAGTGATATCAGCTTCGGTTGAAAGCCAAATTGCCGAAATAGCTTGTGCAAGAAAACGGGGGGGGAAAAAAGAACAAAAAAAAACGCCTACTTGCGAACCTGAAACGAATGTGGCACAAAAACAAACGCCTTCTTGCGAACTAACACTTTATGACAGCAAACGAGCAAAACGGCACCCGAGACTGCTGCTGACGGACGACTGACCGCAACAGCTTGTGTCACTCAAGAAAAGACACCAAACGACTCGTGCATCTTCTTCTTGTAGTCCTCGGTTGAGTCCATTATGTTACTCCAAGGTGTGCCCGGCGACAACACACACACGCAGTTCGAGGACGTTTCCGCACATGCTCGTTACACTACCACCAAAACCTCCTGATCACTGGCCTTGCTGCCGGATGTAGTTTATTGTCATACTCAAGATGATCGTTCAGTCTCCGTAATGACTTGTGGCTTTATTGCTTTACTGGGGCTGAAATGCTTAAAAAAAACGAACTCAATAACTTATAAGATTACTAACTGTAATTACTGTATTTGACAGTATATAAGGCACACTTTTTTTCTTTTTTTTTTTTTACTAAAAATATCTTTTAAAATTCCCCTGTGTCTTGTATGCCATATGTAGGTTTACTAATTTTACTAATTACTAATTTTTCTTGATTTGGCCTGCTGAAATTGGGGGTGTCTTATACACCAATACATCTTATATGCTGTTAAATATGGTAATTCATGCTGCCACATATGGTTTTGGTATGTCTGCTATTTACCATGGCAGTGTCGAAAGTCATTATCTTCCCTTCTAGTTATATGTACATTCTTTTTATTTACTGCTAGTTCACCCAATGTGTAGCAGTGACTTACCTCAGCAACCCAAAAGGGCCAGATTCACATGTATGTTTTGCAAGGGAGTGTGGAGATGGCGAATATACGAGCTTCGGATGGATGGTGAATCAGACAGCACTTTGTGCTGATAGAGATGGTGGTGTGGCCATTTTTAGTGGCTGGTTCTGGGTGCTCATTGGCTGAGGTGTTGGTTGGGTCAGGTGTATAAAAACATAGTATGCCCATTTAAGAGGTGTTCAGTTTTTCATTCGTGATGTATTGGAGATCGAGATGAGAAGTGTGGATTTGTTTGCCTAGTGAATCTATTGGACTCGTACTACCTTTTTTTTTCCTGTGTGTGCTTCCAACAAATTTTTGCAACACAATGCAAGGCCTAAGAGTCACTCAGTATAAAGGGTTACTAGGTATGATTGAGAGGGAAGTAAGAGTATTATGAGGACAAGTAGGATTGATATCACTTGACACTGGACTTAAAGGGCTGAAGATTGTAGTTGTCAGGGAAGCATTCTTTTAGGTGTTTGTTCCACAAAGTAACAGTTCTGGGGAAGAAACTCTCTGAGTGGAACTTGTTTTTCATCAAAGGAACATTTTTGTTGTTGTTACTGTTGATAGTCTCCAAGTTATGTGGGTTTTGTTATTTGGTAAAGCTCATTGCAATTTTGTATCACCAATCTATAAAATCTGATGATTTATTTGCTTGAAGACATTTTTAATCATTGGGTTGGAAACAAGGTTCCTGCAAAACCTTTATTAACAACAACATACAAATTTGAGGGGGGAACTTTGTTACCAACCCAATATATGATATTTAAAACATTTCTTAATAAGTTGGATGCTATGCAGGACATCCATATTAGTCTAGATCTGATGAGGCTATTTAAGATCATGACTCATGTTTTAAGGTCAATAGTACAACCTATTCTGTATTCAATTTCCTTATCTCCTATACTAAATTTGTTATAACTGACTGAAACACTGAAGTAGTTGAAGTATTTTGTTTTTGTAATGGATTCAGGTTAGGTGCCATCACTGCTTTCATTCTAGTTCCAGATAATTTCTGTTTTAGAAAGGTTTATCTGAAGTCTTGATGTTAATATTTTTTCTTCTTTTGTTCAAGATCATTCTTCTATCATCTATGAACATCTATGTCATCAGCATAGTCGTCCACCCATAATTGGTACACTAACAACTAGAGGGGAAACAAGAGCAGAATTTTCTGCTAGACTTGTTTGGGATTTAGTCGGGTATATATAAATGTTCTAGGCCCATTTCTTCATGTCTGTGCTTGTACACATGCAAAGAATACCTAAGCAGAAATTAAACATATTCGGTTTCCTCCATGTTGTATATTCCTGATGTGCTTTGAAAAGATTTGATTTTGGGGTCTTAACCAGTCATTTATGACGTCATTTATTGATAAAGTTCCTTTATAAGATCAAGGCAGCCATTTAATTGATAAATGAGAAAAGTTCCAATTTATAATTTTAATTCATTTCAAGGCAGCCCCAGTGGAGTCAGAATAAAAATTGGAATATGGTTTTGCTAATTGATTTTCCATGATGTGAAATTTATTAAGTTTCTATTTTAAATTATGATTATATGTTTTTTTTTTTTTTTTTGTTTTTTTCTGATTTTAATTCCATTTCTCTTCTTACTTTTTGTAACCTCAAGGGACAATAAACCCATTTTAATTCATTTCACCCCAAGAGTTACAGCCACTAAAGTGCAAAGAGTTATTGAGTGTGATAGTATATGAGAAAAAGAAAACATTAATAAGAAGAGAAAACAATAAAAGAACAGGAATTAAGAAGACAGAAGATAATGATTGATATTGCATTTAAATTTTTGAAAATCAAAGTTGACAAGAAAAGCAAGAAGCCAGAAGAAAGTTACACCAGTAAGAAGTGCAAGTGAAGAAACTATTAGTATAGAACTTACAGTTATATCTAGTCATTTCAACAGTAAAATGATGAAACCTTGCTACCAATCAAGTAGTACAATTAATTTCATAAAGCTGCTGTGAGATCATTATAGCAAATGTACAAATTTCTATTTGATAAGTACACTATTTATGGAATTGCACATCTTAGCAGAATAAAAATCAAATTGGGTTGTTAGAAGTTGGCTTTCATAGAAAAGTAGAGAGTCTAGTTAGTAAAATGTTTGGCAAACTTGGACATTCGTGCCCACAAAAAATGGATTGTCAGAAGGATGTTTTTTTCCCTTGACACCACTATTATTTTAACTACCTTCACTTCTTAACTTATTGTTTTATAAAGCGATGATTAAAATTGTAATAAAACCTAAGCATGTGATGAAAGTGAATTTATAGATTCTTTTCATCCTTGAGAATTTACAACAAAAATATTAAACACTATTTAAATTGTTTACTTAAAGAATAATTTTATATTTACAACATGCTAAAAACAAATACAATTGTATTAAAACTAATGCAATGCAATATTTATCATTTACCAATTTATAAAGGAATAAATATGAAAACAAATTTTTATTCTTAAAATTATAAACATTTACTATTTTTAAAAAAATAAGTGAACCAACTATAAGGGAAACCTTATTATTTACAGTTTTATAAAGTTGAAATCAATTGGCAATTAGCAAAAATTTTGCTAACCATTCTAATAAACAATATAATAAATAAATAGTGTAAATAAACAATCTGATAAATAGTGTTTAATGTTTTTGTTTCCAGTTCTAAAGAACAAAGAAAATGTATAAATTCACTTTCATATGTTTAGGTTTTATTACAATTCTAATCATCATTTTTAAAACAATAAACATTGTTGAGGAGTGAAGGTAGTTAAAATAACAGTGGTGTCAATGGAAAAACCATCCTTTTGACACACTGACTTTTCTCGGGCACGAAGTTCCAAGTCTGCCAAATATTCATTACTTCTTTCGCTATAATGGAGCCAGTTGAGATGTATTGAAAAAATTTGTTCAAAAAACATTTATTCGAATTGTAAATTGTTTGAATGAAAATTAATTGAAAGGACAATTATACTAAATGATAATTATTCAAAATACCTATGTTTGAAATGGGTATCTGGTCTTGGTTTAGGAGAATCCATGCTGATTTACCTAGAACTAATAATGCCCTTGAAGGATGGCATAGGACATTTTGGTAGCAAGTTTCATCCCATCATCCCACAATATGGAAATTCTTAGATGTTCTTAAAAGAGAACAGGACTTGCAAGAAATTCATATTGCAAAAGTAAGAGCAAGTTGCCAAAATATCAAGAGCGCCAAAAAATACCATAATGTAAATGGAAAACTTAAAAATTTAGTGGTATCTTTAATGAGTACTCTTCAGTAGTTGTCTATTTACATGCAGTATCATATAACTTAAGGTTATCAGGAGTTTTTCTTACTAAATTGTTTTATTAATGATATTTGTATTTTGAATAATTATCATTTGTGCATTTCCTCTTTTAATTTTTACATTTTTATTACAATAAAGAATTTTGCATTTCAAATAATTATCATTTAGTATAATGTCCTTTCGATTAATTTTCATTCAAACAATTTACAATGCAAATAAATGATTTTGAACAATTATTTTCAAACAATATTCACATTGTTATACTTTATTGCAATTAGATCTTGTTCTGATTCATTCTGCATGCTGGCCAGATGTGAACACCATGAAGGCAGAGAACAAAATAAAAATAAAATTGTTTTCTGTGCATAGGCTCCACACATCACATCCAGTCTACGAAGTGAGCTCTGGCAGTGGCCAATCATGAACGTTCCCACCAGAGAGCTGTCCATGATAACTACCAAACCTGCTTAAAAACAGGTCTCTGAGAGCAACCAAGTCAATGGAGGGCCAGCAGGTCACCAGCCATCACATTGGGCACTGCTGCTACCGCTGCCATGACCCCACCACCATGACAACTACAGTTGCAGCCTGGTGGGCCACCTGCTGTCACCCAGGGCACTGATGTTGTTGCTGCTGTCACCGCCATCACTATCACTGCCACCTCTCAACATGACAGTTCCTCTCACTGACCATTGCCACTCCCAGGCTTGACTGGCCACCTCAGCTATCCAGCTTCAGCATGACAACACCTAGGCAACCCACCACCGTCATCTCAGCATAACCAGCATCAGCAAAGTCAGATTTGTGACTTCTCACGATTTGCCACACTTACACCCTCTGAATTGGCAAAGTCAGATTTGTGACTTCTCACGATTTGCCCCACTTACACCCTCTGAATTGGCAAAGTCAGATTTGTGACTTCTCATGATTTGCCACACTTACACCCTCTGAATTGGCAAAGTCAGATTTGTGACTTCTCCTGGCTACTCATGCTTGCACCCTTATATCATCATAGATTCATAGCTTCACTAACCACTCTGGGACAACACCTTGGCAACCCATCACTATCACCTTGGCATAACCAGCATCAGCAGTCAGATTCATGCCTACTCATGTTCACACCCTTGTACCATCATAGTCAGATTCATAGCTTCACTAACCACTCCGGGTCATCACCTCGCCAACCCAATGCTATCATATTGTACATCGGCCATACTCTGTGACCTCAGCCAGCACAAAGAATAGGTCAACACCCGGCTTTCCACTTAACCCTGATTGCCATCAGGATAATACAGCAGAAACAGACATTCCATCTATTTTGTGTTATCTGTGTGACACCACTCCCAGCTTTTCTCTTAGCCCTGATCACCATCTTGAAAATACAGCAGAAACAGACATTCAACCTATTTTGTGATATTTGTATAAATGTTGTTCAAGTTCTAATCCTTGTTATACCTTTCTCTCGCAACCAAATGCTTAATATAACAACGTAATCAGTTGAGATACCTCAGAATGGATTAAAAGTAGTAATAATGTAATAAAAATATAATAATATTACTATTATTTTTTATTACATTATTATTACTATGAAGAGTTTATGGACTAGGAGGTTTGTGATTAAAAAGCAACAATAAATAAATGGCATAAAACTAGTAATGAAATGCTAATAACATTGGAAATAGTTTAGATGTTATATTTTGTATTTAATGTTGATATTTCTAAATTTATCATAATGAAATAGCATGCACCCTTGTGGCTTATTTAAAATAATATTCTCAAAATTAGTGTAAATTTGCTTAGTTTTTGCTTCATGACAAATGTTTTTATGTTGAGAATAAATGACTTTTTTATTTACTATTTTAATTTAGTGAACTTGGTACAAAATACAGAGGAAGATATGTTTCTTTTGTCTTTATCAATCCACAAACAATTCAACATTGAGGTATGGGACCGCCTCCGATGCTTGCAGATGCCACAACATCAGAAGGTTTTGGTCGGCCTCGCTTTCTTGGTCGTATTGCCATTAACTGTACAACAACAAAGTTATCTTCCCATCCAGGTAATCTCCAGATATCTTCTGGGGTTACCAAGAAAATAATCAGGTTTGTATACCTTTTCTTATTGGTGTTATAATTGTCTTTTGCTTTTGTTGCTTTTGATTAAAGGAATATCCTATTTTCTATCAGGATTTCTTGGATGAAAAATTATTACTTATGTTATTCACATACAAATTCATATTATCTTTGTTGTTACATTATTCAGACTATTGTCCTCATCTTTGTTGCCATATTTATTACAACGTTTCAGCCGTTGTACACTCCAGCCTTCTTCAGGTGGTCGGAATGTCGAACTGAACCCTTTATTTCGCTCACTGAGGTAGACTGTTCTAGTTCCACATGCCATGTTTAATGGATGTCAGTTATCTCCTGTTAATTTTCCCTCTGAAAGTTCTCCACTGCCTTAACCGGGTATTGAACTCACACTCTTTGGGTCCTGTCACTGGATCTAACTAATGCCTTTATCCACTGTGCCATGTGTCCTTGAGGACATCTGCGTATGAAGAAGGCCGGACGTACAATGACCGAAACGTTGTAATAAATATGGTGACAAAGATGAGGACAATAGTTCAGATGATGTAAATAATGTACATAATACCTCATCTCAGAAATATAGACAGATATCTTTGTTGTTATCACATTTCAGCCAATGTGCTCTCAGGCCTTCTTCAAATATATGTCAGTTTGTGTAAACTTGAAGGAATTTCAAGCTGAACCCTTTATTCAATCTTTGGAGTAGATTGGTATCATTCTGAGATTCATGTCTAGTGATTTTTTGATTTTTTTTTTACTATGGTTAAAAAAAAATCAAAATGCAATATCCCTAAACATGGACAGCAGAACAAGAGCAATCTATCCCCATAGATTATGTAAAGGGTTCAGTTCAAAAGTCCTTGAAGATTGGCTGGAGAACACAACATCTGAAATGTGATAAAAGATGAGGATGTTAGTATGAATGCAAATATTGAATATGGTATTATATTCACAAACCTAGTAACTCTATTTTGTAAACAAAAACTGAAATAAATTCTATGTAAAGGTAATTATTTGAAAATAGTAGCCATATCAGCTCTTTGGATGATGTAATAAGGATTTATCCTTTTTATTTTTTGTCATTCTAAAAATTTTAATGTCATCAAAACAACTTGCTATTCAGACAGTGTCATTATTTATAGCATTCAACTAATGCAGAAAATTTTGATGAAATGTTATGTAAAGGTTTGCTAAGCAAATACATAAGTTCTATTCATTTTTTGATATTCTATCACAGTCAAAGAAGAAAATGAAACTGTAATCAGGTTTACATTTTAATACATAGGCAAATTTTCTTATTTCTCGTCGATTTTACAACTACCCATCAGTTTCGGACTCAGCATCAGCCATTTTCTACACAAACTAAATGTTTCTGTTTATCAAAATTCTTTCTTTTTGATCATCACTTTTTGACATAAAGTTGTTGTCAAGGGAGACAAATGTGAATTGCTTATTGAATTGTTTGACATTTAATCATTAATGCCCACCGTTTCAGTTATCTTTCTTCTTTTACGTGCCATGTCTTTTCATGACGTGAATCTCCATAGCTTCCTATCTTTCATAAGTAATTTATGTTTTTTTTTATGCATTTTTATAAACCTATAATTAACGCCAGCTTTTTTTATATTCCTATAATTAATACTGGGATTTTATTTTAATTTTTTAATTAATACCAGATTTTATGGAGTGCATTAGATTTGGATGACAATTGCTGATGGTTTTGTCATCTATTGAAGCACAAGGTCCATGAACATTGTAGCACTATCTCTGCACTTGTACGATTAACTGTTATACTCTGTAACAGGATGCTACTTGAGCACGTGACAGCAATGTCAGGTGTTGTGCCATTCTGGGCTACACTTGTCACTCTGAAATAAAAACAGAAATTAGCAATAAAATTCTACTACTTTAGGAATCACAATATATTTTGTTTCATGCAAATGTGGTGAGATTAATAAAAGTTATAAGTAATTTTCTATAGGAGTTTCTTTCCACCCACCCTATATATAAAAAAAAAAAATCAACCTTGCCCCAATGAAAAGTGCATATATAGACGAGAAATATAGACAGTCAATTGCTGATATCCCCTAACGAGTGGATGGAGTGATTGCTGGAGGGTCTGTCTACAAAACTCTAGAGTCAGGATGCTGAAGGTAGCACCAATCAGCTGAGGGACAAACTTAATTCTATATATATATATATATAATTTTATATATTTCATATATATATATATATATATATTATTATAATTATAATTTTCTTAGGGGTACAGAATTTTATTATGGAAATAAAAAAGATAAGACCGACTTTACACTTCATGATTTACAAAAAAAACAACTGACTGGTTTTATCCTCACCCAACTTCATCCAGTCAGCCCTCCTTCTGTAAACAGCGGGGATGTCTGTTAGGGTTTGAGATTATTTCAGTCTGTTTATTCTGCCTTTAATACATTATATTTTCTTTTATATTTTGACGTTTATTCCCTCGATTTCAGCTCTGTTGAGGGAGGGCGAAACCAGTCAGCTGGGTCTTTTATTTTTTTTTGATTATGAAGGGTAAAATTGGTCTTACATTTTTCGTTTCCATATATGTATGTATGTGTGTGTACGTGAATAAAGACAAAAAGGCAAACTTTCCTTTACTGATGCATTTTGTCCACTAATGGAATTTATGAAGGTGATTTTAAGAATTTTATTTTGCATCCTGTATTTGCAAACAGAAGTAAAAACATACCATAAGTTTTCAAAATTTAAGAATACTTTAAAATATTCTTATGGCTAACTGTGAAAGTCAAGGTAAATTATGGAGGACACTAAGTGATATAATTTAATGCCTAACAAGTGAAAGTGAATTAATATTGTTGCTGGATTTTATTTTCTTATTCGTTTATATATGTGTTTTTTCACACAACACACACACACACACATATATATATATATATATATATATATATATATATATATATATATATATATATATATATAATCCTCATTTTAATCACTTTTTTTACTTCATTTCTGTACAAGATACAATGTTGGTTACTGGTAAGCAGTTTATTTTGAGTTTATATCTTGTGACCCAAGAAAATAAATCCATGATTTGCTCTTTTCATCAACAGACTGTATCAATAATACTTTTCAAAGTATCCTTGATGTTTTCAGACACCATACTTTTCATAATGGCTCTATTTCCAAACCTTGTAGATGTTGGGTTGCAATTTGGAAACAGAGCCGTCATTATTATTATTGTTGTTATTATCTATGTGTTTTTACACATTTAATTATAAAATGTTTGACTGTAACAAATTTTCTTTTTAGGAAAAGCCACGAGTCTCTTCTCATTCAAAACAATAAAACAAAACCGGTTAAAAAGAACAAAAAGGTTTGTCTTTTAATGTACCATTTCTATAACCCTTTAGACTGAAAATTTGCATTTTGCAACCACTTACTATTATTGGGAATAGGGAAGCACTTTTCAGAAACAATTTCTAACTTTTTTTTTTTTTTAATTGAATTTACCTCAAGCAAGGCAGTAAAGCCACTATGTCACAAGGGGTTACTATATGTGAAAGAATTAGAAAACAGAAACATTATTAAATAGCAAGAAGAATAGAAGAGTAATCAGGAAGACAATAGATAATGATTGACATTGCATTTAAATATTTGAAGATCAAAGTTGGCCGGAAAGCATGGAGCCAGAAGAGTTCCACAAGCGAGAAATGTGAGAAAAGAAACTGTTAGTATAGAGCGGCTACATCTAGCTAGTTCAACTGTAAATTGATGAGACCTCATTGCCAATCTAGTACTGCACTTAAATTCATAAAGTCTAGGTACCATAGTGAAGAGTTTATCTAAACAAATACCATGAAATTATTTATAGGAAAGGTACAGGAAGTAACTTTATGGTGGTGGGAAGAATGACTGAAGACGAGATGTCAGGTCAGGACCAATATTATTACAGATTCTTCTTTGGATTTTATCAAGATTCTCTAAATATATAACAGGACCACTGGACCATATGTGGCAGCAGTATTCTCAACATGGGTGAATGGTAGACATAAATATGTAAGAGATTCTGAAAATAAAAATTGTCTACCATAACACAGTGAACCAATTTTCTTAGCAGCTGATCTAACAGGGGATTCAGTGAAGTCTTTCCACTTCATGTCAGCCAAGAATGTTAACCTTTTTGTATTATGTAAAAGAAATACAAATAAATTAAATTTCTTTTTTCCTCTAAATTCATTAAAATGGGTTGAGAAATTGTTATTGACGATAAACATTAAAATACTTTAACAATTTGTAAGTTATTGGTGATTATTAAATCTTCAAATGTTATTCACCATTGCATTATAATTTTAATGTTTCATTTCCTTCAAAATATTTATGTTAATCATGTTTTGTTTTGTTTTTTTTTTCTCAGAATGTGAGAGAAAATGTTGATGTTTCTTTTAACACATCAATTCAGTCTTCTGTGTTTGAAGATACTGATTCTAGTGTTGTATTCTGGAATCCATTGCAAACATCATTTGCTGGTCAGCCTTCTTCAAAAAGATGTAAAACTCCTTCCACTCACTGTTTATTAAAGCCTCAGTTGTCAGCTAAAGTTGAAAGCCACAAAGAAATAGCTTCTACAGTTGCAGACCATGAAATTTCTGAATTTCAAGAAAACTTGGCAGGGCCACTGACAAATATTGGTAAATATGATTTTCAGTGCACAATATAGGTTTTTTTTTTATTTTTTTATTTGGTGCTTAACATATTAAGCAACAAATTACATTCACATTTTAGCTACTTCACCTGTTAAGTGCAAAAAGGCATGAATTACATGACATCTCCTTTTTGAAATTCACTCCTTGTCCTCATTTTTTTCTTTGCACACTACTGTGGGATGTGAGAGTGGAGTAATAGGTCGATGCTCAGGATGAGAAATCTGAGGGCCAAGTTCATTACAAGTGTAAAAATGTGGATAATTATTGAAGTACTGTGAAAGTTCTAATAATGGTGACACAACAAGAAGGAAAAGAATATTTAAATAACAAAAAATTCAAATATTTCTCTAAATAACTAGATATTTATTACAGTGGTACATTGTGTTAGTTGAAGGTTCCATGTGCATGCTGAAATAATGAGAAGTTTTCTTTTGTTTATCAGAGGCCAGCACAACACTGTCAGTAGTCAAAAGAGAGTTTTTTTTAATTGTCCACCAAGGGCTGTGATTGACTCATCTATTAACCAATCAGAGGACTTGTTACATGCTGGTTAAAGGAATGCTGTTAAAGAGAAACCTGAATTGGCCACTTCAACTTTAAATTCTTATGAGGGGCCGTTACACATTCACTTACATGCAAATACCTTTGGGAATGGGATGGATCCATCTATTTTCTCACCAGCTGTAGATTAAGTAGTAAGACTTGTATCCCGGAAAGTCATTGTTATTGCCAAAAAATTGGTAATACAATATTGGTATATTGGTACTGAAGGTGTTAGCCATTAATTTATTTTAACCAGAAATATTTCACTGTAGAAAATAACTGAAGTGATGTGAAAAATAGCAGTGAAGTCAGTGAGCAACAATAAGGAAAGTAAAAACTTTGGTTTTTGTAAATTAGTTTCAGATGTAAACTCTGTTAACAAAGGAGAAAACCAAGTCTTATCTCAGAAAAGAATTTGTGTTCTTTGCGCTATCTGTTAAAAAAGAAAATCAGGATCAGGGTAGGCCTTGGGATATGGTAATTGTTTGTTCTTCCTTACAAGTCTCGACCAATCACAACCTTTCTTTAATAAAAGAGCGCAACTTTGGACCACAGGATTGTCTTAGCTCTTCATTAGTGAAAAGGTAGTTGCGAGTTGTGATATGAATTTTTGACTCTTTCATTTTAAGCCCCCAGCATTTTTTTAACATTGCACTTGCAAGATTAATTTTTGATCCTTGGAATTATGACCTTGGTCTTATAATTTTAGCAATCTGAACCTCCCTATTGTTATTTGCTTCAGGTAATACAACAGGTATCATCTGGGATTTGTTAGAACCTTTTTAGAAATACTGGAGGGGTTTCCTGTTACCTTCTCCCTGATTTAGAATTCAAAATTTTCCTTCTCTGAGAATAAATATTTGCCATTTTATTAATTCTTTTAATCATCAATAGAGTTCTAAATGATGATTAAGGATAACTGGTCAGTGTTTTGGTTTGTGCCTTTCATCCCCTTTTCAATTTATCTCTTTAAAGTAATGAAACACAATTGTAGTTGGCAAATTGCAACTATGATAAAGTTGGAAATTAAAATGTAGGGCCTATAAAACATAAGCTAAATGAAGAATAAAAAATAAAATCAAAACAACTCAAGTTTCACCCTTAAAAATGAAGGATTGTGAGTCCAGGTTCAATCTTTATTGTGTTTTTCTTGTGGTTTACCTTAAATGTGGAGAACTCATAGCTTTTTTTGACTCAGCTGTACATGACATCCAGGTTCCATGTTGGCTATTAAATATTTTTTTGCATGCAAACATCTTGTCATTATTTCATCTCTTGTTCAAACAGTTCTACAGTAGGGCAAGTTGATTTTGGAAGCGTGGTATTGCACTCAATTTGAAAGTTGGGGTTTGGCATGATAAATAATGATATAAAATATTTTTCTCTAAGTTGCTACCATTTTTTGTGAAAACAAATTTAAAGATTAAGTTTATGTTCAAAATCATAGAATTGGAATTTTATTCTGGTGATCAGTGAAAGCCTTATAGAATTTATAATTTATTGAAGCTTTACAAATTGTATATGGACAAGATGCATGGCGCAAACACATTATTACTAAATAATTGTACCATCAAATAAGACCTTCATTTACTTCAAAGGGGAGTTATAGCTGTATTATGAAGCAATTAAAGTGCAGTAGTTTTAGTGTGATTTTCAATAAACAATACAAATTTAAAACATTTTGTCTTATAATTTATGCCCAGCAGTATTATGTGTTATATACACTTTTATGATGTCACACATTATGAAATGGACAAAGTCCGACAATTATTTTAACACATTTTTTATGCTTATACGTTATTTTTATAGATACAAATATTTAAGTAAATGCTCTGTTTATAATAAGCAGTATTAACGACATTTACCGGCCTGAATGTCCAAGAAATTTTCATAGAAAATATGCGTCCTCCAACAGGCATCGAACCTGTATCCTATACAGAACCGTCGTATAGCCTGACGTGCTTTACCGATTTAGCTACAGAGGAGTGTTTCGGTTACCAAGGTCGATTTTCCTGTTTTTTACACTTTATCTATTTTTTGTTTTTATTAATTATAATCTAACAAATCTTATTCATTTAGTGCCCTTTTTTCTAATCTTTTATATTTTTTCACACAGTTTATACTTATCAAATACAGTAAAAAAAAAATTAGATATTTTGCTCGTAGTGATTCATAATCAAAATTCTGGTTTGAATATGTTTTCCATTCAATGTATCAAATACAAAAGATATCAACTTTATTTGGATTTATTCTTGAAATAGTGCAATTTTGAAGTCAGTTTGTAAGTTGTGGAAATTAGGTATTTCTGTACATTTTTTCAGATGATCTTTAAAACTAAATGCTCAAAAATTGGTAAAAGCTAAGAATCTAATTTTTAGTTTCACTACTTATCATATCAAACACCAGATTTTGCACCAAGTGCAATATTGATTTTCTACAAAAACTGAAAAATCAGCCTGCCCAGTTATTCAATTGTGACATTGGGTTCAGAAACATCAAAATCACCAATTTTTCCTTGTGGCACAATATGTGAAATATTTAATAACTAATATGAAACCTGAATGGCACTCGCATCCAGACCCCAAGAAAACCCCCCAAAAACTGAAATCTCTGTATTTAAGGTACAAACCATCCACAAGATAAAGATTGAACCTTTTGATTTTTGATGGTGAAACTTGATTTACAGCAGTTTTATTTTTTATTCTTCATTTATCTTATGTTTTATATTTATCTATCATATCCTTGGCATGATGATAAGGAGATTGGAGATTTTGAGGAGCATGACACCATTTCTTAATTGCTGTTTTCCACTTTGATCTGGTGTGGCAGCACCTGTCAGGTCCCAGCTGTGGGCAAATAGTTAACCACCAAACTGGGGTCAAAACACTATGAAAGTATAAGAATACATTTTTATAGTAAAATTACCAGAAATACATTTTCATAGTAAAAAAAAAAAATTTTTTTTAAATTAGCAGCAATACATTTTTGTGAAGAAATTTACTCATGCTCGCAAGAAAATTAAATTTCAGCATTAAATGACCCATAAGGAGTTGATATGCCACTAAACAAAACAACATATCTATCTATATATAGTCACATAATTTGTCATTTAGCTGATTGATGTTACCACACGACTGATGCATCATTTTTTAATATAAATACATAAATTGCTTATTATAGAATTCCAGTTTCAATTACATGGCAAAAATAATTAAATTATATATGGTTTGAAAAAAAAAATTTTTTTTCTTGCTTTTCTTTTAATATTTTTATCGCAATAATTAAATTTTGTACATCAGTATTTACATATAAAATCTTGCATTTTCATTTTATTTGCTGCTAGAAACTGCTGGCATGAATTACAAGGGAACCAGTGCAATCAGCGATGAGGAAAAATTACTCCTCTCATGTTGGGGCATACCCGAGCCTGTTTTAAAAAAATATAAATCTTATGGCATTCAAAAAATGTTTCAATGGCAAGCTGAATGCCTTCTGGCTGGAAATGTCCTTGGTAAGTCACATAAGCTTCTATTTTATCTATCTATTTAAATCATACTTATTATAAAACCCAGGTTGTGTGTGTGTGTCTGTTCATTTATATATTGGATCGGATTTCCTACATTTTTCAACCAATTTCAACAAAACTTCACAGGACTACGTAAAATTACCCTGTGGTGGTTCTGACAGTGCCAAAAATTGGAAAAACACAATTGTTTTTGCATGAAATCAATTTGAAAACACGATTAAGAGGCATCACCGTTTCAAGAATGAAAGGAGGGCCAACTCATATCGAGTTATACTTATTATAAAACCCAGGTTGTTTGTGTGTGTGTGTGTGTGTGTGTGTGTGTGTGTTCGTTTATGTATGGGATCGGATTTCCTACATTTTCAACCGATTTCAACAAAACTTCACTTTTTTTTTTTTGGCAGGTAGTGTTTCTTATTGTCTTGCATACTTTTTTCTTTATTTTTACATTCAGAATGCTTTAAAAATTCCATTTACAAGACAATTGTTTATAATAAAGTTCTATTCAATCGGTAGACTCATAATGATTGAAAACAATGTTTTTGTTTGAGTTTGGGTTTGACCAATTCATAAAAAAAAAAAACAAAACAAAAAAAACTAATTAAGACATGCGTGTCCGTCAACCTTAAACAATAATCTTTGTCAATTTTATTTTTCAGTCTTTATGATGGTTGATACTTGATCTATTTCTTACTGTTACATCCCCGGGCAACACCGGGCTCTACTGCTAGTATATGATAAAAGCTAGTTTTAAGGTATGTCATATTTATAGGGTAAATGTGCTCAATATCTGGGATTGTGTGTTTGTGTACACAAGTATAAGTGTCCACACTGTTGTCAACACCGAATGACGACAGCTTGTTTTATGCTTGAATGCAATATTCAGGTCTGAAACTGACTGTTGCCATCACTGTCTATACTTCATATACATACCTCCAACAATAGATTAATTGCAGGACAAACTATATCCTTGGTTGGTAGCCAGTCTAGAAGAAGGCCAACTCTGAATCCAAAACTTGAGGCAGGTTATTTGAAGACCTTTTGATGTGCACCATTTCTCTCTATTCAGTTCTTCCAAAAAATGTGTGTGCATGCTTGTGTGTGTACACAGGGTGCGATGGACAAATTGTCGCCATTTTATATTTTTAATTTTGTGCATGCATTTTGTTTGTTTTTGATTTTGTCAACTGCCCAGTATAGTAGGGTTAGTTGGGCACCGTCTGTGAGAAAAAGAGCACCGTGATGCAATTCACTCCACCAGAAAGTTGGAAATAGCATGCTGTACTGCTTGGCATTCGTGCTGGAAGCTCCTGATACAAATATTTCAGTGTTTGGGTGTCAGTCTGAGGACAGTGCTCTCTCTCTCTCTCTCTCTCTCTCTATATATATATATATATATATATATATATATATATAAAAACAAATGGAAGAATGTAGAATGTATGAAACTCTGAGTTGTGAAATCAATCTAAGATATCATGTATATTTTTTATATATATATATATATAGTTTGATTGATGTGAGTTTGTGACTCTGGGTTTCACGCCCTTGCGATGTCATACATACATACATATTAAACGTATGCGTGTGTACATACATACATATATATATATATATATATATATATATACACACACACACAGAGGGTGCAATGGATAGATTATCATCTAAATTATGCAAAAATGAAAATAACACCGATATCTCCATTTAACACATATATTTACCAAAATGACACAAATAAAATTGAATTGATAAAATTGCCATTGGCTTCAACTGCAGCCTCCAGTCCACTTCAGAATCTCCTGCAACTCTTCTGGGCAGACTCCTTGTTTGAATGCTGCCATAATCCTTGCTTTCAGTTCATCTTTGATGTTACAAGGGGTTTTGTTGGCCTCTTGCTTAACTGCACCCCATACATAATAATCAAGGGGGTTGCAGTCTGGGAAGTTATATGGCCAGATGTAAAGGATAATGTGGTTGCAGAAATTGTCTGACAGCCATGACTGGGTTCTACTGCTTGTGTGGCCTGGTGTAGTAGTCTTGTTATCAAACATAGGGCCTTCCAGCAGCCACACTCTCTACCCAGGGCAGCATTACCTCCTCAAGGCACTTGATGTAGGCCTCTGTGTTGAGTGTGAGGCCCTGTGGGAAGATGAATAGAGGCATAACATTGCCATCACTAGTGATCACTCCAAACACCTTCATAATCACTATTAGACTCGTCCAACTCTTTCTGAATCCTCTGCACTGATTGACACCCAAGCACTCTGAAGCGTTTGTATTGGAGCTTCTGGTGCAAATGCGAAGCAGTACAGCATGCTGTTTCCAAATTTCTGGCAGAGTGAATTGTGTCATGGTGCTCTTTTTCTCACAGATAGTGCCCAACTGACCCTACTTTACTGTGCAGTTGATAAATTCAAAAACAAACAACGTGTATGCACAAAATTAAAACTATAAAATGGCAATAATTTACCAATTACACCCTGTTTATTTATTTATATATATATATATAATGTGTGTATGTGTGTGGATTTTGAAGTTTGATGTTGGTGTAGCTGTGTGTGTGTGCATGTGTGTGTATATTCATATAACCAATTAAAGAAGCAGCAGCCAAAACTTGGGTTTCTACTATGGACCGTTTATTCGTTTTTTATAGAAACTGTAGGGAAACAAAGTTCTCAATGTCTCTTGGATATGTCTGTTTTCTTTTTCTGGTCCAGATGTAAGTTAGAGTAGGTAAGGCTAAAAATTGTTATAATGGTTGTGTTGCGCTGAGTTGGAATGACCCAAAAAAGTTTGTACTTATCTTTTTAGGAGTCAGGTTCTGCAAGACATGTCTGAATGTGGAAAATGAGTTTCTTTTTTTTGTCCAGAAATATGTTAGCGTAGGTCATGATAAACATGGTTATATTAGTTGGGCTCAAGTTAGCCTTGCACTGAGATGGAATGACCAAGGTAGAGGCTGTACTTTCCTCATCCATTAGTTGACTAGGGAAAGGAGATGTTTCTTAGCAGGGGCATCTTCACACACATCCTGCTACATCTTAGAAGAAGGAGGAAATATTTGTCTTTTTATAGCACTTAAACAGTGCCACCTAACAGGAATTTGGCAAAGACTAGTTGGGTAATAAAATTTCCAGTTCCTTTATCACTAGCATCATGGGGAAATGTATTTCTTTTTCTTCCTTTTTTTCTTCATTATTATTATTATTATTTTATTTGCTATCTTTTTTTTATACTTTAACTGTTGCTTCTTTCAATTTCTTAAGCTGGCAACAACTTGGTATATTCTGCTCCGACCAGTGCAGGCAAGACAATGGTAGCAGAACTTCTTATTTTGAAACGTGTATTGGAAACGAAAAGAAAAGCAATCATGATTCTCCCATTTGTGTCAGTTGCTCACGAGAAAGTCCGATATTTAAAGGTTAGTATTCTAAAGGTGAAAAAGAAGATTTTGTTTCTGCTTCTTATCTGTTCTAAATATAATGTATTTACATTTTTGTGATTTGTTTGGAAAATTCTGCAAGTTTTTAACTTTGTCAGTGTGGATCATTGGAGGTGTAGATGGCCTAACAACTCATGGTATGGCAATTGTAATAGGTGAACAGTGTTTAAACTCTGGCTGAAGCAGTTTGTATCTACTTTGCCCTTGGAAAAGGCATGAATCCACTTCCTGCAGTTATGGATAAAAATTAAAAAATCAGTTGTTGTCCTTTGACCCTTTAAAGAAGTCTATCTTGGGCACTGGGGTAGCTCCTGGTTCTGTAAAAATTCTCTTGCTACTGAAACAGCAGCATCATTTAGTGTCTTCTGTGTGCCATGTCACTTCAGGACAGGGGTGTTCATGGTTCTCCACAACTTCCTATCTTTTGTAGCTCTTGTTTGTATATTTAACAATCATAGAACTAATCATTTGCATGTATAATTTATTGTCTTTAATAATAATAAAGAATAATGTGTACTCATATTAGAGCAATGGTTAATGTATTGGTTTTGCAAATCATTGATTGATTGATTGGTATTTATTGAGCATCTCTTAAGTGTGGCCTTATACTAGACCTATTATCCTATCAAATTAATCGAGAATAAAATAGACAAGAATTAACCAGTTGGAATGGATATTTGTTTTGTGATGTCATCTGAGTGAAATATCATCTTGCTTGAGAACAAAGAAATTACTTGTGTAATATTATAACTGGTCCAGGACTGTCATCGGTTCAACTGCCAAGTTGTCTTGAATTACTGATTTACTACTAGAATAACAAAACCTTGTGATATGGTATTGTGTCAGACCAGGACGATCTGAGTAAATATCTCTTATTCCAGCCATTTCTATCTGATCTGTATAGATCATTTTGTTTTTTAAACAGATTATGTTTGTTATAATTAACACTTTCACTGCTGCATTGTTATAGCATTGTTGCCTGGTGGTACTGACCTATTTTAGAGAAAAATAGGAAATTACCATTTACAGGAAATAAACAAAGTTACAGAGAGCAATATTTCATGGGTTCCAGCATTTTGGTTTCATTCAGCTACTCTGCAGTACTAAATATGCTAAACAACCCTCCCAACTCACAATATCATAAAAATGTCTTGAAAAAAAAAAATATATATATATATATATATATATATTCATGTATTATAAATTTACTAATTTAAAAATATGGTTCCATCACTACACAGGAATTACCATGTTTCAAAAACAGAAACTAAAAACTTCAAATTTAATTATAGAATTAAATTAAAATCCCTAGTACTGTTTCATTTTCAAGCAAATTTTGGAATAACTTATTTTGAAATTTACTGAGTTTTATAAGCACATACATTCTTAATATTAGTTTCTAAGGATACAGGGAAATTCAATCATTTTGACAAGGGGTGGTAGGGTATTCATTTTCACTGACAACTATTGTATCAAAATATGAGTTACTTTCAAAATGAGGTTAAGATAGGGTACAAGTGCCTGTTCAACAAATGATGACATCCATTTTAACACTGGATTATAAATCTTACTGTTCTTCCTCTTTATTTATATATATATATATATATATATATATATATATATATATATAGGTCCTCATGTATAGCCAGATTGACAGGGGACAAAAGAATGTTGGATGGTCTTGGCTCAGGTATAAAGGCAAGCTAAAGAGTAACCTCTCAGCTGTCAATGTGCCTCATACTAATTTTGAGCAAAAGGGAAAGTTAACTGGAGACACTTATGCCAGAGTGGTATCAGAAATTTTGAAATCAGTTGTATTAACCAGCTAAGAGACAAATGACAATGGTGAAAAGCATCTGCAAATGTTCCTGTTGCTATGTCCTGAAATCTTTGCTGTTGAGAAAAGAGCAATCAGGAGGACAGTAGATAGTGATTGATTGACATTGCATTTAAATTTTTGCAGATTAAGTTTCATTGGAAAGCATGGAGATGGGAGGGAGTTCCACAATTGAGAAATGAAGGATAAGAAACTGTTAGCATACAAGTTCCGGCATTCATCTAGCTAGTTTGACTGTAAATTGATGAGATCTTGCTGCCAGTCTAGTATTGCACTTAAATTCATACAGTCTAGGTACCATAGTGAAGAGCTCATCTGAACAATTACCATGAATGTATTTATTAAAAAAAAGGCTCAGATAGGCAACCTTATGGTAGTGGGCAAGTGACTGAAGCCGAGCCGTCAGATCAGGACCAATATTCTTTGAATTTTGTCAAGGAGCTCCAGGAAAATAGCAGTGTCACCAGCCCATATATGGCAGCAATATTCTAAGCCTGGGTGAATGGTAGACTTATAGATATGCAAGATAGATTCTGGAGAGAAAAATTGTCTTACCTGTCTCAGTGAACCAACTTTCTTAGCAGCTGATCTAGCGATGGATTCAATGTAGTCTTTCTACTTTTATGTCATCTGACTATGTTAGCCCAAGAAGGAGCAATGAGTCACTTTCTTAATTTAGATGATTAATGGTTTAGTTTTGGAGGTGTTAAAATTGACAAGCCACCTTTTGCCCCAGTTAATGATGGGCTTTAGGTCATTTTGTACATTAGCTGCCATTTTGACCTTGTCTGATTGATCAGCCTTACTATTGAGGCAGAAGTAAATGGCAGTGCTGTCAGCATAGATGCCAAGTTGAGAGCTGATGTCATTTGGAAGGTAATTAAAGGACCAAGGTTGGAGCCCAGGGGGACATCCACGGAATGATGTAGATGAGTAGCTGTTCAAGACAACTTTCATTTCACATTTTCATAGGAATGACTGGATCAGCTGAAAAACATGCCCAGAGATACTGTAGCTTTTCAGCTTGTGGAGAAGATCTGAATGCCAGGCCCTGTCAAAGGCTTTTAAGATGTCCAATGCTACAGCCCGGGCTTCACCATTTTTATCTAGAGCACGACTCTTTCCACAATTATCATTAATACATCAGCAGTTGATCTAGAGAAATGAAAGCCATATTACTTGTCTGAGAAAAGGCCCTGCTTTGAGAGATGATGGACCAATTCAGCATTGATTAGGGCTTCTAGGAGTTTCCCAAAAAGAGGCAGAACGCCGATAGTTGGATGGGTCAGATGGTTCACCAGAGTTCTTAAAAACTGGAATAGCTGATGATGACTTCCAGCAAGCAGGAAGGTGGGAGGCAGCAAGGCATTTACCATACAGTTCAGAGAGAACAGGAGCTAATTCGAGAGCACACTTCTTGATGATTATTACAGGGATGCCATCAAGTCCACGTGCTTTGTGAGGATCAAGGTTAGAAGTGATAATAGAAACCATTGCACTGATTTAATACCCTATTACAGAGACGCCAGTAGGCACGAGAGTCAAAGTTTTGGAGGCTATGTGGTGCCTCATTCTCTCAGCAAACAGGGACTTTTTTAAGGACTTGCTTACATTTGTTATGAGCAGTAGCAAATAGACACATGTTATGATGAGAGCTGTCACATTGGTATAGCCAGAAATATTGGTTCATGTGTGCTATGGTGGCCAAGCGTGTTGGTGCGAACCCTGGAAAGGATTGCAGTTTCACCTGGCATTTCTGAGAAGGGATGAAAGCATCCATGCTGGCTTTGACTCAAGAAGAAACCTCATTGATGCAATTTTCAATTGGGAGGTTGAAGATGTCAGTCCAAGGGGTGACACAAAGAAAATCCTGGAATGAGTCCCAATCAGCAAGCTGGTACTGGAATGAGGTCTTATGGATAGGGGGTTCCTGTTTGCTGGAGGCTGGGAAGGAGATCTTAATAGCTACCACAGTGTGGTCCGAGTTACCAAGAGGGAAGTATTGTGAAGCTTGGCAATACTGAGGAGAGGAGGTAAGAAATAGATCCAATAGGGAAGCATGTTGCTCAGTTTGGCTACAGAAATGAGTAGGGAAGTTCATGATTTGAGTGAGAGATTGAGCAACGGAAAAATTTAATGTCTGTATACTGGCAACATCAGTACCCTTAGAATATTTCAGTCACATATTGTGGTGCACATTAAGGTCACCAAAGACAAAGAAATTCACAGATGGCTGGAGAGAAAGTGCCTTTTATATACTGTTAGCTATTGTGTCTAATATACTGCAGTCTTGGGATGAGGGGGACTGATAAAGGAAAAAAAATAACTGACAGTTTAGTAGTGAAAGACAGAAGTGCATAAAAGAGTAGTCAGTGACCTCAAGAGACAATCTTCCTGGCCATCAGGAGATTATCCTGGATGTAAACACCAATGCCATGCATGTGAATGCTGGAATCTTTTTGGCAAAGAGGAAGATACCCTGGAACCAAGAATTGTTAGCAATGGAAGAATTCAAGTTTGTTTCACAGAGGGCAAAGATATCTGGCGATATCTTTTTTTTCCAAGAGAAAAGAATGTATGCTGCAGAAGTTGGAATGGATACCCCACAAATATTGAAGAAATAAAGAAAGATTGAGTTGTGAGGGATTTTTAGCTGGTTTAGTTTTATTTCTTTTTGTGATTCCATAAGATATGTTTTGAGGAGAGAGAAAAGAAAAGATGACCATAATTGTCACTATCTGCTATCAATGACAATACAAACCAGCCAATGTGTAATACGAGCAGAGTATAATGTGGCCTCAGGATTGTCCATTGGAAATACATGAAAGAGACCTATCCATGCATGACATGGCACTACAGATATCTCAATATACTGAGACTGTTGACCAGAGCAGCCTCTCTAAATTCTACCAAAGAGTTTGGGTTCTTAATGGCCAGTCTGAAGCAGCAGCCATCAAACTGACAACCTGGTATCTTCATAATGGAAAGTTACAGCCATTGGTTAATCTGATCACCAAAGAGTTAAGACAGTTAAATCATTGTGGCCCTGGTAAGAGAAAGAAAGAGAACTGGTAAACCATATCCTGAACAGGGAACAAGGGATAAACCTCTACTTCTGTTCAATATACACAGAAGGAGTTATGTGTCAACAGCAGGCAATATGCTTTGAAAAGATGTACCCATATGTCAATTGTAGCAGAAATGTTAAATTATGCATTTGGAAACTTATCTTGAAAGCTATTTTTGAAGTATGATATGAAATATGGGGGCAAACAAAACTCTTTTTATCTGTTACTCAAACAAATGATGCTAGACCAAATCAAGTCATCTAATTCTGAATCTGTACTCAGGTTTTTGACATATGTCCATAGTTTTGTGGATACTGCATGTAACTTGAAGATAAAATAATAACTTAATAAAAATGTTAACATTTGACACTACTTCAAATAAAAGGTTTGGAAGGGCCCCTCCCCATCAATAGTAGAAAGAGAAATAACAGCTACTGGACTCAAGAAAAATTTTTCCTGAAAAATTGTTCTAAGATTTTATAAATTTCAACAAAAATGCATTACTAGATACTCAGTCAATGAATGCTAAATGTTTCCTTGTAGGCAAACAGCTTATATTACCATTACCATTGTGGGGATTACCTCTACCTTGTCTGCCAAGATGCCCACTAGGTGGCACAGTTTTAATTTTTTTTATCCAATTTTGTCAGCATTAAATAACCCATTGAGGTTGATATGCCGTAAAACCAAACATGTATATGCACAAAAGCTGAGTATCATCTACCATGCATTCATTTGTGAAAGCAGCTTGACATATTATTTAAAGCCGCCAAGAAAATTAAATTTTGGCATTAAATAACCCATATGGAGTAGATATGCTGTTAAACAAACATCTTATTCTTTATATAAAAAATATATAAATAATATTTTTCACTGTGTTGAAATTTATTCCTTTTGTGAAAATGTTCAATTCAATTTCTTCAAAAGTTCTCAGCCTCAACTTAATCCATTACAACCTGTTGTTCAACATCCATAACAATATGTTTCTGGTCAAGGAGAATTTAAATGAAAATAACCAAAACATAGAACACTTTATTTTTAATGTCTTTATAAATATTGACTTCCGAGTTTCTTGCCCTGAGCCACTAACCATTAGACCACCTGCGTATCTTTGTTTTGATTGAACCAACTTTGATTTCATCTCATCATTTGTGGTAGTTTGCATTCCCAGTCTTGATAGAATCTTGTCCAAGATCATTTGTCTGGGTAGCAAATGAAAAAATTTTTGTTGCCCAGTGTAATTAATATAAGACAGTCTCTCCACAAAATCCTGACAATTCAGATTATTGATTCAGAATCAGCACAAATGAAGAAAAAATTTAAAAACCCAAATTTAAATGAAAAATTAAATTCTCAATTAAATTCAAGTTTTACCTGTATATAATCTTAAATTAATATATTTAAATTATAAATAAATATATTAATACACTGGACTAAAACTGCTGATTTTGTTCTTGGCTTCTTCATAGGAAAGTAACAACAAAACTACTCAATGAAGCAGACGATCTTAAAATTATTAGATAACAATCAAAATATACTGTTCACAGATAAATATTTATTTTAATAAATCAAAAATTACATGCATATTGTTCCATATGCTAAGTAGTAACAAAACGTAATGATAAACAAAAGAAGGATTTACTTACATAAATAATTTTGTCAGTCTATATAGAATGTATCATTATATAAGCTGACAACTTAAAGATCTTTTCTTTTTTCAACCTTTTCTTTCACAATAAACAAAACTTGTTATAAAATCTTTTAACAGTTAATATCTTCAGATTCTCTTATCTTCTTTCTTCTACAAAATTCTTTTATCTTCCTTTTTTTTTTTTTTCAAATACATTTCTTTTTCTTCTTCAGAAATTCTTTTTCTCTTTCTTAAGAGCTGAAAGTGTAAATTAGAAAACACAACGCCCAACCTAGGCCAATAAAATCTTAAAATCTTCTTATTCTCTGAAGAATATTCTTTAAAATATTTTAAATCTTATTTTAAAGTAAAGAATGTGAATAGGAGAAAAATTCCCTGCATCGAACGACTGCCAAACAAAAAGAAACAAATCAAATACAATAATTCCTCTTATAGGGAATAAAATTACTTCTTTTATCTTCAGAATTCTACTGAAGCTAACAAAATCTTTTCTTCAAAGCTTTTCAAATATAAACAAATCTCAGCTACGGAATTCTACCGAAGCTAATAAAATCTTCTCACAAAGTCCTTTGATGTGAAAACTCACCCTCCCCTCTTCCCATCCATAAATAAAACCAGTAATATAGCTATTAAAAGCTAAATAAATATTAACACTATAAAGGTAAATAATTTGATACTGTAAGTCGAATTGTTAAAGGTAACACTTTATTTTACATGGCAAACTAAATTAGTTAACCACAGAGCCAGAATAAAAAACGTCTTAAATGACTGAGGATAAATATCTGATTGAGGATAAAACCCTCTGATAAATAGGAGTCGTCTGCAGCTTCCAATTCCATGAAAAAAGAGCGGCAACAAAAGAATTATCATCTGTTTTGCCATCAGACGCATATTATACAAAATATCAATACATCATCTAATATTTTACCACTGAAGTCATTGAAAAGATGTCTCCTCACTCTCTCTCTCTATATATTAATATTCTAAATTTCTGTAAATAAAAATTCTCAAACAATTTAATCTGAATTATGTAGTTTTAACACTGTAGCCAAATCTTTATTACCCAGTATTATATATATATATATATATATATAAATAAAATGCAAATGTCATTGTGTCACATTTTTTCAACATTTAGTCCAACATATCATACCATTTTGGAACCAGGCTGACTCCATAAACAAATTAAAAACATTCTGGGCCAGCTAGATCCGGACTTGCAATCCTGAAATTTTAGATTCCCAAGTTTTCATTATTATGATTGTTTTTGGCAATTTTTTTTTTTTTTACTTGATTTTTTGCAACAATTTTTTTTATACAATAACAATTATTATAACTTGGGAGTAAATTTAGGAATAATCAAAATTAATTGCAAAATCCAGCAAAAGTTACCCATGAAATAAAAGTAATTGTTTGTATGGAAAGTAAGGACCTATGTACATCAAATTGTCTTTAAATTTAGTGGCAGCTGCAGAATTATCATTGAACTTTTAAAAGGCAAGCTTAAATATTAATGCAATACTTAAATGGAGTGATCAATTTTGAGTTCTTCTGTAGTTCATTGTTATTGCATCTACTCCTCCCTACCTATTGTGATGATGACCGAATCAAGAGCATTCTGCAAAAGCTAATGTAAATGCTGCCTGATAGTGTATGTGGTGTGTATATATATATATATATATATATAATTTTTATTATGAAAGCTTTTGTGTAATTATCTAAAATGTTTTTATTATAATCTATTATAATAAAAATATAATATTTTGCTCTACTTTGTATTGAGCACTTTTTTAAAAAGTAAATGCTATAAACTGTGGAGTTTCACTCCATCTGTTCTGTCTCTTATCTGGACACTTTTTTTTAGTTGTTGTTTTATTACTTTTGAATGAATCACTGTATTGGAGTAACAATGCATTGTTGAGGAAATTGAGACAAATATTAGAAACTAGATGTTTAACTGCAGTATTTTCCTTACAGTCTCTTTATGAAGAAGTTGGTGTGCGTGTTGGAGGCTTTCTTGGTAGCCAGTCACCTGTAGGAGGTTTCAAAAGTGTTGATGTGGCAGTGTGTACAATTGAAAAAGGCAATAACCTGGTGAATCGACTGATAGAGGAAAAAGAACTCCATCAATTAGGTATGAACCAAAGGAATTTCTTTTTAATCTTCATAGTAATAAGAAATTAAGAATTATAAATTAAATCCATTAATTCCCTGAAAATTACTTTGTTTTGTATCCAAAAATAAGTTTTGGCAGGAGACAGGCTTTGAAAGGTCCTAATAAGAGATGCACATTTATTAAAAGGACTAATTGATCCTCTTTTGCTGTAAAGTTTTTTCATGGCTGAGCAGTCTAAAGAACGCTTAAAATAATCATTCAGCATTTAAAATACTGAAACCTGCCCTGTAAATATTGGCTCTCAAAGTCTTACTGATTTTGATCAAAGTTTCACTGTCTGTATGACTTCCTGTGTTATTTGCTATGATGTCTTCATATATTATTGCAGGGTATAGATGGGGGGCATGTTATGGCTGGTTGAACATTGAGAGCCAATATTTGCAGGGCAGATTTGGGTGGGTTGAATGGTTAAAGGTGCTATCAGGTTTGACTCCTGTCGAAAAGGTACATTTGTTTCGATTACCCAGACCAATAGACATAAATTACACTGTTTAAAAAAAAGAAAGATATCCACTAAATACAACGTTTATAATAATAATAATAATAACAAATAGCTGTTTATCTAACCTGTGATATCATGGATAGAATTTATTAAACATGTCATAACTTTCCGTCAACACTAATAATTCCATATATGTGTTGTAACCTAGGAAAGGTTACTGAATAGAATAATCGCACAAAAGTTGGTAATGAACAATAATACTTAGGACATGAAAAACTCATATAAGATTCATCAGTGCATAGAAGAAGTAGTCAACTGCTAGAAGTGAGTCAAGTGAATTCTACAATGAATCTCCAACTGCAGACCAACATACAGTATTTACTACTGTATTTATGTGAATGGAGACATACCCATTATTGTCTGTAAATATGCTACAACAATATGCATAGCAAATTCTGTCAGCAGATTGGGTAAAAAATGAAACAGTCATCATGGCTGTATTTTAACACTGGATACATTTAAATGTGGTGTACATAGGCAATTTTCTTATTGCCCACTGACTTTCCTACTACACCGCTACTGTTCCACTTAATTTTCTACACTCATAAACTAAATATTTTTTATAATAAAGGGAAAATTGGATGACTAAATACTGAATTATGCTAAAGTTTATTCTAAAAAATTTGGGCAGTTTATAACACAGAAAATCCAGAAAAAATGGCTTATGCTGTTACCATAGGATTGTTTTATATATAATTTAAATTTGTGCTTATCATGCAGAGATATATTTCTCCAGTAGTAGTTAATTTCCCATGAGTATTGTGCTTTACTTATCAAGTTTGTTTTTCATTATTAATGAGTTTCATATTTCAACAAGTTTATCTTTCATTTTAGCTTTGTTGTTTTTTATCATAACACTTAGATCTTTTTTTTTTTATTTTACATTCTGTTGACCTCTTTTTGAAATGAGTATGTATTGAACATAAAGAAGTAACTTTTGACAAAATTTAAACTCACATCCTGTTTCCTTGATAGCCAATGTAACCTGCATATATCTTACTAGTTTTGGGTACTTCAAAATTCAGTCATTGTTAGCAAGCTAGTCTGGTTGACCATTACTATTAAATAGTTTTTTTTTTTTTTTCAGCAAAGGAGAAAACACTGTACAAATAGCAGAAAATGATATGTACCATTTATGGAGATGGTGCCATATCTGAGAGTAATGTGTCCTCTGCCATTTCTCACTTCAGGTGCTATAATTGTGGTCTTGTGCCAAAGCTTAGTAAATAATAACATCTTACCAATTTGGCAACTATGATTGTAAAATATAAAATGATCTGAGTATTTTAGCAAAAGGCAACAAAATAAAGAAAAAACAAGTCAGAAATTAATGAGGCTTAAAGGAATTTCATCATCTTTATACAATTACTTGTATATGTCTTATTACTAATGAGTGTAAACAAACAAGGGAAATAAGATGAATGAAATGCTAGTCAAATATAGACAATGATTTGGCCAAGAAAGATAAAGGGGGAAAAAGCCTAATTATGTAGCAACTATTTTTTCTTCTTTTTTATTTTGCAGGTATTATTGTGGTGGATGAACTTCACATGGTTGGAGACTCGAGTAGGGGTTATTTGCTAGAATTGTTACTCACAAAAATATTATATGTACTGAAATGTGAAATTGTAAGAAAGTCCAGGTAGGTTCTTTTTAAAAATTCCCTTCAGCAATAATTCTTTTCTATTTTTGCTTTTCATATGAATATGAGATACATTAAGAACCGTTGTTATTCAGAGTTTATTTTCTAGAGGCGTTAACAAATTGTTTGCACTTAAGAAAGTTTAAAAGTCATAAGTAAATCTGAAAAGTCTGTTCATAGTCTATCAATATATGATTAACTCACAAGCAATATTGGGTTGAAATAGAAGTTTGTAGTAGTTTTCAATAGGTGATATTTGAACATGTTATTTTGTTTCACACGTGACTGAAATATATGACATATGCATATATTTCAAAAAGTGACATTTCAATGCATTTTCTATAAAACTTGTGTATAGATTATGAATTTTGTTTTTACTTTAAAAGTTAAAATGAATGAAAGTGAGATGTATGTTCATTTGTTGCTCTTATTTCTGGAAAGGAAAAAAATACTACAGACAGCAAAAATGTGCCATTTATGGTGATGGTACAATATCTGAGAGTGATTGCTTGTAAGTGCTTCACTAGGTTCAGAAGTGGAAATTTTGGTCTGGAACATCTCAGCTGGGATACTGTGAATTTCATCTTGAATTCTCTGTTTTAACTTATCCAAAGTTCTTGGTCGAGTTGTGTAAACACAGTATCCCAGCTGAGATGGTGCAGCAGTCAATGAGGAATCTCAACAGCAGATTTCAAGAATGCATTTGTACAAGAGGACGCCATCTACAGGACGTAATTTTAAAAAAATGAAAATTCCATCATTGTTTCTTAAATGGCATGTTTTAAGGTTTCAATTACTATGAATAAAATATTTTTCTTCCATCACTATTGGTTTTATTGGATTGTTAAAAAGTTCCCGTTTTTTGGGGTCACCCTGCATATCAGTGTTATTGGTGAAAATTTATTTATTTCTCTATTGGATCATGTTATTTAAGTCATAGAAATTATGTGTGAAAAATATCACCTAAATGTCTGCCAAATCTGAAAGAAAAAGAAAAAATCATTAGACGCTTAAACTTAATTCACATTTAAGATTGATATAAGTTATTGGAACACCCTTTATAACTGTTATCTTTTTAATATTAAATATAAATCAAGAGTCCTTAAATGCTATCAAATTATTAATTCAATGCTCAGTTATTGTTTTTTTTATATCATTCAATTACTAACTAATAACAAACACATTTTCAGAGTTTCATCCTTTGAAAATTGATAGATAAGAAAAGCTTTTTTGTTTTCAACATGGTTGAATGTTTGGCATTTGTAAAGATATAAAAGCACATTCTTGATGTCATCTCATGCATCTTCACATTGCACGTGGGATTGTAATTTCAGGTAAATACTAGAATGCTCTTTATGATTTGATAATTTTGTACTTTCAGATCCAATCAAGGTAATGTGTTGTCATTAATACAGATAATCGGTATGAGTGCCACTTTGCCTAATCTTCCTGTCATAGCTAAATGGCTCAATGCATCACTTTATAAGACAGAATTCCGACCTGTACCCCTCCACGAGTGCGTCAAGATCAACAGAAGCATCTTTGATTCTGATATGAACAAACTTAGGGATATTGATATCCAGTATTCTGCCAAAAATGACACAGAATATGTCGTCCCACTGTGTCTGGAAACAGTATTTAATGGAGATGGTGTTCTTATTTTCTGCCCAACAAAAATGTGGTGTGAAAAACTGGCAGACACCGTGGCTCGGGAGTTTTTCAATTTCTTACATAAAATTGGAAGCGCTAATGTGGAAAAGAATGGTAAGTCATTGAGTTATGAAGATATTAAATTATATTATTTTGCATATAATAACACTGTTCTGTCTTTTTATAAGGCATGTCTTAATTCATTACTACTTCCTTTCTTATTTTTATTCATTTCTATAATAAAATCATTTACATTACAAAATTATTTCCAATGCATTTCTATAATAAAATCATTAAAAATGCATTTATATTATGAAATAAAATAGCCATATTCTGGTGTTTCTCAACCTTTTTAAGCAATGGCACACCTAAGAACAAAGGGAAAATATCACAGCACACTTACCGAAATTTTTAAAGGGTATACATTTAACTGTTATAGAAACCATAGATTTAATATGAACAAATTTCAATGCTTCTATTCAACTATCTGTGCAGCTTATTGAGTGTAAAACCTGTTCCCGGTGTTTTTTGCGATTTCTTCAATGTTTGGTCAAATGTGTGATAGGCAGACTCATTTCTCCTTCAGTGAAGAGTGTAGTCTTGTATGCCATGACAATATTTTGCAGCACATTTAAGAGGATCGTGTGGCACACTAGTGTGCTGTGGCACAGCAATTGAGAATCAATGCCCTATTTTGTCAGTAATGCTTGCATTCATTCCTGACCAAAAAATTACAAATGGGTTTTTAAAACCCATTTGTAATTTTTTTTTTATGGGTTTCTATATTAATATTATTTACAGTGCATTTCTGTAATAAAACATTAGCAATCAATGTATTTATATAGATCTATGTAATGTGTGCATAATATGCAGCGTGTGATGGATAAATTGCCATCTAAATTATGCAAAACTGAAAATAACACTGACATCTCATTTTAACAGATATATTTACCAAAATTACACAAAAATATCTTGAAATATGAAAGAGTAAATTTATCAAATAAAATCGCCATTAACTTCAACCATGGCATCCACACGACTTCAGAATCTCCTGTAACTCTTCTGGATGGTCGACTTGTTTAAGTTGTTGAATGCTGACATAGTCCTTGCCTTTGATTCATCTTTGGTGTTATAAGGAGTTTTGTTGGTCTCTCACTCAACTGCACTCTACACATAATAATCAAAAGGATTACAGTCTGGGGAGTTAGGTGGCCTGATGTAAGGGATGATGTGGTCACAGAAATTGTCTGACAGACATGACTAGATTCTCCTATTTGTGTGGCATGGTGCAGACTACTGTTGCCAGACATAGGGTCTTCCAGTAGTCACCCTCTTGACCCATGGCAGCCATACTTCCACAAGGCACTTGATGTAGGCCTCCATGTTGAGTCTGAAGCTGTGTGGGAAGATGAATGGAGGCATAACATCGTCATCACTAGTGATCACTCCAAACACCATGATGTTGACTATATATATCATCGAACTCTTTCCAAATCCTCTGCACTGTCCTCAGATTGACATCCAAACACTCTGAAATGTTTGTATTGGAGCCTCTGGCACTAATGCCAAGCAGTACAGCTTACCGTTACCAAATTTCTGGCAAAGTGAATTATATCATGTTGCTCTTTTTCTCACAGAAAATGCCCAACTGAATACCACTATACTGTGCAGTCAACAAAATCAAAAATGAAGAATATAGACATAATATGTTTATTTTTATAATAATCCTATTTCTCTGATCAGTTTCTTGATGTTAAGATGAAATTCATCAAGGAAGGTGCTGTAGTTTTTTCTTACCAATGTACTTTCAACTTCCTCTGAGATATATATATATATATATATATATATATATATATATATATATATATATAAGCTTAAAAGTGGCATTTTAGCTAGCTTCTGTGGAGGGCTCTTGATTGGGACTTCATCTCAATAGGTAGGGAGGAGTAGATGTGATAGGCAACAACAAACTACAGAAGAACTCGAAATTGATCACTGCATTTAAGTATTGCATTAATATTTAAGCTTTTAAAAGTCCAATGATGATTCTGCTACTGCCACTTAATTTAAAGACAATTTGATGTACGTAGGTCCTTACTTTCCGTACAAACAATTATTTTTATTTCATGGGTGACTTTTGCTGGATTTCGCAAATAATTTCAATTATTTCAAAATTTAGTTAATAATAAGTTATAAAAATTGTCGTACAAAAAATTTGTCACAAAAAAAAATCACTGAAAACAATCATAGTAATGAAAACTTGGGAATTCAAAATTTAAGGATTGCAGGTCCAGATCCGGTCCTGAATGTTTTTAATTTGCTCACGGAGTTGGCCTGATTCTAAAATAGTATGATATGTTGTGCAATGTCCTCTGGGAGTAAAGGTGAAAAAGTGAGACATACTGACATTCACATATATATAAAATGTGTGTGTTTTGTTGAACAAGACTGACAATCTACTCTTGTTTAGTTTTTCTTGCGTGTGTACAAGTGTTTTCTTCAATGAAACATGTATTAAGTAGGGATTGCTGCCCAAATACACAACATATATAGGAACCACATGTAAATGGAGTAAGGTACTGCTGTTGGGAGAGGCACTTTGACCCCTCCAAACCATACCTGATACCAGCATTTTCATCTGACAAAGACTTTGTAGAACTGTTGCTGTTTTTACAATGGTAGTTGTTAATTATTTATAAAATTACCACAATTAAAAATAAAAAAATTAATTACCAATGACTTTTATTAATGTGCTTAGAATATTTTTGGGGTGCTGAATCCATTATTGACATTAGTTTTCTTGAATTAGAGCTCTTTTGAGATAATGGACATTTCCCAAATTCTGATTTTTACCCCAGTTTAGTGTGTTGGCTACTTCAGTAATTAATGTGTAAGGTTTCTTATGAGAATATTTTATCAGTACATGCAATGGTGGTGAAAAGGTACATGTACAAAATAACAGACACTGATTGATTTGTAATGCAAGATAACATTTATTAAACAAAATAACAAAAGGAAAGTTTCTTTTCCTAGAATTAAATTGCATACACAATGAAAATTGTTAATTAATGTATTAGTATGTGACTTGTCTCTGTAGGTGTGTTTGTGTGTGAAGTGTCCACAGTCCTTTTTGCTTCAGTGTGAAAAGTCGATGGTGCACACTTCTAAAGGAGGAAAAATAGGAAGAGTGTTAATTTAAGGGTTTACATTGTTTTTATACATTCAGCTCTGCACAATTAAGGCACAACATCAGTATGCTGTCAGATTTTTTTTTTTTTCCAAATTTTCAAGCAACAAGCCAAAACCTTTTTCTTTAGTAGACAGACTTTTTGACTTCAAAGTAGCTGAAACTATATGGCCTACATTAATTTGGGAAACTACTATTAGTATGGTGGTATCTGCCACACAGAGTTTACTGACTATTTTGTGTTAGGAAGAATAACATGTTTTAGCCTTCCAGCAGCACACCGATACTAATATTAGCATTAGTGTAGCCTTTGATACACTAATACTGAATGCGAATATAGAAAGACGAAATACGTGAGCGTAACAAACAAAACGTTTAATAAGGCAAACAACTTACGTACATATATTCAAAAGATTTACATATGTCCCAAAACAAATGATTGTCCATATTGTCCCAAAGGAACGAGGAGGTTTACAGAATGAGAACAAAGAAATAACATACCAACTTTATGGCCTTTGATCGTCTGCAGATAAGTGAATAGAAAGTACTTTTTTCTTTCACTAGGCCGTACACATGTTGACCAGTTTCCACGTGTATGGACACCCTGGTGGTCAGGAAGGTAAAGAGGCCGTTCCTCCAAAAGAGGAAGCAAAGACAAAAAAGGGAACAGGAGAGTTCTACTCTCTAAAAAGGGCCAAAACTCCCATGAGCTCAACCCAAGAGAAAACAACTGTGTTCTCCGTACACTACTTTAATCTGCTACTGACCATAACCTCGCAAACAGCAGAAAACATCATATGATGAAAAGAATCATTTATTGACCAACCATCAAAGGAGTCAAAAAAGCTCTTTTTACACCAATATGATAGGCCATTTTTGCAGTATTTCTACATAATATGGCTGTTATCTTACTTATTATAAAACGCAGGTTGTGTGTGTGTGTGTGTGTGTCTGTAACGTTTATATGTTGGATCGAATTTCCTACATTTTTAGCCGATTTCAACAAAACTTCACAGGACTACATAAAATTACCTTGTGGTGGTTCTAACGGGGTCGAAAATGGGAAAAAATACAGTTGTTTTTAAGAAAATCAATTTGAAAACACGATTAAGACATATCATGAGAATGAAAGGGGGGAGAACTCACCCACGAAAATGTAAACAAAAGAGCATAGCATGATGAAAAAAGATGCGAACTTGATGAAAACAAAATTTTATCGTCTAATGTTCATATTATTATTAAAGAGGAAAGATCAAAGTATTTTGGGGGTATTTTTTACATTTTTAATCGTTCCTAGCACGTCTGAAATTTTCGTTAAAAATATTGTTTTTTTTTTTTTTATCAAAAAAAAAGGCAGATAATCATTTTCAATCTTTTTTTTCGATTTGATAAAAAGATTAAAATCTTACTTTGATATTCTTTTAAAAGTCAATTATCATTTTTTCAAAACTGATTTTAATAAAAACAGATATTATATTGTTTATTTAAAATATTTTGAACCAAGCTTAACTTGGCTTCTGCGCTGAAAAAAATGTAATTTGAAAATAAAACAAAGCAGGTCATAACCTTTCGTGTAAACTTGACGATTGACGAAAGGCACATTCATGACGTTTAGATAACTTACGGGAGGAGAATTCTTTCTACGGATGGAAGGAAGTGAAATTATTTAAGTGAACAAATTATTTACCTTGTTACTTTTAAGGAAAACTTTCAGCGCTCTAATTTTTTTATTTTTTTTTTTTTTTGTACTTAGCTTTCATTTTTACGTTTACGATGCTTTATGGAAAATATAAAAAATTAAAAAAAAAAGACTGTTAATAGTGAGATTAAATTTCATAAGAAAAAGGTATCTAATTAATTTAGGTACCTTTCTTATGAAATTTTATCAGAAGTATTACATAAAATACTATAATTTTATGTACATTTATTACATTTTACTGTGTTATTTGTATTTCCATTCATTTTATTATTAATTTTGATATTTTATTTATGGAAAAATGTCATAACTGAGATTAATATAAAAATAAGATCATATAAATTAAAGTTTAGCAGTAGTTAAATTTCATAAGATGATACTGTTACTTGTAGGTACCCTTCTCAGTTGAAATTGAAAACTCAAATTAACTTCTCCATACGTGTTTTCGCAAAAAGTAAAGGGCTTAACAGCGGAGAACAATGCTGAACTCAAATAATGCAACTAAATTGTATTCTGCTTGGTCTTCCGTACTTGATAATTACTGTCCAACTATAAACATAAAAATTACATTTCTTAATTACCATGGCTAATCAGATGTCCAAATTATACAATTTTCAAAGCGCTAGACAATGACAATCTCACACGGACATTTTGAAAGGTTGATGTTCCTTTTAACTAATGTTAAAATATTTTAAAAAATTCAATTTAAAATTTTTTTAAAATCTTTTTAAAATTAAAGAAATAAGAAATAATTGTATCGAAAATTCAATTTTCATTGAAAAAATTTTTTGCTTTCAAAAAATATTGTCCATATTCATAAAAACAAATTAAAACAAATAAAAGCATTTGAAACTAAATAATATATTTGTTTTATTGAGTTTTTTATGTTACAATTCACAGCTGATTTTCAGGTACGTTGGCCAAAAAAAAAAAAAAAAAAACATGATTTGCATTCTTCAAAGCCTTGTGCTTTTAACTATTGTAATCACTAAAACCGATGGTCTCGAATTTCTAGAGTTTTCATAAAATTAGTTATGGGGTGTTAATAAATATAAAAAAAATATTTCTGCCATGACTTTAATAAAAAAAAAAAAAAAATATTTATAATAATTTCGATCATCTGTGAATAGTTTCTGAAAGTTTCATTAACATCTGACAATTATTTTTATTTTTTGCAAGATTTTCCAAATTAATGTGTGTAAATACAAAAAAAAAAAAATAAAAATTATCTATGTTATTTACTACCCCTTGTTGCGACAAAGAGAAACAAGGTTTTTAAATCAAAATTTAGAATATTCTAAAAAGATGGAAAAATTTTTAAAATAATTAAAAGAAAATTTAGTCTATCCTCTTCATAAAAACATAAGCATTTTGACGATAAAATTTTGTTTTCATAAACTTTAAGCGTCTTTTTTCATCAGACTATGCTCTATGTTTTAGCGATTCCGTGGAGTGACTTAGATTAAAAGACCCAGGTTGTTTATGTGTGTGTGTGTGTGTGTGTGTGTGTGTGTTCCTTTATATATGGGATCGGATTTCTTACATTTTTCAGCCGATAAAACAAACATCCACTTTTTTTTTTTTTTCGGCAGGTAGTATTTCTTGTTGTCTTGCACACTTTTCTTTATTTACATTCAGAATGCTTTAAAAATTCCATTTACAAGACAATTGTTTATAATAAAATTCTATTCACCAATCGATAGACTCATAACGATTGTAAACAATGTTTTTTGTTTGAATTTGGGTTTGACCAATTCGTAAAAAAAAAAAAAAACTAATTAAGACATGCGTGTCCGTCAACCTTAAACAATAATCTTTGTCAATTTTATTTTTCAGTCTTTATGATGGTCGATACTTGATCTATCTCTTACTGTTACATCCCCGGGCAACGCCGGGCTCTACTGCTAGTTAGTGTTATGATAGCAGAGATTTTTGCAAGACAGTTTGGATATTCTCACCTTTCTTTTAAAGTTTTATCAAGAAATTTGGAGAGATATATTACAGTTACCATTGTGAAAAAAGAGCCATCTATAAAAAAGGTGCCAAACTTCTGGTCAGTATTTCCATTTAAAAAAAATGTTGGAAATCTTTAACTTTCATGCCTGCAAAAAAACTCAAAAAAAAAAAAATGTCAAAAGGATACCTTTTCACTAGACACCACTATTAATCTTAACTACCTTCACTCTTTGGTAATGTTTATTGTTTTAAAAAGCAATAGTTAGAATTTCAATAACACCCAAATATATGATATTGAATTTATATGTTTTCTTTGTTCTTTAGAATTAACAACAAAAATAAAAACTATTAATTCCAGCATGAAAGATGAAATCAAATGATCAAACAACTAAAGGCAAATTTAGCAACAAATGTATATATGTGACAATGATAGTCGCTCTGAAGAGCTGGGCAAACTCAATTCTTAAATAACTATTATCTAAAAAAATACAGTCAATTTTGCAAAACTAATGACATATTTAGAATCAATACTCAAGAATTAATCTCATTGTCAGTAAAATTAGTATTGATCAGTGTGATGTATGGTGGTATAGTAAAACTATCAAATATATAAATTTATTTATAAAAAGAATCACTATTTTTATTTTATGCTTTGTTTTTTTTCTCCTAACTTTTTGTATTTGATGACTTTGTCTTGTTACACAAAGTTTACAAAAATATATGTAATCCTGTATAAAATTGTTTTGTAGTACATAATCATAATTCCTGTAGTTGATCTTCTGCTTGTCTGTGTGGCTCACCTTTTATTCAGGTTATTTACGATGCTTGCAAATTAGCGATAGTTTTAAAAAAGCTAGAACCAAATGTTTTAACTAAATTGCAAATGGCAGCTCTGATTGTGCAGGTGAGACATTGTGACCTCTTAGCTTCAGATAAGTCAGATTTTCTTGGTTTTATTTCACCATATGTCTTATTGAATTTTTTTTATTTTAGATTTGGAACACAATTGTCGAACATTACCCATTAACAAAAAAGCAGCTTATGATGTTGTAGAACAATTGAAAAGATGTCCAGCTGGCTTGGACAGTATTCTTCAAAAGACAATACAGTGTGGAGTTGCTTTTCATCATGCAGGTTAATAAAATTAATCATTAACAATATTTTTACGTTTAATTCTTCTTTTTTTGGCAGCATAGTTTTCTCTCTTTTTCTTATTGTTTATTCAATTTACTAAAAGACCTCCTCTCCTTTTTATGACCCATAAAATATCTTCCAGATTTTATTTATACATGCACACACACACACACACACACATATATATATATATATATATATATATATATAAAGAGAGAGAGAGTTGAGACTATTTCTATTTTGTAAGCTGTATGCACAGATGCCATCAATTACCAATACTATAAAATTTTATTCCCTACCAAATCTATGTTTTTGTGTCAAACACAAAAACTTAGTAGGAATAGCAAGTCATAATAGGTGCAAATCACAAATAAGTCTCAACTACTGTTTAAAATTTTAAAGGAAAAACGTTTATTACACAATTACAGAAAAGGTAGAAATACAAATTTTGACAAAATTTTCCTTTTGTGCACCTTTTAAGGCAGGATAAGAATTTCTGATAAAAAGGATTACCATTGAAAAATGGAAAAAAAATTACAGTTTGGGAAAAGACAAGATTCAATGACAAAAAGAGAAAACAATTCAAGAAGGCAGAAAAACAAAGGTGCAATCACCTTTCAAGAAAAAATGAAAACATCTATTTTTACTTGCCCCACAAGCATCTCCAGCCCATATTGTAATGTTAGAAAAGTCCCTTTTAAATTCACACTGTTCATGCTTGGGCGAAATGTTGCTTAGAATTCTTTTCCTTCTTCATTGTCTAACCACATGAGAATTTTCAATTCAAAATTCTTTAGTCTCTCTACAGCTGGCTGGTAACCATGTGCCTTCTTGATGCTCACTTCTTGATGCCAAATGACTTCTGCTACTTGATATTAACTTGTTCCCTTGAAATATAGTCTATTAGTAATTAAGAGTAAAAAATAATATTTTATAATTGTAGTTCAATATAATGTATTCTAACCCAAAAACCCCTATTAGAAAGAATTTTTAAGTATACAAGTACAAATTTAATGGAAAAAAATGCCGGAAAACTTTTTGTCGTTGATAAAAAACAAAAACAGATGACATGGATTAAATGGATGTTCATTGAAAAATGCATCCCTACCATCCCTAGACTTAACCTCTTTTCCAACGTAACTCATAATTGATACAATAATAGTTAATAAAAAATGAACATGCTACCACCCCTGTCGAAATGATTGGATTCCTCTGTATCCTTGGAAATGAAAAATTATGAATTGTATGTGCGTTTAAAACTCAGTAAATTTAAAAATAAGTTATTCCAAAATTTGCTTGAAGATGAAACAGAACTAATGCTTTTAATTTAATTCTATAATTAAATTTGAAGTTTTTAGCTTCAGTTTTTGAAACATACGTAATTCCTGTGTAGCAAAGAAACCATATTTTAAATCAGTTAATTTATAATATATATGTATATATGTATGTATGTTTTCTTTTTCATGACAGGTCTTACATTTGATGAAAGAGAAATAGTAGAATCTGCCTTCAGAAAAGGAATTATAAAAGTTTTAATTGCAACATCAACGTTGTCCTCAGGTGTAAATTTACCTGCACGTAGAGTCATCATTCGGACAATCATGTTCCATGGAAAGACAATTGACACGCGTACATACAAACAGATGGTAGGCCGAGCTGGTCGAAAAGGCGTGGATATTGAAGGTTTGTATTGGTGTCTGCCGGGGCTTGAGATTAACATGATCTCATTATCCAGGGGACAAAGGACAATAGGAGATTAATTTGAAATGACTGATGGGTTAATTTTTTTTTTCTTTTTTGATAATGATGGATGACACACAATTTTTTAATTAAAATCCTATTGTATTTATTCTAAAAGCAGCTAATTTTTTTGATTTTGGTTTAAGTTCTTTTGGTACAATTAACATTGTTTTTTTTTTTTTTTTTTTTTGTGAGGTGGATAGTTTGAGGATGATAGTGAAAAAATTAGTCTGGAACCCTGGTATTTGTAATTTTAAACTTTTGTGATTACTCATAAAAATATCACTTTTCCCTTGATTATTAGCATAAAACTGTAAAAAAAAAAATCTTATTTTGCACTTTCTTGCAGAATTTGAAACTGCTTAGTCTATAATCATTTGCTTTTGGCAGTCTTTAACCTTCAAGCTCACAAAAATGGTGTATCAAAAGAGGGTTTTTTCTTATGAACATACTTAACTAATATGAGTTATCTCCCCTATTATTTTAACTACTTTCACTCTTTGGCAATATTTATTGTTTTAAAAAGCAATGATTAGAATTTTGATAAAACCTAAACGGATGAAAGTGAATTTATACATTTTCTTTGTTCTCGAGAATTGACAGGAAAAATATTAAACACTATTTATTTATTTATTAGATTGTTTATTTGCAATAATAATTTTATATTTGCAACATTCTAAAAACTAACTGTATTAAAACTAATAGTGTTTAATATTTTTGTTGTCAATTCTCAAGAACAAAAAAAATGTATGAATTCACTTTCATCATATGCTTGAGTCTTGTTACAATTCTAATCATCACTTTTTAAAACAATAAACATTGTTGAGGCGTAAAGGTATTTAAAATAATTGCGGTGTCAAAGAAAAAAAAATGTCCTTTTGACATTGTTTTTTTTGTTTTTGTTTTTTTTATGGGTATGACGGTTAAACAATGATCTTTTTTGTTTTATTATTGAAAGAAAGTTTTGAATTGTTTCATATTTTTTTTTTTAATATTTATTATATATATATATATATATATATTACCTTTTTTTTTAAATATTTTTTTTTGATTTAATAATGGCAATGGTACATGTTTTCAGAAATTTTTACAAAACATTAAAAAACCTCTTATTTGAAACAGCAAGATTGCAAATACACTCTGCACAATAAATAATAAAACACAAATTAGGCAGGTGTTGATAACAATTGTTTACAAATGATATTTGATATGTAAGCAATATTTGTTCTTTGAGAGTCAGCGTAATTGAACATCTTTTGTCTGAAAGTCAGAAAATTTACCGGAATTGATTAAAAATATTAATAAAGGTAATACGCAAGATTTATCCTGTTTTGATAACATTTTCAAAAAAAAAAAAAAGTGCAACTTTTCAAAAATATTTACATAGGTATGGCTATACTATAGGATCATATATTCAAGGATGTAATTTATTTCCTGTTTTTAGTTTCTGAAACATGGGGTCATATTGTACACAAGTACATATGGTAATCAGAAATTTTTTCCAACACATTTCTGTCTGAAATTCTGAGATGAAGAATCATCATTATTAGACATTGATTACAACTGATCAGGGCCGGTACTAGGGTCTCGGCCTCCACTCCTGAAACTTTAATGCAGCACCCCCCCCCCACTACATGTTGAAATTACTGGATTTTAAAACCCAGTAATTTTAAAAAGTTACTCCAAAATTCGCTTGAGGATGAAATGGAACTAATGTCTTTAATTTAATCACAAAATTAAATTCATGGCTTTTAGCTTCCATTTTTGAAACATGGTTAGAACTGTGTAGCGAAAAAACCATATTTTAAATCAATTAATTTATAATATTAATGCTCTGTAAATTTACATTGAGCACTATTTTGTAAAAATAAAAATATCTATAAGAACACCGGATTATATATCTTGCTGTTCTTTCTTTTTATTTATATATATATATATATATATATAACATTATTTTTAATATTCTATAATATTGGAAATGAGATTTCAAGAACATACAAAAGCACACATATGCACATACAAAAAATTAATTCTTTATTCCTCATGCAATAAAATCTTTCATTAAAATTTAAAGTGTGGCCCAGAGTTTTAGTTATTCTACAATTGCAATCTGCTCTGTCCCCTCAGGCTCTCGAAAACTTCCTACTCTTATTAGCATTTAATATTGGTTCTAATCCTGTAGGAATGACTGCAAAATACTTCCCCCTCCCCAATTTATAGGCAAAAAACACACAGATGCATGCTGGGATTTCTTCCTAGCCAATAAGATAGGCTACTTTTGAATTTGATCTGACTCAGTCCCAGTCTTTTTTGTCTTGAAGCCAAAACACTACGTTCGTTTATCTGAATTTGCTCTTTTTGTCAACACTAATTTTTAGTTTGTGAACTCTTTTGCCATATTACTGTTTCTTTGCCTTATTACTGTTAATTTACCTTGCATATATTGTTTGCTTGCTTTACATTATTTCTTAGCCTGTTCTTTACTTTTTCTTATTGTTTATTGCAAACTTTGTCAATTCTGTTTGTTGGGCAGTTCTGCCATTTACATTTAACCATGGCCAATTAGTAATGTTTGTCTTTTCACCATCCCTCTTACTCCTTGTTCTGCTTTCCATTGTCAGGAAGGTTACTCTCTGCTTTCTTCTGCTCCTCTTGACTTTAATATGTCCTGTGAATGTTACATTCCCCAAGCACTCTTTCCTCATGTCTCCCAGAAATTTCAACTGTCTCTTTTTGATTGTAAATACAATTGTCCTTTTTCATTCCCATTTTCCTTAAAACTTCTTCATTGCTCACATGTTCTGTCCATAGAATTCTCATCATCCTTCTGCAGAACCACATTTCTGTTGTCTCAAGTATTCTCTTCATCTGTGAGGTAATTTTTCAGCATTCACTACTATATCGGAGTCTTGATATTACTTAGTAGTTGAGCACTACTTTTTTTTTTTTCTTGTTTCTGATGAAATTTTCCTGTTTCTTAATACTTTGTTTAGCTTTTTGGAAGGCATCTTTTGCTATTCCAGTGTGTCTTTGGATTTCTGTATCATATTTTCTGTTATCTGTTATAACACTTCTCAGATAGTTACATTTCGGTATTTGCTGGATTCTGACATCTCCAATTTGTGGCACTCGTCATGGACTGTCTTTCTTACTTATGAATATACTTAACTAATATGAGTTATCTCCCCTAACATGAAAGGTGTAAGAAGAATAGTCTCCTCCTGTGGATTGAATAAAGAGTTTTGTTTTAAATTCTTAGAACATTATTGAATACAACAGGCACTAGGAGGCGGCTACAGTATATAATGGCTGTTGTAACTATGACAACCAAGATGAGGATATCCAGTGTATAATGACAAATATTTTTGTTTCTTTATTTTTATTAATTTTTTATAACTCATATTTTTCATGGAGATATTTTATATAGATGAGTAATTGTTTATTTCTTATTACCACATCACAACGTTTATGGCCATATCATGTTAAAACACTGATTCTTGTTTAATCACCAAAGTTAAGCAATGTCAAGCTTGGTCATTACCTAGATGCATGACCTCTTGCAAATACTAGGTGCTGTAAGCTTGGATGTACATATGGCATAATGGATAGCGTCTCTGAATGAGAAATCATATAGCCGTGTTTGAATTTCGGTTGGGTTCGTTACATCCACTTATGCACAAATGAATGAGGTATGAATTCAGTTCCTTCCTCCAGCTATGGGTTAAATAGTAGGACTTTAATCTGGAAAAAATCTGATGCTTTGATCCTTGTTTTTATCCTTTCCCTCCATACCCAGTCTTTTGTCTTACTTTCACTCTCTGTAGCCCCCTGCATACAAGTGGCACTTTTGCCTTGCTTGGGGTGAAATGCTTAAAAAAAAATATTCACTCCCAAAAAACATATTTTGAATTAGAAGAATAAATCATTCTTATATTCCTAAATATTTTTTTTCTACAAGTGGTTAGTAAACTGTAAAAAAAAACAAATTACTCAATGATCTATTTTACATAGGTTTGTTCTGGTTCAAGCCATATTAAAGATATGTACCAAAGTTCCATACAGTATTCAACAAAATTATGATACATGGTCAGTATGAATTATTTAAATGTCCTTGCAATTGCAGTCTTTTAATGTTATTGGTATTTAACCCTCTGAGAATCCTAGTATGTTAAAGGTAAAGATCTTCAAGCCTTATAGTGTTCAGTCCAGTGTTTTAACCATATAACTATTACCTTAAAACTAATAACAGTGAACATGTTTAATTTTACTACTGACAAACTAATAATATTTTTGTTGCTATAATTTCTCAGGTGAAAGTATCCTTATATGTAAAGCTAACGAGAAGCAACAAGCAAATGCTTTGCTGAAATCATCCTTACCTGCAGTTGTAAGTACATTGTTAAGACATCCACAGGACCATTTGAGCACATCTATGAAGAGAGCCATTTTAGAAGTAAGTATATTCATAAATAATAGAATTTATTAATAATTATTTGAATCCTAAGTATTTTTAAATATTAATTTTTCATGTGTTATTTTTCTTCATCTTGTTGCTTTTATCTCGTCATTCTAGGTTGAATACTCTAAAGTAACATAAAATTGGAATTATGAACTAGTTTCCCTGATCAAACTGGTTAAAGTATTGTTCATGAAAAGTAAACTCTCAAGATATGGGATTGAAATTTATTTATTTAAATTTATGAGGTTTGTTGAGTAAAACTTAAAGTACAGGAATCTATAATTGAAGGAAAAGGATTTTGGCTAAAAAGAAATGACCAATATTAAATTCGAAATATCTTGAAAAGAACCAGATTAGCCCAAAAATGGAGGATTACTGTCATATTTGGGCTGAAGTAAGATTCTCAAGAAAATCCGAAGAAAGGTCTGTAATATCATTGGTCCTGACCTGGCATCTCAGCTTCAGTCACTTTCTCACTGGTGTAATGTGGCTTCTCTATGTCTTTTCTATAAATTTTTTTCATGTCAGTTGTTCTAATGAGCTCTCCTGACAGGTATATTGACTACATTAATTTAAGTGCATTACTAGTTTGGCAACAAGGTGTCCTCTTTTTACTGTGGAAATAGCTAGATGTAATCATAAGTTCTATTCTAATTGTTTCTTTTCTCACACTTCTCACCTGTGGAACTCTCTTCCAGTTTCTTGCTTCCCTACCACCTACGTTCTTCAAACATTTAAATGCAACATCAATTGTCATCTTCTGTCTTCCTGAAACCTGTTCTTTTATTGTCCTTTCTTCAAACTAAAGTCTTCTCATTCTCTTCCATTTCCAGTAATCATTGTTGCGATGCTTGGGGGGAAATGATTAAAAAACAAAAGTTTTAATCCTCACTTTCCATCTTTCATAGAGTTCAAAATTTTATGTTGCTACACAATCTTCATGTGGGTGTGAGGAACAATGTAAAGAGTTGCAGGCCAACAAAAGAGTTTGTATATATAGGGTGGTGGAAGTGAGAGTGGAGTGTAAAATCAGGTTAAATTTGGAATTTTTCAATGGGCAATTTTTGTATGCTTCCCAATTTTGACACTGCATTAAAGTTTTTATTTCCATGGACAAGATTGTATTGAACTGTTCATAACTTCAACTTTCTTTCTTTTTTTTACCCTTCTGTAACATGTCTTGTTAATACATTTATTAATTGTTGGTGTTTGAATTTCATGTTTTTGTGTCCATTTTTTTTTTTTTTTTTTACCCAGACTTACATGAGTCTGCCAAATATTGTTTGTGGGACAAATATATCAGGAGGCATGAAATGATAATACTTTCCATTTCCACAACAAAAGTAGTAACTCTGTTGTGATTATTGTCATGGGACAAGCTATAGTTACACAAGTAATATGGCTAAGGTGATTAATATTCCCAAATCAAGCAAGAATGCCCATTTGTGGAAAAATGTTTAATAAAATGTATGGTCAATAAGGCTACTTGGACAAGTAATAATGACATCATCAAATGTTATATTGGAGGTACTTTGAGACTCGGATAGCTGAATTCCAATTGGGTTTTTTATATCCACTTATGCACAAATACCTTTAGGAAAAGTTATGAATCCACCTCTTCTTACCCCAGCTATATGATAATTAATAGGACTTGTATCAGTATATTGTTATTATCTCAAAAAAGTCTTAGTATCTAAAAATATTTTATGGCTTTAAATAACCTGCAAAGGGTTGAGAAGCCATAAAAAAAAAAACAAATCAAACAATCATTTCACCTTTAACATTGATGATTTCTGTTGTTATTCTGCTGAAAAAAAAATGATGAAATGTTTCTACTTATTTCAGATTATTGTGAGTGGAGCTGCCAGAAAACCTTCTGATGTTTACCTTTATACCAAATGTACATTGTTGTCTGCTTGTTTAGAAGAAGAGAAAGAGGCAGGAAAAGCAGTGACCCATGATGTTGATCCTGTCCAAGAGTGTATACAGTTTCTGGAAGAAAATGAATTTATAACTCTTAAAAAGGTACCTAATGCAGGTCAGTATATCTTCTGTCCTGTAGCCTTATAGTAATTAAGTAAATTTTATTGCTAGTAATAATATCGGATATGACAGATTCCAAATTTCCACATTTACAATCCAAGTTCAAGATTCCCAAAGTGGGCAGTGGAAAGATACAGAGTCCAGTGAGGAAAAAGAGGATGTTAGAGAGCATTTAAAATAATCGTAAGGGACATAGAATAAAATCTTAAGGGACATATAAAGAATACAGTCTTAAGGGACATATAAAGAATAAATTCTTAAGGGACACAGAGTAAAATCTTAAGGGACATAGAATAAATTCTTAAGGGATATAGAAAGAATAAAATATTAAGGGACACAGAAAGAATAAAATATTAAGGGACATAGAATAAATTCTTAAGGGACATATAAAGAATACAATCTTAAGGGATATAGAAAAAATAAATTCTTAATGGACACAGTAAAATCTTAAGGGACACAGAATAAATTCTTAAGGGACATAGAATAAATTCTTAATGGACACAGAGTAAAATCTTAAGGGACACAGAATAAAATCTTAATGGACACAGTAAAATCTTAAGGGACATAGAAAAAATTCTTAAGGGATATAGAAAGAATAAAATATTAAGGGACATGGTATAAGATCTTAAGGGATATAGAAAGAATAAATTCTTATGGGACACAGAATAAAATCTTAAGTGATATAGAATAAATTCTTAAGGGACATATAAAGAATAAAATATTAAGGGATATAGAATAAAATCTTAAGGGATATAGAAAGAATAAATTCTTATGGGACACAGAATAAAATCTTAAGGGACATAGAATAAATTCTTAAGGGATATAGAAAGAATAAAATATTAAGGGATATAGAATAAAATCTTAAGGGATATAGAAAGAATAAATTCTTATGGGACATAGAATAAAATCTTAACGGATATAGAAAGAATAAAATTAAAAGAAGTCATGCATGAACACATGGTTTTATTTAATTGTTGTCTCAAGTTAAAGTTCAAATGTTTGCTTATATCTTGCTAATGTTATCTAGTCAGGATGCACCAGATGCCAGCCAGTGTCAACAGGGGTGAATGCTCTAGGTTTGTAGGTGTAGTCATGTAGCTAGAGGATGTTTGTCTGGAGACATCTAATGGCTTCTGAAAAAAATCTTAAAATCACTCTTAAGTCAGCATGAGCTGGAGTTGTGATAATTTTTTTTTTTTGAAGGGGATTAAAAATATTTTAGTTTCTAAAGATTTTGTTTAATTCTGATCTTTTGCAGATAATGAACAAGAATTAGAATTTTGCTTTTTCCCTACCCAGCTTGGATCAGCTGTTCTATCATCTGGCCTTTCTCCTGACGAAGGGATCTATGTTTTCTTAGAGCTGCAGAGAGCAAGACGATGTTTTGTGCTTGAAAATGAATTGCACGTTCTTTACTTGGTGAGCATTTTACCACATTTCCTAAATTGGTTCAAAAAAGCTGTATAGCTTGTAGCCAGAAAATATCAGGGCATATCTACATGATATTTATGTGGACCTTTTGTATTATTTTAATCATTGCTTAGATGTTTATATTTATATTTAACTTATATTTCTACCTTTGTAGCTTGAAGTATATAAGTTGTGTGGATGTGTGGTTTTACACTTTTTCCTCCCATTTATTTATGTTTATTTTAAATATATAATTTTTTTTTAAACTATCTCCGTAAATAATATAGGCTGCTCCACTATTAAGATAGTCTTGTGTTTGTGTGTGTGTGTGTGTGTGTGTGTGTGTATATATTTATATATATATATATATATATATATATATAAATTATGTAATGGTCAGTCTTATTCAGCACCTGAAGATTGCATTATGCTCTGAGTTGTGCTACAGGTGAGGAAAAAAAAATTTATATTTATTATTAATATATAATTTATTTATAGTTATTATTAATACATGGACTCGATGTGAAATATATAGACACTAAAAATCTTTATTCAACTCTGATTTACTCTTTACTTTCCATAATTCCATGTATTCTCAACTGCCATCTTATTTAATGACTTATGTCCACAATCTGTATGTTAAATGAGGTCACTACGGGTCCTAATGTCAGTTAATACAACTGAGGCAAACTCTTTTGTTCTCACTGCCAACTCATGTATACACACCATTTCCTTCCACCCTGCTTCCTACACAATAATAAATTTACATCTTTCTTTCCCTCACTCTTTCAATATGAAGTCATTGTTCTTAACTTTTAAACCTGGAGTGAATTTTTCCGTTTACATTTGGTTTACAGGTCTGAAGATTTGAAGCCATTTTTATTGACTTCAATGCAATAAATATCACCTATTGTGTTTCTTTTTCATTATATAATAATTTTTGCTCTGTCTTTGATATAGAGCTCTCAATGGATCTATATCCTCTCGGAACTTCCATGCAGATCACTAATAATTTTATTAATATATATATATATATCCATTTATTGTTTAAACCGTTTGGTCTGATGAAACAAAACTGAAAAATCAGTTTCACAAAATATTACCATGGGTTTTTGAAATCTCTGCTTTCATAATATATATATATATATATATATATATATATATATATATATATATACACACACTTTATTATAGGATATTACATTAAAACATATGCAAAAACTGCTGCATAATTGCACTTTCGTGTTTTAATGCATATCATCGCATACTGCCTGATGAGATGCGAAATGTGCATCAAAACATGAGAGGCATTTATGTAGCATTTTTTTACATATATTCTAATGTAATATCCTATATAAAGAATACTGCTCTATTATTGTATTGAGCCCTATTTTTAAATTAATCTTATGAACGTTTGAATTTATATTTGATTCGTTTCTCATTTCATTTGTATGTATATATATATATATATATATGTATGTATGTATATATATATATATATATATATATATATATATATATATATATATATATAATTAACTAGCAGTCATGTAAGTTCTGATATTATAAGTAGGATTTATTAAACAAATATTTTATTTGCTCTCATCATTACATATTTAGTGACACACCAAATTTGGATGGGTAATGAAACAATAAATATGGTTATTGAATGGCAATTGCGAGATTAATTGTTTCCAAAAACAGAAAACAGAATTTATTGACTGAACATTTAGATTTACTGTCAGCTGAAATTCATAAAATGTTTCTCATGAAAAGGATCTTTCTTAAAACAGTTTTTCTGGAAAATAGGCTGTTTCTAGTATTGACAGCATTTTCCTTCCTAACCTTTTATTTAAGGTAGTGTGGAAAGCCAACACCTTGATTATATCATTATTTTCCCTTCTAGTTACATGTGCTACCTATTTTTGTTGCTGTTGGAAGTCTTCAAGTGATGCATTTTCTGATATTTGATGAAGCTCTTTCTGATTTTGTATCACCAGTCTTTCTTTAAGACCTCAAGGATTCATTCACTTGTAGGCATTTTTAATTATTGATATAAAAATATAGTTGAATATAGATATTTTAGGCATTTCTTAACAATTTGAGTGATATGCATGACATCTACAAGAGTCTAGATATGACAACTGTATTTAAGAATATGATGCAAGTTGATAGTTTAAACATTTCTGAATGGGTTTGATGTCATGTATGACATCCATATGAGAGTTTAGATCTGACAAGACTATTTAAGATCCTGATTTTATTTCTCAGGTTAATATTTTGGTTTTATAGCATTGTAATGGGAAAGAGCTATGGAAGAAAGATTTATTCTCCTATTTGTATTTCCCCCGTTATGGGCATTATTATATCTGTTATATAATAACACCATAGTTCACAAATGGTACAGATTGGCTGAAAGGAAAAGGAATGACAAACATACTTTGTTCTTCTAGAGATTTTGATATTGCTAAGACACAAACAAAAGTATATATACATATGTGTCCCATGTGGATAATATATCACACATATCTATACAGCAAAGCAAAATGTAAGGAGAAACAAAAAGAAAGAGTTTTATGTATAATATGGAGATACTTCTGTATCTGGAGAAGCCATGTTTAGGACTCAAGATTCAAACTGGCCGGATTCATCTATCTTTCAGGTGAGGACATATTCCATGAACAGGAAACAGCAAGCCTTGAGTTTTCTCAAATTGAGGACTGTGAGCTGGGGTTTTATTTTATATCTGGGAAAGATATATTCCCAAAGGGAAATGGTTCCATGGACTTGTAAGTTATTGTGGAGATAGATTTAGTCTCTTTCTCAGGCCATTGAGGGGGTGGGGAGCTCTGGTGAAATAAGGCAACCTTACAGTTTAGCTGCTGAGAACAAACTGAATTTGTCTACCACTTTCATCACTGTATAAAGTGACATCACTAAGCAGTCCATTACATGACCCATGTGACTTATCTCCACTAAAAGGAGATAAGTGTCTTCTGTGTCTCTACAGCATCTTACAGTGTTGGACAAAATTACCCTGTGCACACTCTATCCTGAGTTCAATTTCCTTATTTCCTGTACTAAATTTGTCATAAGTGAATTATGTAGACAAAGTTATCACTATTTATACTATTTACATTTTTTGGACTATTTCCTTATCTTTATTGTGATATTCATCATGGCCCAAGGACATATGGCCCAGTGGATAAAAACATTGATTGAAGTAATCCAATGACTTGATCCAAAGAGTTGTGAGTTCAATACCTGACCACAGCAGTAGAGTTGAGTTACTAAAGGGAGGTAACTGAAACTGAGATATCCAGAAATGGCATAGCACATGGAACTAGAAAAATCTACCCTAGTGGACTAAATAAAGTGTTTAGTATGAAATTCCAATGTATATCACCTGAAGAAGGCCAGAACATACATCGTCCAAAACATGAATATGACAATAAAGATGAGGACATCAGTCCAAACAATGTAAATAGTGTAAATAGTTACAATACCTCATCTCAGAAGTATAAACACATGTTGATGTTTAGCATCAATTATTTTTTAGCACTAATAACCTAAATATTTTTGTCAGTTGGAGGGAAAAGATTTGATGATTGAAAACTGTATTTTGTCATTTTTGATTTAAAGTTTGTTTGGAGGAAGTTTCAAAAGTCAGCATTTAGACTGCACATTGAAAATCAAGAAGCAAAAGACTATGGTAAGGAATTAAAGCCAGTGTTATTGACATTATTGAGCTATGGTTATATGCACAATCAATCATTCTTAAATCAGGAAGAGAAAAAAGATTTTATACTCCATTTTGCAGCTGGAATTCTGACAGCATTGACTTGGTACTTTTCTATCTCATTATTCAAGCCCTTTTTTTCCTATGGTATATCATAAATTTCATGTCAGGTCAGTCTACAGGTGCTTACTGGTACCATGTAATCCAGTACTACCTGCAACATGGTCACATCAAGAACAATTAAACTGGGTCCCCTACCAGGCTTTTCTGGTGAGGAGAGTGTCTAGAAATCCAGCAGAATTAAAAGCAAAATCTGTCAAAGGGCAACAGAACCTTCTTTGTAGGGTCAATGGCCATTTGTAGACAGCCCCATAGCTATGTATGCAGCCAGCCAGTGTGGTGATGACACATCTCTGGGTGGAAGGCTTTCTAGACTCAATGGCCAGAGTGGAGGGTTCCCCTGATGGAATCAATGGCCACATGTCCATAACCAAGGTGAGCCTTCAAGTTGGGGTATATTGGCTTTGGGCTGAACTGGAAAATGATGGGCTCTGTAAGGTCTACCTACCCAAGATATACTACCCATGAATGAACACTTCTCTGGCTTTCAACCAAGATATGTAGAAGGGAACTGGTCAGGGGATCAGCTGCTCAGTGACCATACAGCCACTCTTGGTCATGGAAATGATGATGATGATGATGATATCTACAAAGTTGAACTGATCAAGTCATAAAAGTAGACCAGAAAAGTTGGTGTATTTTTTGTGTTTTTAAAAATTAAAATTATCATCTATTTTTTTATTTTTAATAACAATCAATTTTGCATTTGATAGTCACTATCATTGATCTACTGTGTTATTTTTTTTCCCTGCCAGGTGACTCCAGTTTATACTCAAGACATTTCTGCCAACATTGATTGGTTTGCCTTTTACAATCTTTGGGAACAACTCAGTACTGATCAAAAGCGAGTTGCTGAATTAGTTGGTGTTGAAGAATCTTTTCTTGTTAAAGCCATGCATGGACGGATACCTACAAAAACAGTGAAACAAATGCGAACACTTAACATTCACAAGAGGTTCTTTACTAGCTTGGCCCTTTTAGATTTGGTGCAGGAGATGTCACTTGTTGCAGTTTCTAAGAAATACAAATGCAACAAAGGACAGTTGCAGTCACTGCAGCAGTCGGCAGCCACATTTGCTGGTAATAAAAGAAAATATATCTTCTATCTGAATTTCTATGATGAGAAGTTATCACTATATAAATGTAGACTAATATTCTCATCTTTGTTGTTATTATCACAATGTTTTAGTCATTGGGTTCTCTGGCCTGCTCCAGGTGTTTATTTATCTGATTTCTTTTCTACAGTTTATCAACCCTTTACAGGTTATTTAAAGCCAGAAAATATTTTTAGACTGTAAGAATTTTTTTTTCCAGATAATAATGGTTTAGTGATACAAGTGTTACTAATTAACCCATAGTTGGAAAAGAAGAGGTGGTTTCATACCTTTCTTATTGGTAATTGTGCATAAATGAATTTAACAAACCCAACTGAAACTCGGCTTTCTGATTAAAAATTTCATTGTTATCCATTACACCAGCTGCACATCCAAGATGACAGCACTTGGTATTCCTAAACGGTCACTCAACTAGGTACTGACCAGGCTTGACATTGCTTAACTTCAGTGATTGTACAGGAACCGGTGTTTCAATGTGATGTGGCTGTAAGTCTTTATTGATCTGAGTAACCTTTAGGGAATTTTGAACTTTATTTAATCGTAGATTGTTCTTGTTCTGCTGTCCATGTCTATGGATAATTTGTCTTGTTCTTTTTTTTTAGTATTGCTCAGTTATTACTAGGCATGTTTCCATTGAGTCTCTACTACTCAGGGATTGAACTTAATGCAGCCAAATTCACAAGCCAATGTTTTAATCCACATTGCTATAGTCCAATGGAACAATCCAGAACCTAGAACTTGGAGCTTTAAATTTAATGTTTTTATTGTTTGCCTATTGTTGCTGTTATGCTTGATGCCCTTTGTCACCCCCTTCTCTTTTCTTACTACTGATGCTGAGGCATCTTTGCTGTGAAGCTTGTCTCTCTTTATTGCTATTTCTCTCTCTCTCTCTTTCTTTCTTTCTTTATTAATGGCTTCCATATGGTATTTATTTCTATGCTGGGCCTACCAAGGAGGCCATTACAGCCTAGCATATTCTTTCAGAGAGAAGTAACAGCAAAGGAGATGAAGCATAGCAGCAAGCAGGCAATAAGAACATTAGGTTTAAGGCTTTCAGTCCTAGACTCATGATTGTCCCATGGGATAATAGCTTAGTAGATTAAAGCATTGGTTTGTGAATTTTGTGGCATAGTAATTGGGTGTTCAATCCCTGGGCTGGGTAGTAAAGATCCACACTTGATGGAAACAGATCAAGTAATACCTTGGCAGTACTAAAAATTAGAAGAAAAAATATACCTCGATATTGACAGTGGATTGAGAACCCAACTCAATAGATTAAATAAAGGATTCAGTTGCCTGGATTGACAGACACCTGAGGAAGGCCAGAAGGCTCAACAGCTGAAATGTTGTGACACTGACAACAATGATGAGGACATTAGTTCAAATGTAAATAATGAAAAATATTTTTGACTTATTTTGTCTGTTATTTGATGTAGTAGATTATTTTTTGAATGTAATGAATTGGCAATGAAATTACAAATTTAAGAAGGTTAATTAATATATAAAACAGTTGATAAGGAGGAGGTAATGTTAATTTATTTTGCCATTATGGAAGCATTTCTTAATGGTAACAGCTTTTGTAAACATGATATTCCACTTATTATTTCAGTATATTTTAATTATAGTTTTACATTAAATACACACACACACACACACACACATATATATATATATATATATATATATATATACTGTGTTCTATTTTGTAAAAAAGACCATCATAATTTAGCTAGCAGAGTATACAAAATCATAAAGTTATTTGCCCATGCATGCTGTTAAAAATGAGAGCATATTCTGGGATTTTCACATGTGAGTCTTTAAATATATAAATAAATTGCCAATACAAGGGAGATAACTCTCAGAAGAAAATTACAGACAAAAAATAACTTAGTGATTTATATAGTAAGATACAGTGGGTTACCCATATATGAATGGTTTGCTGAACAAGCAAATTAAATAATAAATTATCTTTTTGAAGAAAATTTCACTTAATGTGCTGAAATTTAAACAATAAACAGTAAGTAGACTATGCATATGTATAAATAGGAGAGTGTCCTCAACACTGACTCAGTCTCCATATTGCACTCATTCCATGTCATAAGCTGTGAACACAACTTGCAAATTTTCATGTTTTATATTGAAAATTATTTTTTTTTTTTAGAAACATAGCTATAGATAAAAAGAAGCTAGTGAGAAAATTGGTTACCATTGACATTAAAAAGGAAATAATTTTAAAACCTGAAAGTGAAACAAGTGTTAGCAAACTTATTGTGAAGCTTGGAATGATAAAATCAACAATCTGCATCATACTAAAAAACGATGAAGTATTTAAGTGACTAAGGGAATAACCGAACAAAATAATTATAATCATTTTGAATAAAGAAACTTTAAATGTAACCAAATTCCCAATATTAAAAACGTTATTTCACTAGAATTATTTTTATTTAAATGTTACAAGTTTGTCTTTAAATTTATGAACAGGAATGGTGACCACATTTTGTGCCCGGCTTGGATGGACCCTTCTTGAGCTGATTGTCTCCCAGTTTCAAAGTCGTCTCTCATTTGGTATTCAAAGAGAACTGTGTGATCTTGTAAGAATTTCCTTGTTAAGTGGTCAGCAGGCCCGAATACTTTTCTCTGCTGGCTATGTGTCTGTTGCAAGTTTGGCTAAAGCTGATTCCAACCATCTTGAACATATCTTAAGAGCAGGAGTTTCATTCCAAAGGTAAGCACTCCTCTTCCTCCCTCTCCTCATTCCTATTAGACACCCCCTGGAGTATAGGGCCACGGCCTCACCATGCTTTGTGTTGCTGCTACAATTTTGTAGCAAGTAGATTTTTACTGGGGTGAGGAAATTGTCAGCCTCACACCCAACTGGTTTTGAATTCAGAGATGTTTTTCATCTAGACTGGTTGCCAACCAACACTAGAAAGCCTTTTCTGCTCTGATATTTAACCCATAGATGGGGAAAAAAGATGGATTTATACCTCTTCCAATATTATTTCTGTGAATGTGATGATCTTGGCCAGAATTAAAACCTGGTATGCCAATTTCACATTAATAATTGTAAAACTGAAAGGTAAGCATTAAGTTGTTTAAATTGTACTCGGAAGTTCCATATAAATCCTGTGGGGCATTTTGGTAATCTTTGGAATGGAAGACAAAATGTTTTGCAAATAGATATAGAAAAAAAGTATTATTATTCAGTTTAAAATGATCACTTATCCTCTGATAACTTTATGCTTCATGAAAAACATTTTAATTCAATATTTTTATTCTTCGATTTTCTATATTTTTGTGCTTCCTGGGTAAGACGATAAACTACAGCAAGGCTTATGATCAAGGCCTATTGGGGAGTAGGGAACCACCTCTTAATTGATGTTGTTTCCAGGTCCACCCTAACCTGGGGTGGTAGCACCCATTAGGGTCCCAGCTATGGGCAAATAGTTAACCCCAAACTGGGGTCAAAACATTATGAAAGTGTAAAAATAGGTTTTTATAGTAAAAATACCAGCAAGACATTTTTGAAAAAAAAATATTACCAGCAATACATTTGAAAAAATATTAGCAGCAATACCTTAGCTGGGTCAGATGAGAGATGAGGTTCTGACTTTTGACAAAAACTCTCTTTACAAAAATACTTCAATGAAACCTGATCTATAAACTGATTTCTTACAAAGAATACATATTCTTTTCATACGAATGTACCCTAAAAATCTTATTGGCATTTAAATAACACATTGAGGTTGATTTGCATAAAAATTTCTCATTTGGCATTGATTTTCTTTGCTGTTTCTATTGCTTTAATATTTTTTTGTGTTTTTGCTGGCAAAAGCAAAATTAAATTTCCAGTGGCTAAATAAATACATTCTGACTTTTGTACACAATTTATTTTATTTTGGGAGATAATAATGGTTTAGTGATACAAGTGTTACTAATTAACCCATAGCTAGGAGGGGAGATGAGGTGGATTCATACCTTTCCTAAGGGTATTTGTACATAAATGAATATAACAAACCCTGTTAAAATTGAAACTCAGCTCTCTGATTAAGAATTCTGAGTCATTATGCATTATACCATCTGCATATCCTAGCTTACAGCACCTGGTATTCCCAATAGGGGTCCCCTGGAGAGAAAACCCATCCATCATGATAGGTGAAAGTTCAGGGTCTGCTTGCTATTGATGGTATGTTTCTACATTGGTTTTGAACGTATTGAATTTATAAGCCAGTTTTTCCCCTGTTGAGCCACCTTGGCTGCTAGATGCTATCTTCCAGATTTTTGGAGGTACACCTATAAGCTGTTGTATCATCTGCATAGATAACTCTCTAACAATTGTAGTATGCTTTTAGGCAAATCATTAATATACAATAGAAAGAGATTAGGGGCTGAGGAATGAACCCTGCCGGTATTGATCTTATCGGCTTCCAATGACTGACCATTAACAATAAACTTCAGGGACATGATAATTTAGAAAGTTTTTTCTGAGATTCCATAGCTGGAGAGTTTATGTGGCAGCTCTCATGCCATATTTTGCCAAAGGCCTTGAGTATATCCATAGCAATGGTCCTTATGATGAATTTATTATCTAGTTCCTTGCTCATTCTGTGAGTAATGACATATAAGACATCAGCTATGAATCTAGCTAGGTGAAATCCATACTGGTTATCATTCAGAAGGTTGTTCCTGTGGAGTTGTTCAACAACTGTCTTGTTAATTATAGATTCAAACAGTTTGCTGATGACACTAAGGAAGCTAATGGGTGGTGGTGGTGGATGCTATAGATGGAGTGAGGAGCAGTGGGAAGCTTGTAATATTTCAACTGTGGGAAAGGAATTGTAGGATGGAAAATAATTCCTCACCCAGAAGGCTGTGTAGATGCTTTTGAGCTTTATCAGTATAGGCAAGTGAGAATTGGGCAGCTCCAGCCCAGATATAGCAACAAATTTGATCTGATCTGTCTCTTGTAAAGCAGCGGGTGTCAGATACTTACTGGAGTGGTACAATGTACTAACCATTTTCCCAATATCTTTATGTGGATTTATGAGTTTCATTTGAGGTTTGGGGAGAGCTTGAGCCCCAATAGATGTTCAAGGAAAGTTTTGAGTTTGACCATATTGAATTTTACAAACCAGTCCTTTCCCCCGTGCCACATTGGCTGGGTCAGATGAGAGATGAGGTTCTGATCTTCCAGATTTTTGGAGGCTCACCTATAAACTGTTGTATCACCTGCATACTCCCTAATGATCAGAGTATGTCCTTAGGCAGATCATTAATATACAGTAGAAAGAGATTAGGGCTGATGAAAAAAGCCCTGAGGAATGCCGGCATTGATCTTATGGGCTTCCAATGACTGACCATTAACTGGAACTGACCTGTTAAGAAGGACTTGATAATTTAGAAAGTCATTCCAGAGATTCTGTAGCTGGAGAGTTTATGTTGCAGCCCTGATACTGCACTTTGTCAAAGGCCTTGGATATATCCATGGCAATGGTCCTTATGATGAATGACCTGTTAGGAAGGACTTAATAATTGAGAGAGCCCTCCCAGATATTTCATAGCTATGGGGTTTACATCTAGCAAGTGCAGTGGCCAAGGGATAACCTGGAAGTCAGCTAAGTGTTCCCAGAATCACTTTCTGATATGATGGGAAGCTGTGTTATCATGTTGTAACAAACCCTTACAATTTGAAAACACAGTTGTGCAGCAAAATCTGTATATGTTACACCTGTCAAGATAGGATCTAGTTTCAATATTGGTCTTTGTGAATTTGAAGAGAATACTCTCCACACCGTTGCAGAGCCACCACCAGCTTGTACAAACTGGACCCATAGGTTGTTGAGGACCGTGTGGGTTTGTGTGTTGTATTAGAAACACATGTATAACTCCTGGTAGAATATTAAAAGGTCCAACTACAAAAAAATGGCCGGACTTGAATTAAGTCCAACTGAAGATAAAGAAGACAAAGAAAACCAAGAATATATATATATATATATATATATATATATATATAAAACAAAACAATTTTACAATTGACAATAAAATTTGTGTGTGTGTAAACATTGGTGTCTGTTCTTTGGTGAATGTTCGTACATACGTGTATGTGTGTTTATTGTTCATGGCATCTCCCACAAATGGGAAGACGTGGATCTTCTAAGAGAGCTTACATTGTAGTTGCTGAAATGAAGAAATGAAAAAGAGGATTTACTTCACCTCCATGCGAGGTGGGCTGTGGCACGAGGCCTGAAAGAAAGAGAATGAGGCAAGAAGTCGCCCAGTATTTATAGTATACGGAGAATGACCCCTAGTGACAATTTGGGAATTAAGGAGGAGCTAACTCTGACAGCGTCTTCTCCACACTTGAGCTTGTCTTATCTGGTGACATGGTGCCAGTTTAATAGTAATATTTTCTGATGCACAAATTTGATGCCATGTTATCAATAATAGTACGCTTGTTTATTGATGATTACAAAATGCTATAGAATTCAATGCATGCTCTACTGTGCCTTGACTGGTAGACTGAGAGTCACCAATGTTGTATTGGAACTTGATTTGATGTAATGTCTCTCTTCATTCGGATGATTATTGTCTTCATCAGTGGCTGGCAGACCCATTCTTCTATTTGTGGATGCTTGAAATTTTCTTGTGCTTTTAATGGCTTGAGAGTGTAAAAACATGATCTGAGCGTTACAATAAAAAAACAAATGTAACAATAGAGAAAATGGCTTACCTCTGGGATGAAAACAGATTTGGACATGTCTTGCATATAAAATATTCCAAAAAGAAAATGGTGGATTCACGAGTCATACATTTCAAACATAGATCTGGTAGTTGGATAAACTCTCACGAGAATCTCTTTTAGCATATACAAATTTTAATTGTCACTCAATCTATAAAAACTGCTTAAAGAAGCAACATCGAGAATTGCAACTACTTTAGCAAAAGGGAGGCATATGTTGGATTTTTTTTACCTAAGTTCATACCGCTACTCTGTTTAGTAAAAATTTTATTACAAGTCAGAAGAAACTGCCCACAATAGAAATAAGATGAAAGTAAAACTATTCCAGGATTGATAGTGATAATGCTTCGTCTAAGAAATTTCAACAATATAGAGCTTCATTAAGGAAAATTTAATTCACTGTATGCAGTTGTAAACATTAATTTATCTAACAAACATTTATATTGGCAGATTTTTTCCTTAAATAAATAAAAATTTCAAGACATATGATAAGCGTATGGTGTCAGAACAAAGAAGAAACAATGAAAGTTTAAAGAAATAAACCAATGTATTAACATAAAATACAAGAAATAATCAATTGGTGTAGATGTCTCTAATTGAAAAAAAAGAGATAAGTGGAGTTGAAAAAGGCATCCGCTAAGGCATACAGAAAGAGAGGGAGGATGAGTTTGTAACTTACTGGGTGGCAGCCTTTGGCAGGTCTCTCTTGGAGATGGGAGGTCACTTTCTGACAAAGTTTGTGAACCCGGGCCAAAATGCCATCCAACTTTGATATGTCCCTTTTGTTATAGACAAGCGTATGGTTGCAAGAAAGAAATATGACAACAGTAGAAATAGATTTACGTGATTTATTTCAATAGGAACGTGTGGTTTTGGGACAGCTACCTTGTGGTATAGTTCATAAGCCGGCTAAAGATCTGGGTTGATCTCTCATAGTAGTTCTCGCTGGTTGGTGTGGTGCTACTGCTGCTGGCTGCTCAGCCTGACCGTGACAGGTCTCTTCCCTGGCCTTCTGTTGACTGCTCTTGTACTTCACCGTGTGACCCTTTTTATGGTGTTTTTTTATGGCTTAACAGGCTCGAAAAACGACGCGAGTATAATTAGGAGTGAAGCATTTTTATTGGTTGAAAAATAGAAACACTTTAAAGTATTTTATTTTTCGACCGGAACTCGTGCGTCAGGAATATGCGTAAACGATGATAATGGGCATTTTGTGATGGGGCCCTGTCCCGTTCACATCCGGCTCTCGCTCATAAGTATGTTAGTTTATTTGCTTGCAAATCAGCCAAGATATGTCTTATTTTATTTTATAACACTTTGATGGGCTTTTATGTCCTTTTTTAGGCTCAAATCAGCTCCATTTTTTATTTTGTTTCTTTAGGCAGAAGTGGGTGCTATTGGTTGGAAATTGTATTGCATATTTTTTCTTTGAGTGCGTGAGTAAAAATGGAAGATATGTGCAAAGTTTTGCACAGTTGACGGAATTTTTGTTCATTTTTGGGTGTTCAGAGCATTCACATCCAGCCAGTGATGGAAATTAGTGTAGCATGAATCAGAAGACATTCTGGTTTTAGGAAGAATGTAACACGCCTAAATATATTCAGTAATAAAATGAGTCATTCATATTTAATCTCTGATATACTCATCCTCATTTTGGGTAGCTGGAGCTCTTTTAGCTGACACAAACCAGATAAAAAGATTGTGGAAACTACCTCACTTTGTCTCCCAGGATGCCCGATAAATGTTATTTCATTCAGGAATATAAAAAGAAATACATAAACCCTCACTTTCTTTTTTTGCTCCTAGATGTAGTAGTGACAACAGTGGGACTCTTCTCAACTCAGGAAGACACTTTCTGGGCAGTTAACTACTTAATTTCAATCCAACCACTTGGCACACTCACATACACTACAGCATTGAAACTGTGTGTACATATGGAAATATAATTTTCTCTTTCTGTTCTTTTATGAGTGATGTTGTTCTTTATATAAATATATGTATTTATAGATTTGTTTTTCATTTTCAGTGATAAAAAAACTGAAGATGAGACTGAATGGGAAGCGAAAGAGAGGCTGACAAACAGACGTTGTATATGGTTACGAGGGATGCCAGGAATGACGGCTTATGAAGCTGCTTTAACCATGATAGAGGAAGCTCAACAAATTATTGAGCAGGGGCTTGGCAGTGTAGGACTTAAATGGGAGGAGCAAGAAAATATCAGTATGACTGACAGGTCTGCAACAGTTTCAACCAATAAGAAAAATATTTCCATTCACAGGCCTCAGAGTAATTTCACAAAATTCCTTAAAATTAATTCCCAGAAATACTATTCTAATGAAGCAGGCAATGCTATTGCTGATAATTCTGATCAGATGAAGGCCTTGTCAGTACAGCAAAATACTCAATCTAAATCTGTTATACTTAGTCCGCCACCTGGCTTTGCTGATAAATCAACTATAAAGGTCTGTGAAATATCTGAATCCAAAGTTTGTCAGACAGGACTAACACCCTCTGATCAAAGTGATAATCTTAGTGTATCAAAAAAGCCTTCAGTTAATATGCAATCAGAAGTAAATGGCAGAAAAGGATTTAGCTTAAATACCAATAGTACTAAAGAGAATTATACTTGTAAAAATGTAAATTCTGAGAGTGTATCTGAAATGATTCGATTTGAAAACAAAACCATGTTACTTGAGAGCCCAAGAAAGGATGCATCAGCGAATATGAAACTTTCTGAAAACCAATCCATTGTTGGTAAGAAATTGCTATGCAAAAGCAAAACCCCTTTTGAATGCGAGACTGAACCACCCACAAATGCTCCCCCCTGGGTTTTCCCCAATAAAGAAAATAAAAATCAAAAGACCAAGAATTCAACATCTACTTCCACCGTTAGTTCAGTTGTTGACCAGGCACCGACCAGAAGTCTACATCATATTAAATCCTCTCCTGCACTGATGTCAAAGTCTGATGCCTCTACCACGCCGACCACTCATTGTGAGGTGCAACAACAACTGTTTACAACTTCAACACCAATTGATGAAGAACAGCCAGCTTTAGAGAAGCCTCTGTCTGTTAATGACAGCAGGCAGGCAACAACTAAAGATACATGCGGTACACCAGTTAATGGCAACTATAAATCCATTCAGACCACAGACATTTGTTCATCTACAATTCGAAGCATTCAACCCAAACAACTTATATCTACTTCTTTCACTGGTAATGGTGTTACTAAGAAACAAACAAAATGCATAGAAGATGGTAGGAAAATAATTAAGGATACTTGTATTTGTGAGGTTAACAATGGAGACCAAAATGTCACTGAAAACGATCCTGTAATTATAGCAATAACAGAAGACAAGCCAGCTTCTAATATGGCTGCTGATCCCAAATTGGAAACATCAGAATCTGAGAGTACACTACTGACCCCAGAATGTAACAGAGACAGTGCGAAAGGCAAGGATAATGTGGCTGAAATCCCTCCCACCTTGGATGTTTTTGCTGATAGTTTTGTGATAGATACACAAATGGCAGAAATGATGGACATCAATATGTTAGTTGCTGAAAAAGATGCTTGTACAAAACACATTCCGGAAAAAATTGTGCTGGAACAAAAAGGTGATCCTCCAGTGTCAGAGACATCTCCTGTCCTGTTTGTTGAAGAGCCGGGTGATGTTGACATAGCTACTACAAAAGCTGAAACTAAATGTAATAATTTCTTGCAAAACAATTGTCCAATGGTTGCTCAGGGTAGTAACCATCCAGATGAGCTCTTCTCAAATGAACAGCTGTTTATGAATTCTGAGGAGAGTCATTTTAGGACAATGTCAGAAAGCCAAGAACTGTTGCCTGCAAGCAATTATGAAAGATTGGTTTATAATGAAGAAAATACGCAAAACTCTTTTGCTGAGGAAAATGACTTATTTAACTCATATGATGATCTTCGAATCCCTTATGAAAGTGGTCAGGAAGCCATATTTGTTCTTAATGCTAATACAAAGCAAGAACAATCAGAGAAGAAAAACTGTGTGTCAGAAAATAAACCAGATTCCAACTTAGATTTTTCTAATGATGATCTATTCACTCCTTTACCTGTAGACATTGAGATTTCAATTTTGGAGAGACAAGAAAAAGATAACAACAACAATTTTGATGATTTTTTCAAACCCATGTCTTTTGAGGTGAGAAACCAAGCTGAAGCTAATACCAAAGTCAGCTCGGATTCATCTCAGATAGAATTGAAATGTGGAAGCACAGAATACAGAATACCAAGCAAAGAACACACCAATTTGGTAAAAATTGGTGAGAAACATTTGCAGCAAACATATTCATCAGTTATAATTCAGTCTGGTTCTAGAAAACGTAAGCAAAATTTTTCATGTCAAAATGAGAATGTGCTTGAAACTAAAGCAAAAAAAGCTGCCCTTGTATCAAAAGAGAAAGAGTCCTCTTCATCAGTAGAACAGAATTTAAGTACAGGCAGTGACTGTTACCCACCAACACCTCCAGATGATTTATTTTCTGAAACTCTTCAGTTGTCTCCCATTACCACTCCACAACTCTTTGGCAAAAGAGATTCTTCATTGAAGAAATCAAGCCAGAGAAGAAAGTCTCCAAGATTCCACAATTTGGATGTTGATTCAGGCACTGCAAACCTGCAGTCTATAAGTAATAACAAAAATGAAGCAGTTAGTCAAAAGTACTGCACCAGGACAAGGAAACAGCAGCTAAATAAAAAGGACACTGAAAATATAGTCAAAGAAATAGTAAAAAACCCTTCTGATTTGGCTTCATCTGCTGCAATGTCCAGCTGTAATCAAGTTATCAAGCAAGATACAGTTAGCAAAAATTTGTGCAATTTTGAGGGGATGGATTCTGATGAAGGAGATGTGTGTGGAAATCTGGATGAGTCAAAACCAATCCAACCTCTTTGTGATGCAAGTCAACATTGTTCCCAGAATGAATTCACCATAATTGATGTGTGCTCAAATCGACAACTTTTTGATACTTTTATACTGGAATGGAACACGCAAAAGAAATATGCTTTGTCCATTGGATGTGAGAAGCTTCTTCCTGTGGACCCTACATTGGGCATTGGGGGCAATTTCATGGAAGGTAAGATAGTTTCTCAAACTTTATATATTTTATCAAGTTATAGCTTAATATTTTCTCAATCTGTGTTTTTTTTTTTTTTTAAAAAAAGAATGTATAGTATCATATGCAGTGTATCATAATTTGCAAACAGTTTATTTATGAGAATGTAAAACAATGATAATCATGACTAGAACTTCAAGACCTCAAATGGAATATTTTAGAGAAAGAAGTTTTGAAGTAATTCAAAGACACTTTTGTATTACTAGAACTTGGACAAACTGCAATGATGTAATATTGCAGTGAAAGTAATTCACTTGTTTGAATGACACACTGAAACAGAAAAGACCTTTTTTCTGGGAGATTTTACTGCTTGACAATAGTAGTCCTAATATTGCAAATAATTTCGGATGTGAATTTTTTCCATTTTTTTTTTTAAATTTGCTTTTTAATCAATTCTCCAGTAGATGATAAAGCCACTAAAACGCCAAGTGAAATAGAAGGAAAAGACTTTAGAAAAAACCAGAAACCTAATAATAGTATAAATTTCAGATTTTAGGCAGAGTCATTAAAAGTATAGAGTTGAAGTAGAATTTAAAAGGAACCAGAAACCCAATCCTAACCATGAAAAAACGGATAAACCTCTACTCCTGTTCAAAAGACCAGGGTGGAGTGTGAACCAGGTAATTCTTCAAATGTGATCTATCAGGCTGGCATTCATGTTGTTACTAGTTGACAGTTTTTTCCTCTTTCCATTAACTCCCTCCCCATTCACTTTTCCTTCTTTTTACTCTACTCCCAACTCTCCAATATACAATAGTAATAAAAATTAAGGTAAATAAAATGAGAAGGGAAGCAATGGCTTTCTACATATAGGGTTGACTCAAGGGCATGTATTTTAGCTGGGGTGCAAATAGGAGACAGTAGATTATATTGTATTAAGTTTTTAACTTAGTATAAATTGAGATATTTCCTATCAAGGAAAATCGAGTGAAAGATTAACTGCCCTAATAACGACATTTTCCAAATACTTCCAAATATCTTTCTCCTTTCCCATACTCGACTGCTAAGTTAAAACAATCTTTTGTCCAATGAGCAGTATTTTAACATTTTGGGGAGAGAAATATACAGTATATTTGGGAAAAGTCCGAACTTTGGTCAGTGACTGTTGATGCTAGCAAAGGTGGTTACAAACCAAAGTATACACTTGCACATTCAAAAATAAATACTTAACTAAAATCAGATGTGGAAAAATGAAACAAAATAAATTAAAATAAGAAAAAAAATCTAAGAAAACTTCCCTATTTCTCTTTTATTGAAAGTGTCCAGATTATTCTCCTTTTTCTTTGAATCCCAAGAGGCTTTGTCCAGATTATTCTCCTTTTTCTTTGAATCCAAAGAGGCTTTGTCCAGATTCTTTCACCTAACTACATCCATATGTAGTGAGCAAATGTAAACAAATCCTTAATAGAATATTTCAAATATACATATCCAACACAGGTTGTAATAATTCATCATGGTTTATTCTCTAGACTTGCAACTCTTTCTATTTGGTTAGTAATTCTAACAAGTTCAAGTTATTGAAGAATTCTTCAATGAATTTATCAAGTCAAAACCAGAATTTTTTGTTTATGATGAAATACGTAATTTAGCTGAGATACTATGAGATCATAGAAAGATAATGAAGATACTTTGATGACTGAATAATGACGTTATGAATTTTATATGGACACAAGATTTCATTTATAAAGAATACTGGAAATGTTTTGGATCAACCAAATATAGAGGGATTTATTTTCTGTGAAAAACGAAAAAATGGACAGAAAAATGAACAGAAGACAGAATGACTTACTTGAAATGGAAATTGTCATTTTGAAATGGAATTTTTTCTCTAAAAGATTTGCCAACTGCCATCTTTATTTGTTACTATTTTTGCCTTTCCTAACTCACTCATCTGATAGACATCAAAGGATAAAGTAGGTAATGTTTTAATACATCCCCCCCTTGCCTACTGTCTCCCTACTGTTTACAGTATTTAAGAACAAAGTTTTATGAAGGTGGCTTGACAAAAAAAAAAGAGGTGGTTGTAGATGGGGGGGGGTTAAAAAATTTTGTCTTTTCGTTTTATTCTTTCTTTTTCCTATCACATATGGTGAGGAGTGGGGGCAGTTTCTCATTTCTGAAAGCCAAATTTTACAAATTAAACTTTTTCAAAAATATTTAATAAATTTAAAATAATTTCAATAAAGTGACCAAATGATAAAGTAGCTTCTTGTCTCTAGATGACTTTGTGGTGTGACTTTTCTATAGGTTTTGCCACTTTCACATAATTCTTATAGAATTCTTTGCAAGGGTTGTTCCAGTTAGATTAAGGGCTGAAATGTGAGGTATGAAATCCTATCAAACTGGAGCAACTTATCAAATGGGTGGATATTCCAGCAAGTAAAATTTTTCATTTTCCTTTTATTTTCTTATTTTAATAACATTTATATATTGTTACATTTTCTCACTAACTATTATAATGCAATAGAAATCTATAATGAGAACAGGGGGCGGGGAACGGAATTTCCTAAAATTAAGGAAAATTTGAAATGGAAAATTGGTCCCTCTACAAATGTATATGAATATTGTGTTTTGATTTTTTTTTTTTTCCTTTTAGGTATATAGAAAATTGTTTACTTTAGAAGTTCAAAAATATTTTCACAAAATGTTAGCTAAGAGTTCCAAGAATCAAAAAAGTGTTTCAAATCTCGTGAAATGTTGTTTTTCAAAAGAATACTCTTAAGTTCACTCTGAACTGTTATGAAACATTAAAATATAATGCCTAAATGAATTGGTCCATTGACTTTTTCAGGTCAAGATCTCAGAATTGATGCAGATGGTTTGAAAGTTGAAGAAGAGGGTTTATTGGTTGTAGGAATAGCTATCTGTTGGAATTATCGTGATTCCTATTATTTATCTTTTAAGGAAACCAATCCTGCAGGTAAGCATGGCTGAGTTGTTAAATGTCAACATTTGTCTTTTTAACTTGATTTTAACCTTTTAAGGCTGGGAGCTTACAAATGCACCTACAAAGTTTACATGCTTACAGTCCATGAATGCTTGAATGTGCTTGCATTTGAGTAGCACTGTATTTCAATACACAGTACTAACTTTTTAAAAAGATTTCCAAAACCCTATCTTGTAACCAGTAATACTAAAGAGGCTAAATTTTGAAAGAGAAATTAATTTATTTTCAGATAAAATTCAGTATGTACAACTGGATTTTCAATGGCTTTTGAGATGTATCAATTTCATTTAACTAATCTCAGTTTTTTCAACACTCTCCAGGGATTTAACAACTGAAATCCTTTAAGGGCTGATAAAGTTGAAAGAAAATTAGACAGAAATAAGGTAAAAGTAACAGAATTCATTCAAATGTTAAATTTTCAGTTAATACAATATTCATCTATTTTTGTTCTCAAAAATGTTCAATGAACCTTTGTTCCTTCTCATTGTCAAGGATTAGAAAAAGCTTTGTTGTGGGTTGCAGAGGACCTTGGAAGCAAACATGCACCATCAGCAGCATTCTTATTCTACATTCAACTACATCTGGAAGCAAGAGTTAGAAAGAGAGAGAATATGATTGCCTTTTTATAAACTTCAAAAGTGACCTCTAATATGTTTCTGGCAAAGCCAAGTAGGGTAATCCACAGGACCTCCCCCGGATTGGGAGAATTTTATTTTGTCAATATGTCTATAAAGTTTGAGTATGTCCTGTTCTGTCCTTTGTAGGCTGAAAAGAAAAAGTGTTGAATGGTGTAGTTGAGGTGTGTGATTAACATGCTGACAAAAATGTACTTGGTTGAAGTACTGTCATATCAGGATGCTGTAGAATTTCTAGTGAGTAAGAATGTAGCACATTCTGGAAAATATATCAGTAATGTACATTATTTACATTATTCGGACTATTGTCCTCATCTTTGATAAATATGGCACAGTGGATAAAGGCGTTGGTTAGATCCAGTGACAGGACCCAAAGAGTGTGAGTTCAATGCCCAGTTAAGGCAGTGGAGAACTTTCAGAGGGAAATTAGCAGGAGATAACTGATAACTGACATCCATCAAACATGGCACGTGGAATTAGAACAGTCTACCCCAGTGAGCAAAATAAAGGGTTCAGTTCAAAATTCCAACCACCTGAAGAAGGCCAGAGTGTACAACGGCTGAAACGTTGTGATAAATATGGCAACAAAGATGAGGACAATAGTCCAAATAATATAAATAATGTACATAATACCTCATCTCTGAAATATAGACAGATATCAGTAATGTATTTTTCACAATGATAAACAAACTAGATGGCTTTTAGAATTTTGTGGTTTTCAAATTTTCTATGTTGACTTTTTTGTTTTTGGGGGAGGCAGATTTGTTTTGTTGTCTTGGCAACACAAAAAAAGTTAGAAAAAGCTTTGATTTGTAAAGTTTTTGTGCTGATGCTGGTGAAATTGATAGTGGGTGTCGATGCATTTTTGTAAGAACTTTTGAAGACATCTGATGTCTGCTAATTTTTCTCAGAGTGGCAGCTATCTTCGGTATTAGATCATACTTACAGATATTTTATTCATTCTTGTTAATCTCTGAAGCATCAGTTGGACAACATATGCACTATATCACATCTTTTTCAGTTAAGGCTTAGAGACTGCAGTTTTGCTGTGTAGTATGAGAAGAGAGTTGACTTCTCTGTTTGAATGGCATTTTCTTGTGTCGTCCACTGTAATAGTATTTGTTCTGTGAATAGCATGCTTAGTAATAAGTTGAAAGAAGAAATAGAAACATGTGTGTACTCATACAGGGGTAGCCATCTTTCTCTCCACCACCTGTATCTTTTATTGTAGACCTGACATCTATGAGGAGACAACTCCAGTCATACTATGACCTCCCTCTTTTCATGAGGAATGTTGTCCATATAGTGTTCACTGGTAATTCTCATGTATGAGAGTTTTTTATAGGTTGTATTTTGGGCTGGGGGGTGGGTTATAACACGTCCTGATCTGGTGATTGTTCCAGTTGGTGTGTTGTCATTGGGCTGTGTTTTGTGTGCCAGTCTGGTGGTTATTCCAGATGGTGTACTGGTATTGGCATGTGTGCTGGCTTTTCGACAGAAATTTGTGAATTCTGGGCGACATTCTTGAAAAAAATGTGCTATGTTTTGCATATTTCAAACTTGTAAGATGAAAGCCGTATTTTTTGTTTGATGAAAAGTTTCCACATGTGGTTGCATTAAGTTGGGTCTAAATATTGCAGTGCTGTGATCGATGAAAATTTCCATGTGGTTGCTCAAATAGTGCTTAAATTTTGTTATGTCTGTTCATGGTAGTAAAGGGCAGGCGTAACTGCCTAAGAGAAAGAAAGTAAGTAGTAAGCAGTGGCAGTAGAGATGAAGATAGTGTCACTCACCCGCTAACCAAGGCAAAGTAGTTAAAATGGTGTAGTTGTAATATTAGTTGTAATGGTTATTAGTAATTTTTGTTTGCACATAATATACATTATTTTGGGACGTTGGACAGCTTCACTTGTCACTTTTACTATGTCAAGCGGAAGCTCGTTATCACTTCCAAAGATGCTTGTTATATTTGGGCCTTCATAGTCACCAGTGCTAGTAGTAATGCCTTCCAGTAATATCTGTACTAGTAATACTTGTTCAAGTAGTAATTGCCAAATAGTATAATGATCAGAAGAGAATTGTAATCCATATAGTAGTAGAGAGAGTGAATGTATAGCAATAGTGGATAGACAAGAAGAGTGAACAGAGATCATATAGTCATCATGCTACTTCCTATTTATTCACTTCCTTTATCATCACGTGATCTACTTAATAATGGAATCATCCTGTGTTACTCACTGGCGATTTAGTTTCAAACCACAGTGTCGGCAATGACATTTACTCTTATACAACACATTACAAAAATTTTGCTGACTTTGAGAACGTCTTGTCCATGTAATTGCTATGTTGTGTAAACGTGCTTATTTTGAAATTTTTGATTTTGCTCATTATGTCAAGTTTAATCACAAATTTGTAGTAAGAATAATTTTTTTTATGTCCATATGGTATGGTAGATAGAAAAATTGTTGCATGTGTCTCGAATTTTTTATATTTTGGTGGGTAGATAAAAAAGTTGGTCAAATTTTTTCTTCACTGGTTCTTGGTTTTGAAACATGCCTAGATGATGCATACATGAGTTTGCTTATAGTTTTGTGTTTTTGTATCCAAGAGAAAATATCATGTCAGTTGGTCAGCATTATGTTGCAGGATTCTAAAAAAAGAAAAATGCCCAAGTATTCCAAAGTTAATTTTTACTTGAATATTTCAGCAGTAATACACTGACGTATTGGTATACACTGGTATAATATTGGTATGTCATTTATCTGTTTACCTCCAAATTATCTCTTTGCTTTAGTATGACAAAACCAACAAACAAGCCAAAAAAAGTGACATTGGCTTTTATATAAGATAATGCAAATAATTGACTAACTTATTTATATTGTTATTAATGAATATTCCTGATTTTCATTCTGTGTTTTAATTTCCTTTAATTATCTTTTTTTTTAATATATTATTTATAAATATTTTTATATATTAAAAGTAAATTATCAGTTTCTTTTTTGTCTGAATTTCTGGCATGAGAAGTTATCATTATTTACATTCAAATTAATGTCCCAATTTTTGTTATTATCACCTGATGGCTTTCTGCTTGAATTTCTGGTATGAGGAGTTATCATTATTTACATTCAAATGAATGTACTAATCTTTGTTATTATTGCAATGTTTCAGTCATTGTGCCCTTTAGCCTTCTTCAGGTGTCTGTCCATCCACATAACTTCCTGAACCCTTTATTTAATATATGGAGATAGATTGTTCTTATTCCACTGTCCTTTTTTAAGTACATCATGTCTTAGACATGGATAGCCAGAGGAGACCAACCTACTCCCAGAGATTAAATGAAGGGTTTGGTTCAAAATTCCCTGAAGGTTACCCAGACTGACAATCATCTGAAGAAGGCCGAAGAGTACAATGACCAAAATGTGGTAATAACAGCAAAGATAATGCATATTAATCTGAATGTAAGTAATGTAAGGTATCAGTTTCTTGTAAAATGTTTAAAATTACATCCTAATTTCATAGTGTGTAGTTATGAGAAACTATTCAGAACAAGATTAATCAATCGATTCAGTGTGTGTATGTTCACCATAATTGAATCTTTAAGGAATTAACTTCCAATAACTATTCTGTGCTGGAGTATGATTATAAACTACATCCAGCAGCAGGGCCTCTGATCAGGAGGTTTTGAGGAGCATGGAACCGCCTCTTAATTGCTGGTGTTCCCAGATCCGCCCTGATGCAGGGTGGTAGCACCTGTTAAGGTCCCAGCTATGGGCAAAAAGTTAACCCCGAAACTGGGATAAAAAAACTATGAAAGTATAAAAATAGGTTTTAATACCAGAAATACTTTGTAAAAAATTATTTCCAGCAATAAATTTTTGAATGAAAAAATATTACCAGCAATAGTTTTTTGGGAAAATTATTACCAGAAACACATTTTTGAAGGAAAAATATTACCAGAAATAGATTTTTGATAAAACAAAATATTACCAGCAATGAAAATTTTGTCGGCATTAAATAACCCATTGAGGTTGATATGCCGTAAAACAAACCAAACCAAACATTATTGATTTAATTTATTTGAAATTAATGCTCTTCTATACAAAGGAGTAGTTTTAGCTGAAAACATATTTTGTTGGTCCAATCATATCACCTTAAAGTATTTGATCAAACTTGTTTCTAGTTGATTATAGTTAAACTTGTTTATCCATGCTGTGACAAATGGCATTTTAAATATATTTTATCCAATTATTATATTTGTATTCTGCTCTTTCATGGGTTTAGGCCTTTCATTTCCAGGCTTTGTAATCATGTTGGATTGAGGAATCAGAGAGCCAAGTTTGAATTCCAGTCAAATCCATTACATTCACTTATGTGCTAATACCTTTGGGAAAGGTATGAATCCTCCTCTTCTCCCCCCAGCTATGGGTAAATAGCAGGACAGACTGGGATCTATAGCCTTTGGTGGCAACTCTTTTACTGCAGAAAGAAGTGGCAACCTACTGCAGGAAAAAATCTGCCTCGTCAGTCATGTATCGAAAGATACATGATCGCCTAAGCATGTATCATGCATGGCACATAACAGACTGACTGAAGTTAATCGCTGTCCTTCTGATTACTCTTTTCTCTCCTCATTATTAATGTTTGTTTTTAATTCTTTCCACACCCTGTAACCCCTTTGTGTCTTAGTGACTTTACTGCCTTGCTTTGAGTGATACTGTTTAAAAAAAAAAAAAAAAATTTAAATCCATTTTTAAATTTTATTTGTAGATAACCTTGATGATTCATTAGCACCCCCAACACTGGATCCTGGAATAAGCATTGCTGACCGACTGCATGCTGTGAGGCAGACCCTCATGTCCCATAATGATGATAAAAGAACCATTGTTGGATTTGATGTGAAATCCTTGTATAGGGTCTTGGCACACATCTGTTCAGTTGCTCCTAGGTGCCATTTTGAAGATCCGAAAATTGCTGCTTGGATGCTGAATCCAGGTGCAAAAGAAAGCAACTTTCAGAGACTTATTTATGATTACTTACCAACAGAAGAACACCTGCTCAGAGGTTTGTAAATTTTTCTTACTCTTCAAATGATGTTATATTGGGAAAAGTCTTTTTTTATTACTAATAACTCCATTCAGCATATTTTCATGTTTTTGTATGTATCTAAAAACACACACTCCTGGGTAAAAACATGGACCAAGCCCAAAATAGCTAAATATTAAACTTTTGAATCTCATAAATGGAACTAGGACTGATAAGACAAAGGGGAGGCCTGCTGTCTGCAGTGTTGTGAGTCCTGCACTGAAGCAAAATATCATGCAGGGTTTGCTGTCAGAAACTTCATGGCTGGTCTTTGTCAGGCCAACTGTAGCTATTCTGAAATCTACAAGACAAAATCCCTGTTCTGTTTTGCTATCAGTTATTTAGAAAATAAGTTAATTTCAATTGATAATAAATAATAATTTAAATGCATTGTTAATCACTATATACTGTCCTCTTGATGACTCTTTCCGCTAATTACTAATGTTTCTATTCCTAATTCTTCCACACACTTTAACTCTTTGTGTCTTATTGGCTTTACTGGCTTGCATGGAGTGATACCAAATAAAAAAAAAAAAATCAAAATCAGTGTCAAAATTTGTTGAAACATTTTGGGCAAAATATTGAAACTTTTAGTGTTTAATTCCCCACTTCTTTTTTTTTTACATAAATGTTTAACTTCTAGATGCAAAAAATGAGTAATGAAAATTGGTGGGGTAATGGTAAAGCCAGTAGGTAGTAATAGGAAAAGTTAAATTTTGTCTACATATACTAGGTTCAGAAGCGGTTATTATTAAAATACTACTATGATTGTTTTATTCCCTTCACCCACAAAGGGTTGATAAACCATAAAAATCAAATCAATTAATCATTGTCACCCTCCTCCTCTACTGCTAGAGTTTGCTTTTTTTTTATTAAAATAAAATCAAATGCTAGCAGTAGAGGAGGAGGGTGACAATGATTAATTGATTTGATTTTTATTAATCCAACCTCTAATATCAGGGGTTGAATAAAGAAAAAGTAGAAAGCTTAAGATAAAAGTTTGAAATGTATTGTGAGGAGTTATTTAGTTAGGCACATAATAAACTTAACAAATTATTTGTTTATTTGGACATCCATCTTCAGCACAATGGTTAGCCTTTTAGTTTTAATAAGATCAATCTTCTAAGGTAATGTACTTTTTGGTGCCAAATAAAAGGCGGGGGATGTAATAAATTGGGGAGGTTGGAAAATTCAGAAAATGTAATAAATGGGTAGAGTTGAAAAGAATTAGAAAAATAAGAAAATGTGATAAATGGAGAGAGGTTCAATAAATGAATTGGTTGAGGAATGATTAAAAGCAAGTGTTTCAAACTCTAACAAGACCTTGGAGAAATAAAACTAAAAATACATGTCTATCAATGTCTTTGAGTAAAATGCTTTCTATACTTCTATGAAGTTTTGCCAACATTACAATATAAATAAATGTCCATCTATGGCCAACAATATATACTCAACAATGGCCTAAAATAATATCTTAAAAAGTCAAATAAAATAAAATTAAAAATATTACCATGTTTATTTTTGTCAACAAGTGTTCTTTTGTAAGTAAAAGACTTCTTTGGTTCCTGTGATTGTAACTCGAGCTACAAATTCTTGTTTACTCATTTTGAATGTTCTTATGTTTATAGATTTTATAATTCAAATTGTACACCAATAGTATTTCACTAAAAGAAACTTTGCAGTCTAATGGCTTCCCACCCCAAGACATTTCAAAACAAAATTTTCCAGCAATCTTTTGAGCAGCGTGCTTGTAAATATTCAATAATTAATAAGCAGGGGAGGTTGGGGAATCAGAAAATTAACAAAGGGGTGGTGGAGGGTGTTTATTTGGCACCTGAGAGTGTCGTGAATTTGATCTTCTTTGCATTACTGTGCCCTTCTGCCAGACTTATGCTTAAGAAATATGTACATATAATTGAACAATGGTTGATATCTTCATTTCAAAAATGAATTCCCAAGATTATGTTCTTCCTTTGTGCAGTTTTTGTCATTTCTTTGGGTGATGTTTTTGTATTTTAGGCCTTGGTGGAGGAATTGGTCGGAGCGGTCTTGGTTTAACAGTTGACAATCCAGGATCTGGCCGTTATCGTGCAACTGCAGAATCTGTCCTTGTTTGGCATTTAATGAAACATCTTAAGAGATCTCTAAAAGAAGAAGGAATTTTCCAAACTTTCCAAGAAACTGAAATGCCTGTTGTCTGCATAATTAGTCGCATGGAACTAAATGGTATTGGTAAGTTATAATTGATGGTTAGGACTTATGATATGTTCCTAATTTTTGAGTTTATAAATATTACCAAAATTATAGTAAGTCTTATTATGGTTAGTCAAATTGTTCAGTTTGCCGTGTCCATAAAAAAGTAAATGAAAATTAATTATAGTGTCAAAAATAATTATAATAGAATAATTATAACAACTATAATTATCATTAATTAACTCTTTCTAAACCAATAAGAACTAACCCCACTTTTCTTCTTTACACACACAAACACGTCATTCTCACTATCGGACAGGCAGTCAACATGGACGGGCTGCCAACGAAAATTTTGGCTCTTTATTCCTTTTCAAGCCATAATAGTAACATTTATCTCTGAGCACTAAACAAAAATTTGTGGTAAGAAAACCCCAGACACTTCTTGTATTTTCCAACTAGATTATCTGGACACGCATTGCACACATCTATAAAACAACATATGAGAAAGGCTGTATACATTTTACTTATTCTTTATCTTATCATTCTGTCAGATTCCAATCCATATTTGATCTTCATTTGGCCCCAAACTCCCAGTTTTACTCAGTATTACTGTCTCTCATGTTTCCAACATCACATAACAACCAGATAATAAATAAAACTCATTTTGTTGTTTCCATGTCTTGCTGTTTCTCATTTTACAAGTATTTGTTGCATATATAAATGTTAGGGGGTTTATAATTATTTAGTCAGAGTTATAACTCTCCTACAAGTTCTAAATTGAAATGTTGGGCCTTCATACATTGAAATCAATGGAAGAATCTGTTATGATATGATGTACACATCTAAAGAAATAAGTTGAACCCAAGATTTGAATCTGCTGTGCGCCATTGTGAATAAGGACTCAACTGGCCTGAAGCAAATCTTTATTACAATTCTGATTGGTTAATAAGGGAATGGGCTAAGGGAGATAAAGAGATTTGTATTTACTAAATGCATCAGAGTCCATTCAAGTAATAAAAATGTTTTCTTCCACTCTGGTCAAAATTTATAAAACTAAACTTTAAAATTAGATGATTCAGTTTCGTAAAAATTTTAAATATATACCCTGCATATTATAGAACTGAACCACTTAACTACCCATACAGATGATTTGATTATAATGTTGAAGGCATGTGTAGAACATGAGTAGAAATTTTGAAGACCTTAGAAGAACTGTAGAGTGAAGAAGGAAATAAAAACCAAGACAGTCAAACACCAGATGACAAAAAAAATAGTTTCTGAATCAGAAGATACTGTTCTGGTTAAAAAAATTAATGCTTCAAAAATAAACATTTAACATTTTTCAACCAATGGGTTGCATTCCTGCCATGCTTGATGACCCCTTTGAAAGGTATTTAAGCAACATGTCCAGACAGACAAACCAGTAAGTAAAGACAACTGGCAACAAAACTTAAACAAAATTCCCTAACACAATCTCCCGTCTTCCCCACCAAGCCAAGGGATTGCTTACACTATCCCCCTTACTTTCTCCCTTGCTTCTTCTTTCTCACACATACACAGGAAGAAAGTACATTTATTTCTTATTTCTTTTCATCTTGGAAAACAACTACAAATAAAGGACTGTATCCTGACAAACATAAGAACTTTAACACTCATACTTGCAAAGAAAAATTTAGTTGTAAAAAAATAACACAAAAATCTTATATTTTTATATTTAAACACCTTTTCTGGCCTCTATGTTGTGGGGTGATTCAAATCTGCAACAGAACTAATAACAGAAAGGGTGCACAGTGTTCCAGGAAGTCTCCAAATAGCTGTCCTTGGGTTTGAATTCAGAGTTTTCCTTCTCCTAAACTGGCTGCCACCCAAGGCAGAAGAACCCAGTAAGCTCTGCTATTTAAACTCTAGGTAGAGGAAAATAGGATCATGCCTTTCCCATGGCCATTAAAGTGAATGAGGTAGAATCAATCTGAATTTGATCTTGGCTCAACAATTCCACTTTCCATAATTGCAAGGTCGATAAAAAATGTCTTAAAAAATAATTGTCAGGCTTTGTCCATTTCATAATGTATGACGTCATTTGTTTACATTTCTATACGCATTGAGCAGATATGAATGAATGAAAGAAAATCATGGAGAATTGTGTTTAAAAACAGTAAAATTGACCTTGCTAACTGAATGCTCCTCTGTTGCCCATTCAGTTAATGCACGTCAGGCTATATGATGGTTCCATATAGGATACAGGTTCGATTTCTGTTTTTCTATGAAAATTTCTCAGACATTTAGGCTGGTAAATGTTGTTAATACTGTTTATTATAAAACAGAGCATTTACTTAAATATTTGTATCTATAAAAAGAACGTATAAACATGAAAAAATTGTCTTAAAAAATAATTGTCATGTATGCAACAAAAGAAAATAAGATAAAGAGAAATAAAGGGAATGACAAGAAGACCAATTAATTTTAGGAGTAAACAAATAAAAAGTTTTATTATCATTTTAGTGATTATGGTCAGTGGTTAAAAAGGAAAAAAAACATAAAGTCTTACTGGCAAGAAGTTAGAAAAAACTTCAGTTGGGAGCTGGGTTTTTGTGGTATAGTCGGGTCAGTGAATGTTAGTAAACAGATGCTCTGAAGCAGATTTCTATAATAACTGACTTTGACAGCCAACTCGCTTAAGCTGGGCACTAACTGTTATAGTGGAACACACCTATTCTATAGTTAATAGATTCTCCCACCGATAATAAGTAGGAGTAGTAAGAGTAACGAGTCAGTCGCTCAGTGGGTTGGTCAGTCAGTCGATGCCGGACGACCGTTAGTCAGATACTAAAGTATCAGCGACCACAACTAGATTACTCTGCGTCATACCTATTATATGAAGTTCCTAACGTTTTGTACATCGAACCTATTTTAGGACCAACTTAGTACAAATACAAGCCTCCACTGGGAAATCACTCCATAACACTAACAAATATGAATACTCAGGTGAAAGACCTTCACTTGTAAGGTCATTCGATCACATCAAAAAGTTCTTTGAAATCTTTTATCTAAATGATCCAGAACTCAGTTTCATTCATAAAAATAGATTCTCTTAACAACAGGCTTTCAGTATTTGCTGTCCTTCTGTATATGTAATCATTAGAGTGAATGAAATTTTTATATATTTGTTTAATAAATCCTACCTGTGGTAACACAAGTTATATTAACAACTTGTATTAAAATAATATGCACTGAGCTTCTATAGATGTTTTTAATATTTAATGCATCACTCTTTATATATATTCATTGGAGTGAATGAAATTTTTTTATAAATATTAATAAATCCTACCTGTGATATCACAGATTATTTAAATAGCTTGTATCTTCAGAAAGTACCTATTGATTTGTTCAAATATTCTGTTATTGGCAGGTTTTAGTGAAGAAGAAAGTATACACCTGAAGACCATAATGCAATTGAAATTGTCTTCTCTTGAGGAAAAGGCTTATACATTGGCTGGGCATCCTTTTAGTTTATCATCCATTGATGATATCAGTAAGGTAAGTTGATTTTAAATAGAAAAAAAAAAATTTGCATCATTCTTCAGATGATTTTGAACAATCCAAAGCCAGATTTTTTTTTATTTTTTTTTTTACTCTATTTCTAGGTTCTCTATCTGGAATTACAGCTTCCGGTAAATGGCAATCCTAATGCCATAACACCTGCCATGCCTCGCAAGACGCTCGGAACAAAAAGAGGGTCAAAGGTTCACTTTAGCACTTCAAAGGAAACCTTAGAGAAACTTAAAATTTTTCATCCTCTCCCAGAAGTCATCTTGGAATGGCGCCGTATTACAAATTCTCTAACAAAAGTTGTGTATCCTCTGCAGAAGGCTATGATTTACTTCCCTCCAATGAACATGCATCGTATTTTTGGACTGTGTCAACTTCACACAGCCACAGGAAGAATCAGCATGTTTGATCCAAATCTTCAAAACATTCCCAAAGACTTCAATATTAATATTACAGGTGAAAAGACTTTCTTGTTTTATTTTATTTGATTATTCAGTAATTTTATATTACACATGTGCCAGGCTTGTTTAATAAGAGCCACATCCTGGGTATGATGATAAACTACATCTTGTAGCAAAGCCACTGATCAGGAAATTTTGAGGAGTGTGGAATTACCTCTTAATTACTGTTGTTCCTAGGTCCACCCTGACCCAGTATAGTAGCATCTGCTAGGCTCCTAGCTATGGGCAAATAGTTAATCCCAAAACTGGAATCAAAACACTATGAAAGTAATTTTAAGCAATACATTTTTGCAAAAAAAAAAAAATTCCAGCAATACATTTTTTTGTAAAAGAAATTCCTAATGATCTCAAGAAAATTAAATTTTGGCATTAAATGACCCAATGGGTTGATATACTTTAAAACCAACCAAACCAAGCTAAACCTTAATAAGAGCCACATTCAATGAACTTCAGTTGTCTGAGACATGCAAAACTTAAATGAAATTTACATGCACACTTTTATTGTTATATACACAATTTATTGGTATATGATCAAATGATTAGAGTATTAAAATTCTGAGCATGAGGCCTGGGTTTGTATTTTACTATGGTTAGTTTGTCGGGGATGTGATTTCTTGATAATATTAGATCAGGGAGATGGTGCCAGCATAGAAAATGATGCCTGAAATCCATACTATGGATTGACTGAAGCCTTGTTAGCAAAACTGCTTGGAAGTTGTAAAAGTATGTGCACACTATGGTGCCTGAGGGTCTGAATGTACTGGCCTTGTTCAACAACTGACCTCACCACATTATGTGCTCTCTCTGCCAGAAACTGTAACTCAGCTGCACTCAGCATAATTGCAGTATAAACCACAAGTTAACTCTGTGGGTGTTGAAGAAAGAGGATGAAGAAACAACGGAGCCTACTAATCCCTATTGCAGACACTGCAATAGGGATTAGTAGGCTCCGTTATTTCTCAAGCTTGACGGGTGTCTACTATAAAACTTCTATAAAAATATTAAGAAATAAATATGTGCAATAATATTTATATATGTAATTTTTAAGATGATAATTAGTATTACAAGGTAACCAAAAAGTCCTTGCTATTTTTGATTTATTAAAAAAAAAAAGATATACAGTGAATTTGACATACCATTAGTCTCATGCATTTCCACAGTTTTCATTTGATTTCGATGAAGTTTTTTTTGTTTGATAGATAATTCTTCAGTGCCATTTTTGAGTCCAAATTGATGGTGACGATGGCTCTCCATTACTTCCTGTCCATTATAACTCTCAGCAATGTTTTACTATTTACTATTTGTTCTTGGATGTATATCTTTCATAAGAACTTTAATAAAAATAAATAGTTTAAATTATTACATTATTATTATTATTATACAGTTACCTTTTCATCCCCGCCCTTAATTTGAGGATGTGCCTTAGTTAGACACAAATGTTGTTACTAATATTGATTTTCAGGTAGGCTGACTTAAACTACTCCAATTGAACGGCAAAAATCCCCAGTAATGAAAGACCTGGTCAAAGACGGGTTTTATTGCTAGCTTGCAAATATTTCCCACAAAGGTGTTTGTTCAGGGAATGAAAAGAGGTGGTAATCTGTTGGCACAAACTTCAAGGAATAAGGTGAATGGGTACAGTGTCTCCTAGCTAAGTCACCGTATGGTATCCCTGGCTACCTGTGCCACATGGGTTCTAGTATTGTTGTGAACGAACAGTGCACCCTTGAAATTAACCAATGCTGGCTCCTCCTGCTTCCGTGCTTGTTGCACATGCTCCAACTGCTGTGAGTACAGGTCCACAGTGATCATTTGGCCTGTTGGTAGCAGCTCATAGTACACCACTTGTTGACTAGTCCACCAGATACAGTGCTTTTGCCTTGGTGTAGAAGTTGTCTTGTGGTGTGAGGCACTGGGTTCTATGGTGACAAACAATGTCTGGCATGCTTCCGAATGTGCTGTTGAGCACTCAATCAAATATGGGTACATTGCGGAGCTGAGAAAGCAACAAGAAACAGGCTTTTTGTTGCCGCTTGTTGGCTTTCAACAGTATAGGGTGTATCTACTTGCTCAACTTGTACGCCTTCCCAATGCGGTGCAAGTGAAGAAACCTGGCAGTGTTCAGCAAGCTCACCATAGGTTTGGCTGTTGTCCTCCTTTGGCCACTTTCAGAGACTTGTCATCCAGGGCCAATGGCCGGCCACTGGGGGGGGGGGGTCATCACAAAGGGACAGATCTCTTGACTTGAAATTCTGGAACCAATGCCTGGCAGTATGTTCATTCACAGCATTATCCCCAAAGACTTGATGTATTCGGCAAAATGATGTGACTGCAGATAAGTCCAACTTAAAGTTATAAAGCAGACAACTCTGAATGAGCTTCTTCATCTTCACCATGTTTCCTCACTGCTGCTCAAGCTTTGACTGATGTGTGCACACAATGCACTTGCATTGGTCTTGAGTAATGCTCCCCCAACTGCTTTCCAAGCATGTGATGCACTCATGATCATTTTTTTCCCTACACAATGTAAAAAACTGCAAGGGCTTTTTTGGCTACCTTATACTTTCAATAATCGCAATATACACATCTCTACCAAATGTTACCAAGATCTTGACTGATGATTGTTTTAACATTTATTGAGCAATTTTACTATGATACTGAACATTAGGAACAATGAGAAAATATAAATAATTATGAAGCTTAAATTCTTTGCACCATCACAAAAACACCATGTCCCTTCACAGATTCCTTCTCTTTATTGTCTCTGAACTGTCATGCCAATGGACAGTTTATTGCATATCATTGCTGAAAGGATTGCTGGATCTGGAGTGGTAACCAATTACAAGCTGGAGATGATGATGATGGCTGGCTAGCAGGAACAGCTGCTGGTGGCTAGAGCCATGGGCTGGTCATTGGAACAGATACTACACTTTGATCCTAGGTCTTATCCTGGATCATTTTTACAATGATCACTAGTTATGATTTTTTTCTTTTGGTTGTTTTTAAAAATTGTGGGAATTCCAACAAAATAAAACTCTCTCTCTCTTACCTTTCATTCTTCTCTCTTTTTCTTTTTCTCATTTCTTCATATTCTCTTTTGATACCACATGTCTACCTTACACCATGGCCACATCATGTTGAAACATTGGTTCCCATACAATCACCAAAATTAAGCAACATCAAGCCTGTCAGTAGCAAGATGGGTGACAGTTTGGGAATACTAGATGCTGCAAGTTTTGATGTGCAGCTGCTGTAATGGAACTGGCCTGCTGATTTCCAATTCCAGTCAAGTTCATTATAAAACACCTTATATGAACAAATACCTTTGGGAAATGGATGAATCCACCTCTTCCCCCACCAGCTATGGGTTAATTAGTAAGACTTGTATCACTAAATCATTAATATCTTGAAAAAAAAAATCTTACAATCTAAAATATTTTCTTTAAATAATCTGCAAAAGGTTGATAAGCCATAAAGAAAATAAATCAATCAAACAATCCCCAAGCTATGCTTTAAGTAACAGGACATACTGAACTCTGTAGCCATGGTTAGCAACCAGTCTAGGAGAAGGACAATTCTCTGAATTAAAAAATGGTGAGATGTGTCTCTTGGAAAAAAACATTTTGCCATGTGAAGCTGTATATATGGAGTATAAATCTGTAAAACAAAACAATAGATTTCAACAATTATGGATAATCTACCTGGATTTGGGATTATCCAGAATGTTGTTGACACCAACTGGCATATTGAGCCCAAGGAAATTAATGAATGGAGAAATATAAAAATGTTTCATTTCAATTCAATAAAGAGAATTACATATACTCTTTGCTTTTTGATGGCCTGATTTTTTTTTAACTTTGTGATATTACGACTTTATCATGTTATCATAGCGATGAGTATTCAGTAGGTATGAAACTTTCAAATTTTTATTTTTTCATTCGCAAGTCTTTGCCTTACAATGCTGTCCAATATACAAAGTATAAGTCATAGAAAAGAATCCAATCAATCAATTCAAAAAATTCTTAAAATCTAAAATATTTTCTGACTTTAAATAATCTGCAAAAGGTTGATAAGCCATAAAGAAAATAAATCAATCAAACAATCTCCAAGATATGCTTTAAGTAACAGGACATACTGAACTCTGTAGCCATGGTTAGCAACGAGTCTAGGAGAAGGACAATTCTCTGAATTAAAAAATGGTGAGAAGTGTCTCTTGGAAAAAAACACTAGACCTAGAATCAAACAATTCAATAAAGAGAATTACATATACTCTTTGCTTTTTGATGGCCTGATTTTTTTTTAACTTTGTGATATTACGATTTTATCATGTTATCATAGTGATGAGTATTCAGTAAGTATGAAACTTTCAAATTTTTATTTTTTCATTCGCAAGTCTTTGCCTTACAATGCTGTCCAATATTTCTACCAATGCCAGGATAACATAGCGTAAAGTCTGCGTCCAGTCACATTACCAATCATAGGGCATTATTATCTTCCAGTATTTAACTTCATATCATAGAGTGTTTATGTTCTGTGGTTTTCTATTTTCAAAGCTTATTAGTGTGCTTGCAAAATGCTCAAATGTATCTTTTGTCTGTGATGAAAAGAAAGAACGCCATTACCTTGGCGGAAAAACGCAAGATAATAGGGTCAGTTTCTCCTTAAAATTGTTTTTTTTTTTCTTGCTTTATGATTGGTTAATCAGAATATAACCCTGTCATAGGTAAAAGTGCATCTGTGCATATTTCATATTTTGTACTTGCAGATGTATCTCAAGAAAGTGCAGTCATTCATTCCCAATGGTTGAAAAAGAATTCCAGTGACTCCTTTACTGTCAGTATGCGACATGCTTTTATTCCACTTCCTGGTAAGTAATTTTATTTTCTCATTAATGAAATTGAAAAATCCAGGCCTTTCAAATTTGTTGAGACAGATGTGATGATGCACTTCCGCACATCACTGCACAAGCTGTGATGACAACCAAGATCAGCTCTATGTGAATACACCAGCACTCACTACGTTCCACAGGGCCATGATCGATGTCTACAAAGAATAACAACAAATGCTTTTCAAGACATTTGTTGGATTGGGAAGTAAAAAAAAAAAAAAAAAAAAGCAATTTCTTGTTTAATCAGTAATGTCTTCCTTCTGCTTTGAGAAAGTGAAATTCTTTTTTTATCTGACTTCTCACTAAGTTCTGACCATGGAAAACAGACCCCCACACACTCACTGCCTGAACATTTCACACACTACTCATTATATAGATACGGGGCTGGGGGACCCACTGTCCCTTTTCATTCACTTGTGTCCTACCAACTGGAAAGATTTTTCAAAGGACCCTACTTTTATAGCTATCTAAAAATCACTAACAAAATTTTATGTTTGATGATTCAAAGGTAGGCTGGAAACAGAATTCCTGAAAAATCCTTACTCAAATATGGGCGGAATACAAGATTCTTAAGAAACCTTGGGCTGAATACAAGAATCTTGAGAAACCTTGGGCTGAATACAAGAATCTTGAGAAACCTTGGGCTGAATACAAGAATCTTGAGAAACCTTGGGTTGAATACAAGAAATCTTGAAAACTTGGGCTGAATACAAGAATCTTGAGAAACCTTGGAGCTGAATACAAGAATCTTGACAAGAATTCTTGAGAAACCTTGGGCTGAATACAAGAATCTTGAGAAACCTTGGGCTGAATACAAGATTCTTGAGAAACTTGAGAAACTTGGGCTGAATACAAGATTCTTGAGAAACCTTGGGCTGAATACAAGATTCTTGAGAAAATACAAGAATCTTGAGAAACCTTGGGCTGAATACAAGAATCTTGAGAAACCTTGGGCTGAATACAAGATTCTTGAGAAACCTTGGGCTGAATACAAGATTCTTGAGAAACCTTGGGCTGAATACAAGAATCTTGAGAAACCTTGGAATAATACAAGATTCTTGAGAAACCTTGGCTGAATACAAAAATCTTGAGAAACCTTGGGCTGAATACAAAATTTTGAGAAACCTTGGGCTGAATACAAGAATTTTGAGAAACCTTGGGCTGAATACAAGAATCTTGAGAAACCTTGGGTTGAATACAAGAATCTCGAGAAAACTTGGGCTGAATACAAGAATCTCGAGAAACCTTGGGCTGAATACAAGATTCTTGAGAAAACTTGGGCTGAATACAAGAATCTTGAGAAACCTTGGGCTGAATACAAGATTCTTGAGAAACCTTGGGCTGAATACAAGAATCTTGAGAAACCTTGGGCTGAATACAAGATTCTTGAGAAACCTTGGGCTGAATACAAGATTCTTGAGAAACCTTGGGCTGAATACAAGATTCTTGAGAAACCTTGGGCTGAATACAAGAATCTTGAGAAACCTTGGGCTGAATACAAGAATCTTGAGAAACCTTGGGCTGAATACAAGAATTTTGAGAAACCTTGGGCTGAATACAAGAATCTTGAGAAACCTTGGGTTGAATACAAGATTCTTGAGAAACCTTGGGTTGAATACAAGATTCTTGAGAAACCTTGGGTTGAATACAAGAATCTTGAGAATCCTTGGTTATTAAATTGACTTAAAAAGAAAAAGAATCTATCTATTCACCTCCTCAGGATGTGTGAGAAATCATATTGCTACACTGGTAAAAAAAAAAAAAATAGGTATTTCCGTTTCATTCTCCAAAATCTTTTACTTTTTCACAAGTTTCTCATTGACTGTAATCTTCATCAGAATAAAATCGATTTAAATACCCTAACATTTTATTGAACTTTTTGTTATTGAATTCCAATCCCCTGGCATTCTATTGAACTTTTTTTATTGAAGTCTGCTTCAGTTTATTTATTTAATAATTAGTTATAAATTAAAACAAATTCCTGTGCATGTATTCAAGCTTAAAAATCCATCAACATTTTCTATTGCTATTAAATTTGTAAAACTCCTCTATAAAAATAATCCATGTAAATGTATATGTACAAATATGGAAAAGAATGAAGATTTTCATTAATATATGCATATTGTTTGAAATACACCTTTTGAGTTGGGCAATCTTGAAAAGTAGGGGAATGACATTCTGACATATTTTGGGAAAGGTACATTGGGCAAAAAAGGTTTAGAACAAGTTCTAGGGCACAATTAGAAAATTCTTTTCTCATTCTCTATAACTCTTTGAGTATCTTTGTATAAAATGGTTCTCAGAAAATTGTCTATTTTTAGAGAATAGATTCAAGAAAGATCATGTAAATAAAAAAAGTAATGTTCCCTTGTTCTTTGCACCAGTACCTATTCGTATTTACTGAAATTTACTTAAGCACAAGGCCACGGGTGTTCAAAACTCAATGAAAATCAAACCATTATAATTAACTGTGAGACTACCTCACTAGCTGTTTGTCCACAAATGAAGCAGGCACAAGACATGAGTTTAGAACAAGGGAACAGGGCAAACTCACTATAATAGTAATGATCTGCATGTCTAGTTAGTCTGATCATGGCTTCGTAGGGAGATGTAGTCTTGTTTTTTTAATGAGATGACGGATAAAGATTACTTTTAGAACATTTTTACCTCTCTTTTTTTTTTTCTTTTTTTTTTAAAAAAAAAAAATTGGTAATTGAAGAATGAGTTATAAAGATGACAAGGAATTCTTGGAATAAATTTAATAACTTTAATTTAGGGACATCATCTAGTTCTTATTTTTATTTAGTATTTAGGAAACGGGTGAGTAATAACTGTACAGTACTAAATAAAAGTAAGAATTAGACAATATCAAGACATGAGCAGTGGAACAAGGACATTCTACCCCTGTAGATTAAATAAAGTGTTCAGTTTAGAATTCTCTGTAGGTTACCCAGATCGATATACACCTGAGGAAGGCTGGAGGGTACAATTTCAAAAATGTTGTGATAACAACAACAACAAAGATGAAGACAATAGTTTGAATATAAATAGTGTAAATAATATTTCCACTTCATGTTATTCTTGTTTCTGTTTTTTTTTTTTTCCATGTTTTCATTGATTTTTTTTCTTTTCCAGATGGAGTAATAATTGCTGCTGACTATTCCCAACTGGAGTTACGTATGATTGCCCATTTATCTCAAGACAGCAAATTAATTAATATTCTCAACAAGGATTGTGATGTGTTCCGACTGATTGCAGCTGAATGGAAGAATGTTTCCCTTGAGGAGGTGCAAAATGAGGAGAGGCAGCAAGCAAAACAGGTTGGGCTGAAAACGAGAAAAATACCTTTCCTTTTTTTAATGAGATGACCTATCATGTTGTATGAGTTAACAAGTCCTGCAAGCCATTGTTTTTCAGCTTGTTGTCTACTGGTAACAAGTGAATTATCAATTATTGCAGTGGAAGATTTTGAAGAGGATTCCACATCTAGTTTGGTAGTGAGGCATGTAAGACGGGCAAGTTCTTTCATGGCAGTTGCTGGAAAAGATCTGGCAACTGTGGAGACTGACACTTTTCTTATGTTTCTCAGGATGTACAGTTAGTATAACTGTTATTGGTATGGAAAGTGAAATTAGTCTGCTGAATTCAAATTTTGGCCTCATCAGTTGTGTTCACTTTTGCACAAATATCTTTGGAAAAAACATGAATCCATCTCTTTCTCACCTTAGCTAAGGGTTAAATAGCAGGGTAGACTGAGCTCTCTGGCCTTGAGTGGCAAATAGTCTAAGACAAGGAAAACAAATTGTGAAGAAAGCAACAGAAAACCACATCATTGTCTTTTCCCAAATTGGTACAGCAATTCATAGATGATAATAAAAATGAATCTGTCAAGAATCTTAATTGCCTCAGTCCTGAAATGACATGGCTTCACAATTCCAAGGACTTATTGAAAGCTGCTGTTGTGGATATGATGACTAACTTATTCTGAGCTTGCAGATGTTTTCAAGACTGTTTCTTTTATTTTTTGTTAAATATGTTCTTAATTACTTGCTACTCTCTCTCTTTCTATATATATATATATATATATATATATATATATATATATATATATAAAGGTAAATTGTATGACAAAATGGAAAAAAGTTTACTTGTGACATGTTTCATCCTTCATCAGACTAAATTTGTTATGTTGGTAGGACTACACATGTGCACAACAGAGGGGTGCTGGGAATTTCAGAATTTTTTTTTTTTTTAAACACTTTCAAACCTCTCCAGTAACTTAATTATTTTATATTCAGTGTGAAAGGAAAGGCTCATGAAATATTCCAAAGCAAAAAAGCAACCTTTCCTGAGAAACTCAGTGAATCAAAAAAATATATTATCTGGCCTACTAATTCTATCACATCTACAATCGAAAAGAATCTATCTAAACTCAACGTAAAATTTGTTACTACTATACCCAAAACAATAAAAGACTTATTTAATACTAAACAAAACAATAAGCTAAAACCTGAAGGAGGAGTTTACTCCACTGCCTGTAATAATGTTAAAAAATATAGATAGGAGAAATCTCAAGGAATCTAAATAAAAGATTATGTGAACACAAAAGAGACATTTTGCAAAATAATATGTCAAATGTGTTGGTTGCCCACTGTAACAAGACTGACAACAATTTTGACATAAAAAATGCTACTTTGATCAAAGGAGATAAGGCACTCACTACGATGTAAATGTCTAGAGAGTACCTTAATTGCAAGGTCATTTACAATAAATTTTCACTCTGTCTCTTACAACATTTCACCATTCCTGGCAGATCTTCTAATATCACAGTGTGGAATATGTGCTTACAAAAGTGATGGAAACAAAAAGAAAAAACTCTAAATGAATTCGGCCAGATAAAAAACAATTCTTAAATTCCCAGCACCCCTCTGTCATGCGTAGGTGTAGTCCTACCAACATAACAAATTTAGTCTGATGAAGTCCTGAAGGATGAAACACATCACAAGTAAACTTTTTCCACTTTGTCATACAATTTCCTCAATACTGTTCTTGATATATAAAAATATATATCATTATCTCATATTTATTCAGATTTGCTATGGGATAATATATGGTATTGGAGCAAAGGCCCTGGGGGAGACCCTACATGTGGATGAAAATGATGCTGCAGTTTTCATAGAAACTTTTAAATCAAAATATCCAGGTAAGGATTACCAATTCTTTACTGCTATATTTTTCCTGTTTCCGTGGGGAAAAAGTTAACTTTATTTACTAGCATGCATAATTGATAATGCTTTAAATAAGGCAAAGGTGATTTCTTTCAATTTTAAATATAATACATCCAGCCTGGTTCAATCCTGGATTGTTCCCATGCTAGTCAGTACTGCTACTAGTCAACTGATGGTTATCTGCTGACCACTTCATTCCTTCATCTGTTCTACCCCACGCTCTGTTCTTTAATCACAGAGCAGTGAAGTTTGAATGTTCGTCTGTACTTAAGTGCCGAATCAAGTTGACGTAACTGTGCTATGAAAATTACAAGAATGTTTCTGCTGGTGAAAATACAAATATCATAGCAAATAACAAAGAAGGTTGCTGGGTTAATTTTCAATTGGTTTATATAATTGTTGATACAACAAAATTAAACCTTTCCATTAAATTCTCTATTGTGACACTATATCTTGCTTCTAAAAGTTGGAACGGGTAAAACATTCACACAAGATGGTCGTTGGGAATTCTCTGCTGGCCTCTCATGGCTTCTGGTTGCCTCTGCTCCATTTGCAACTGCTGGTTTCAACTACGTGTTTGGTTTATCTGCACCTCACCCAACTCTTACTGCCTCTCAAAGCTCATTATGTATTCATCAAATACTTATTTTCTCCAACCCTGGAGACATGATACTGGCCCTCAAACAAAGTAATCAACTATTCCAAAATAATAAACTTTGTTTCAACATTCCTCTTACCCAACAATTATTGTTTTCCTTTTGTATTTAAAAAATTTGTTTTTTTTGTTTCAAATTGGCAAAGAATTCTTTTTGTTTGTCAATTTCCCAATTCAACCCAGATAATTTCCTCCCCTGTTTATAAAACTCAGCTGTATGAATTCTTTTGGCTTTACCCAAATTCACTACCTGGTTGTCAAATACCAAAACAGTCAACTATTCAAAAGAATGATTTTTGCACTTTGAAATTTATTTCAAATGGGAATAATTTTTTCTCATTTCTCATGACTGTTTTATATTCTGGTTTTCATATTCATAACAATTCCTAATTGGTTTTTCATATTTTGAACTTAACATTCCATTCAGTGTTTCTGTTTATCAGAAAGGAAAAAAAAAGACGTTTTTCTTTTCTTTTTTTTTCCCTTCGCTTCATATTTCAATTTATATTTTCACCTTAACATTTGTTTAATGTTTTCAACCCTTCCAATTCTATACAGGGTGTTATATTCTGTGCTAAGGGAATAAATACTTAAAACCAGGTGGATAATAGAAGAAAGGTTTATTGTACACAACAAGTACAATATGAAATATGGTGGAGTTATACACACAGGTCAATCTAGTAGTGAGTGCCACTAATTGGAAGGTCGGACATGCTTGCCTCTTCTCTCTCTCACTCTTACTCAAGTCTCTCGTAAACAGTTGACTTTATAGGTACTTACTACCTATAGTGTAATCATTCATGGGGGTGACTGGTTATTCCCATTTTTCACATGAACTCTTTTGATCCTGATTTCATACTACCAATGTCATAATAGTATCACATTCCTTTCAACTACCACGGTGATAATTTATAGTGTCACATAAATCCATTGTCCTACTTTGTCAAGCTAAAGAGTCATAATATTTTGTATCTCAATGTCTAATGATTAACTGAAATTATTTTTTATTTGTTAGATTTTAGACAAGTAACCACTTCTTTGTGAGCCTAAGAGAATGTTGAAAACTGGACATGTTCATAAATGAGAGAAATAAAAGTGGTGCTAAGGGCCCAGAAATAACAAAAATATTTTAATTAAAAATCAAGGGCATTTGGAAGACATTCTTGTTTTCCAGTTGTAAGCTTACAACTTTAAAAAAAATTTAATCCTGAAAAATCTCAAACCTTTAAATCTTCTCAACTGAAATACAACTGGCAGCACAATTAGGGCAATAAAATTGTCCTTTCTCTATGATGCAAATGTAATTCCTCATGCTCTCATCAATGTGGTGTGATATTTTAATCATGAGACCATCATGCTTGTAAAATTGATGCTCACCCAACAAGATGTCACAATTGGTCAGTCTGTGGATAATTTGTTGTAAAAACATGCTGTGTCTAAAGAAGGATTTTTTGGTAGAATTTCTGTATGTTGTTGATGAATCAGACCTTGATTGATTTTGCATTGATCTCATTTTCTGCAAAATAAGCATCATTTCTGGATCAATTTAGAAATATAAATGATTGGCATAAGTACAACTTTGATGTCAATATCTGGGCCCTATTTTTTGAAAATTTAAAGCCTTTTTTTTTTTCAATAGTGTGATGAGACACACAATGAATTCTTCTTCAATCCAACTGTAATCATTGTTTGGTCCCTTATAACACACTTTTATTATCTGGACAATAGTTTGCCAATAAATGGACACATTTAAGATTCTGATTCACATTTTTGGTAAGAATACATTTTGAAACCATTCCTAGTATTATCATTTGAGCAGAATTCAATAAAAATTCCTCATAATATTGACTTTCATTGTTTATTGCATATCGGTTCCATTTCCTTCATTTATAAACATGTCCAAATATATTCATGGAGGAAATAGAAGAGAATTTAATCTTTTTCAATGAGACATTTTTATTTATGCTCTTTGTTTATTAAAATGAAATAAGTTGACTAAAACTTTATAAGGTCTTTGGTGGTGTTATTATCTATAGTAGTAGTAAGAAATAAATTTATAATTATTTATTTTTTAAAATTACTTATTTGTAAAGGAACACAGTCTAATACAGTAAAAGTTAAATGGCCTCTTTGCTTGGCTTGAGTGTTAGATCCAGATAAAAAAAGCCAAGATTTTCAATGAAGACTTGCTTCAACACTAGCTGAATTTCTTTGGAGAATTTTATCTTGTTATTGTAGGAATGAAGTCTTATTTACGACATCTTGTTGAATATTGTCGAGATAAAGGATACATACAAACCATTACTGGAAGGAAGCGATATTTACCCCACATTACCAGTACAAACATACATGCTAAAGCTCAGGTAAGTAAACACTGACTTATACAAAGTTCATATTGTTTTTGTTTTGTTTTTTTATGAGAATTCAAACCTTACAATATCCAGTTAAAATATTAGGAAATATGACAGTTGATAATTAATTTTTCCATTTTTATCTTCATATATCAGTTGGTTCAAACTTTGTGTTGCATTGTGGAATATCAAGTGATTCATTAACCCATATTTTCCTAGTGTGAGTTTAAACTGACATCATTTTTTTCTTTATATATATTTGTTACCATTTTGTTTAAAATTCATATCTTTATTTCAGTTGAAAATTTGGAAAATTTCCAACATATATCGGTGAATTTCTTACTGATATTGAGAGGTTGTAGGTCAGATATAAAGAGGAACATAATTTTAATTTAAGTCTATTTTTATTTCAGGCAGAAAGACAAGCAGTAAATTCAACAATTCAAGGATCTGCAGCTGATCTTGTGAAGAAAGCAATGATCAACATTGAGAATGAATTTGTACGAGTATTTCCTCAAAGCTCTGTACCCCACAGAATATATAGCCAAGCATTTCAAAGCAAAGGTAATATACATCGTTAAGAGTTTTTCAGAACAAATTCTTTCCAACTCATTGTAGAATGACAAGAATTTGTTCAATTAGTAAGAGATACTTTTTTTTTTGTTTTATTTTTTAACACAATACTTTGACTGAAACATCATTTTTCTCTTGTGTATATTTTATCAAGTCTTTAACATTTTAAGCTGTATATATTTTTGGCAAACTTTGACCTTTGTGCCTGTAAAAAAAAAAATGGAGTGTCAAAAGGACAGTTTTTTCATTGATATCATTATTATTTTAATTACCTTTGCTCCTCGGCGATATTTATTTTAAAAAGCCATTATTAGAATTGTAATAAAACCTAAACAGATTATAGTGAATTTGGATACTTATATTGAAAATTTTTTTTTTTTTTCTTTTTTTAAGAAACAGAGAAATGGCCAGATAGTGTGGGTATTTATTTTAATTTCCAGAATTAGTTGTGTAGTTTTGGGTTGAATTGGCAGGAAATTGGTCTGGTTGCAACAAAGTGTTTGCTAACACTGTCAAAATCTTGTAGCAATAGTAATTTGCCTCGGAATATAGAATAGATATAATAATTGAAATAACACATTGGGTAATGGCTTCTTAAATTACTTGGATTCTTAGACTAAGTAGTTTCCCAACTGATTTTTAATTTGTGATCTTATCATGGCTGCCTATAGAATCACAGACTTTCTTGGTGGAATATTCTCTGACCATGGGAAGTAATAACAAAGAAACAGTTTCCAATGAGTTTTGAGCACCCATTCCATTACTTGTGGATGAAAGGGTTGTCTTTCATGGATAACGCCACAGGAGTAGGAGGGTGTGTCTAGAAAAGACACAAATCTAGTCATATTGTTAATTTTTTGTACAACAGGTAATACTCCCACAAATTGGGTACACATAAGGTTTAAAATGAATTTTTAAAAATTAAAAAGCTTTCTTAATGGTTTCAATTTAGCTTTAAATGAAAGCTAAAGGATTAAATTTACTATATCCAGTAAGCAAATTACTTTGGTGTATTTCAGACAGAAATTATATTGATTAGAATAGACTTACATTTTTATTTTCAGTAAAGTCGATAATGTCAGTCATTTTTTTTAGACATTTGTAAACAAAACTTAATTTTCTGTTTTAAAAATCTTGTAAAAATAAAATATATATATCTGAAATGTTATTTGAGGAAAATTAGCAAATTTAAACTAAAGTTAAGTTAATCTGATTTTAAACAAATATTACTTACTTATAGCATAAAATGTTGTATACAAGCATTTCCTAACCATATGGTCTTGTTTTTCTGATGTGTTAATTGATTTATTGATGGTGGATTGACTGCCGAATGTGTTCATAGTTAACTATGGTGTAGCAGACAACAATTTTCATTATGTTTTTTTTTTCGTAAGTGGTGTGAGGGATGACAACCCTTAAAACACTTGATCTTTTAAGAATAGTTTTATTGGTTTGTACATCCATACTTCAGAAATTCTGCATCTATATACATATATAAAAACAAATCTAAATTCTTTTAAAAATAGTTGGGATCTTCAGATTGTAGTAAGCTTTAAAATATGATTAGTAAATATAGTTTTACTTAATAACAATATTCCATAAGAATCGTCTCATCAAAATTTAATCTTAAACGATTCAAAAACTATAAACTATTCAATTTTAAATTGTAAAAAATTGTAAGAAATGAAAACAAGTCTTGTAAAAATTCATTTTTCATCAGACAATATTGTCTTTAATATATATTATTCATAAAAGCAATTAAAAGTTTCTCTAATTACATAATATTTTAGTTTTATTGTGTTTTTTTATTTTTCAATTCAGACCAGATTTTCAGTAAGACCAGGTATGATTTTGCAAAAAAAAAAAAAAAAAAAAATCAGTGATTTAAATTCTTCAAAAAATTCAGCTTTTAACTAATATAGTCACTAAAAAGTATCTATAAACTTTTCAAACTTTCATAAAATTAAGTAAGGGGGAGAAACACATGTAAAATAAAAAAATATTTTTACCAAAATTTTCTAATTAATTTAATTTGTTTGTGAATAAGTCCTGAAAATTTCATTAAAATCTGACAATTATTTGATTTTTGTAAGAATTTTTCAAATTAATGTTCCTCCTGAAGGAGGTGAAAATTTGCTATGCTAAAAGTTAGTACAACCGCTAATGCAAGAAAACCAAGTTTTTAATCAAAATTTTGAAAGGAGCAAAAAATTTAATTAAATAATCAAAAAAATATTTTGATCCTTCTGCTTAATAATAACAAAGATTTTGATGATAAAACTATGTTTTCATTATGTTTGGAGCATGTTTTCATCATGGTATGCTTTTTTTTTTAGTGATCTCATGGAGGTACCTAGGTAATAGCATTAAATGACTTGCAGCTGTTGTGTCAGTTTGTAATTTTTTTAAATTATTTTCTTGGTAATGTGACTTCTTAAAGATATAAATCTTGGTCTAGTCAATTCTTTGCATCATGGATATTCTATTTTTTTTCTTTTTTTTTTTTTTTACCACAACTATACAAATATCAACTGGATCTGTTAGAATTTTGGTATGCTAAAATCTATTCTTTCAGCCAGCAATTCAGAAAATAATATACCAATGAGTATTCATCTCTCATGGAACACTTTCTCATTGTAGTAAGAGAAACAGAGTCAGAGGTACACACTGATGCTGGGACAAAAACTGAGCATTTTTTACAAAACCTATCTTAAACAAATGATTAGTGTGTGTATGCATATGTGCACTACCAGTTAGTGATAGAAATTCCTTTGGCAGTAAATTGCTGAGCATGTGTCATGCTATGAATTGGCAAATAAATACAACCTTATCTAGATAGATAATCATGAAAAAGAAAAGCAGGTTGGTGACTAAGGAACCATTCCATACATACATACATAAATATTGTTTTTTCAAAATTCTATCTTTTATTTTCTCTACATCTGTAAAATTGTAATATCAACAGTGTATGAATAATTATGGATGCCTCTATATTTATCATGTTATTTTCATTATGTAATTTTTCATGTATAATACACAATTTTTTTTCCAGATTTTAATCCAAAAAGCTTTATTATTATTATACATGAGAACTAAATGTTAACTTTATTTTCCAGTCACATGGATTGCCATATTGAGGAAGATATGACTGAAAGTAATTTATATTTATAGTTTTAAAGTAACTAATGTATAAGAGAAACATTCTAAATAAATTTTATTTTTAAAACCGATATTAAGCACCTTTTAGTCAGGTTCACTGCTGTGTGCGAGCCAAGGAACAAACTGATAAATTCTGTCTCGAAATCCAACATTGGCCATGAAGGCGTTAGATATTGTTCCCCAATTTATGGCCACATCACATTGAAACACCAGTTCCCATATGATCAGTGAAGTTAAACAACATTGTGCCTGATCAATACCCAGATGGGTGACTGCTTGCAAATACCAGGTGCTGTTAGCTTGGGTGTGAGGGTGGTGTAATGGATAATGGCTTGGATTTGTTAATTGGAGAGCTGAGTTTCAATTCCCATTTGTTATATTCACTTATGCACAAATACTCTTGGAAAAGGTATGAACCCACCTCTTCTTCCCACAGATATGGGTTAATTAGTAAGACTTGTATCACTAAACCATTATTATCTCAACAACCAAAAAAAATTCTTATAATTTTAAAAATATTTTTTCTGGCTTTAAATAACCTGCAAAAAATGAATCAATCAATCAATAAACATTGTTCCACTTGTCTTTGTGATTTCCAGTACCTTGAGATATATGTCAGTTGTGTTAATTCCAATACTGACCATTCTTCAATCACTCGTTCAAATTTAGAAATCCTGCTGATTTCCCTCTGCTTGCTTCCTTTAGCATGGATTGAATTTTGGTCTTGCACCAGAGTTGGAAGTTGAACTCAGAGCATCTAACTAATAATGACAATAACTTTGTATTAGTTTTGGACACCTTTTAAAAGCAAAGATGGTCCTGTGTATGATATTATACCGTGTCCACATCCTGGGCACAAAGCTAAATTGCAATCATGGTTTTTTTTTCTTTTCACAAAACAAGTTTTATGTTCTGGGTAGGACATTAAACTACAACCAGGTATAGTATAGGAAGCAAGATGGATTAAAAACTAATTATTTGTAGGAGAAAACTTCACCAACATGCCACCAGCTTATACGATAAGCCTACAACCTATCCGTTTATACCTAGGATGGTGCCTTCAGGAAAAATAATATAGTTTTTCTATATAAACAAATCTATTGGGGAAAAAAAAATAAAATAGACACCTTTAAACTAACAACAAAAATCATAATTAAAACAAACTGTTTATACAAATTGCTATGCTTAATCTACCTGTCCATACAAAAATACCTATAAAATTGCAATATATAAAGCAAACATTTATGAAAAACCAATTCCCCAAAACTACAAATCTCCCTCAGTGGGGGAGAGGGGCACCTGTTTGCTGTGATGTACCTGTACCTGTAACGGCATTCACTTGAGGTGGGTTGAGCCGGCTCCAATATTGGAGTTTCATGGGAATTTGGAATTCACAAGCGGTTCCCAACCCACATGTATAGCACATGAGATTTGATTATAGTGGTGAAGGTTTCGTGCAAGACCAGCCACACTTTTTGAAGGGCCGAATTCAGAGACCTGGTGCACTAAGTGCCACAAGGTCCCCAAACGACCCTCTGCAGGTTTTGAGTTCAGAGTTTTCCTTCACCTAGACCAGTTGCCATCCAAGACTATAGAACCCAGTCTGTCCTGTTATTTACCCATAGCTGGAGGGAGAAGAGGATTCACACCTTTCCCAAAGGTATTAGCATGTAAGTGAATGTAATGGAATTTGAACTTGGCTCTCCGATTCCTCAATCCAAGCTGCTATCCATTACTCCACCGTGTTTGCTGTGATGCCTGGGGAGTGACTCCTGACCTGGTATAAAATGGCCACGAGTTTCCACAACACACCACTTCAGTCCCAACCAGGAATAGATAGATGTGTGGATGGAATAGTCCAATCCAATCTAATTGGCTAGTCACATAGTGGCAAAGGCTGTAGTTGGGATGAAAGGGAACATGGCTATGAATCCTTACACCATACTATACTTGGGTGGATATGGTGGGGGAACGCGAGTGCTCACAGCCACTTTCAACATGTCTGTATAGGCCTGGTGGATCAGAGCAAATGGGATTAGTCTTCCAACCCCCGATAGTGTGCCTTAAGGAACTCTGAGGTAGGTGGGGAGTACAGGTAATAAATGACATGAAAGTAAACGTTTATTCTCACCAATTTCCTTAACTCCTCTAAGAGAGGAATAAAATGCCCAGAACTGTCACTTTTTTTTCACTGGAAGAAATTAAAAATGATGACGTCCTTAAAAACAAAAAAAGGTGTAATGATGTCAAAAAAAGACAAATAAAAAGAAATGGCACATAAATAAACACAAACATACTTTTTGACAGTCAACAAACCTACCCTACTGAAAGAAATAAGTTGGATACACAATATCCAAGGTAGAGCCATATATCCCTAACCCCGGGAGATGTCACAAATGTCAGAAATTTGGCCATATACCAGTCTGTCGAAGATGTGGGGAATTTGAAACTGATCATGAAGAGTCACCCTGTGAAAAGCCCTCCTTTATGCTGAAACTACAAACAAAACCACTCAGTAAATTCTAAAGACTGTAACATCTGGAAAAAGGAAAAGAAAATAAGAATGAAATACATGCAAAACATCTTGTTACAAGAAGCTAGAAAACCGGTCAAAACTAACTCACTTCTAACATCATATGCAAATACTAACAAAATGACATACAAAAAATCAAGAACTTACAACTAATAAATGAATTAAAAAAATAATAGAACTATTAAAATTTAGTATACCATACATAAACCAAATCTCCATAGTCAAAACAAATCCTATTCTGTCAACCACTAAACATAAAGCAGACAAGCAAAAACTCATAACACCCTAATACATAGGCATAATGCCAAAAAATATACAGTGGAATTGTCAAGTCTCAAAAAAAAAATTAGTACCAGCAATACATCTTTGGAAAAAAAATATTACCAGCAATAGATTTGACACTCGACATAAACCCTCTTTACAAAAATATGTCAATGAAACCAGATCTACAAACTGATTTCTTACAAAGACTGCATATTCTATTCATACGAATGTATCCTAAAAATTTTGTCAGCCTTAAATAACTCATTGAGGTGTTGATTTACAGTAAATCAAACCAAAGGCAAAAGTGTATGCCAACACAGCTAAGTGAAGCAATTGATTGGAAATTGTTTTCTCTCATGCCAAGTTTTGATTGGCCAAGACCCTATCAAAATAACAAAACTGTTTTAGACATGTCATTTGTTATAGTGGAACACACCTATTCTATAGTTAATAGACTCTCCCACCTATAATAAGTAGTAGTAGTAGTAGTAATAGGAACGAATCAGTCGTTAAGTAGCTCAGTAAGTTGGACAGTCAGTCGATGTCGGACGACCATTAGTTGGATACTAAAGTATCAGCGACCACCACTAGATTTCTCTGCGTCATTACCTATTATATCAAGTTCCTAATGTTTTGTACGTCGAACCTATTTTAGGACCGACTTAGTAAAATATAAGCCTCCACTGTGAAAACTACTCTACAACACAATTTCAACCTTGCTACTCATGTTGTTCTTCATTCACTCACTAAATAAATTAGATTTTCTTCTGTGTTTTGAAATGTTGCAGATTTCCCTTGATCTGCTTTCTATAACTTCAGCATGGGTAGAAGTTTTGGACTTGTTCTTTTGTGCCAGAGTCAAATATTGCACTGAAAACATCCAAAATGATGACCGATTCCTTATCTTCTGCTTATAAGACTGCCTTCATATGTATAGTGACCATTTGTGCCAAATGGTCACAATCAGCTGTGCAGAGGGAATTTGCTTTGCAATAAATAGCACTTGATTGAGTTTAGGGAAGCATGTTGTGAGTAACTGCCAGTGACCAACAAATTAGAAATATTTTTGGTTCTTTTATAGGCCACATATAATTACTATACTTTGAATTCTTCACTATAAACTGTTGGTTATTAAACACTTTTTGTTGTCTTCAGATTTCTGATGTTTAGTAAGTTTAATTTAGTATAGAACAAGGCCAGATGGGATGGTGAATACTGCATTCTACCAATCTTACAAGTGTGAAGGGCCTGCCTACCTAGAAAATTTGTATTAAAAAATCTGGTTTTGCTTTGGAAATACTTACCTGTGTCAGTTACAAGGCAGTCTCTCTCTCTCTCAACAGATTTACAATTATTAAAATAATTTTCTGCATTTCTTTAAAAATGAGTTAATTTCATTTTTTTTTTTCCAGTTGATCAAAGAAGATATTTTCAGCAAATGAAACTGTTTCCAGAAGAGTCTGTGAATTGTCGGTCAGGGGCTTTCCTCCTCTTGCAGATCCATGATGAATTGCTATATGAAGTAGCCAAGAAGAATTTGAAAACTGCAGCTGCCATCATTCAAAAGGGAATGGAAAGTGCTATGACGTTAAGTGTTCATCTGCCTGTGAAACTAAAATGTGGTCACAGTTGGGGTCAGTTGGAGGATTTTATACTCGAGTGAGTTGTGGTCATTTCACTGGTGCAGAAGACAGTCACTTATGGAAGGTTGGCTTAATAACTCACACAAGTCTATAAATTTTGTAACCAGTGGATTTTTAATTCTAAATTGTCCTTTAATACGTTGAATATCAGTTAAATGTCTTAAAAATTTTTTCAGTTATTTAATGTACGTTAAATTCAACATTGACATAGTTAAAGATTATCTTATATCTATGCATCTATCTTCTGGTATTTAAAACTCAAATGCACAGGCTGGTAAACATAGATTTATACTGATTAAGAAAAAAAAAAAGGAAACAAGGATGTCTAATCAAACACATGTATCCACTAAATATAAATAAACTCTATTAAGTCCTTAAAAATTTATTTATATATATAATTTTTAAGGACTTAATGGATTTTGCTTATATTAACTTACTGATTAAGAGAAAACACAGTAATAAGTTTTAGACTAGTGAAGTTGGTATTAAATCTTGATTTGCAGATTTTATTCAGATAATACAAAATGTACAATTTTATGATTTGTAGAAAACAGCTTTTTAAAGTTTATTAATGCGTCTGTGCAGTTTAACTGATACTTTTAGGCTTTTGACCTGTGAATTGGACTCAAAGGAGGAAGAGTAAAACACCTAAATAAATGAACTTCTACAAATGTGTCCTCTGCTAAGTTTCATAAGCTTATCATGTATGAGAAAGAAAGTGATAAGCTCGTTTATCTGTGATAATATTTGTTTTAACATCACTTCAGTATATTGTTACTATTGGAGGGATTTTTTTTTCTTGCTAATGAAATTTCATGTTCAAATTAAATTTTTGTAGTAATTTTTTTTTTACACGCAGATATATATTGAATATTACCATTATTTTTATTACAACACTTTGTATCAATAAATAATGAAATAACTTAAATGAGAAAAACATTTAAAAATAATATTATTCAAGAATTTTTTTTTTTTAACAAAACAAAACGGCAAATACTACAAATCTGGTCACTATCATTCAGGCTAAAAGCAATGAACTTCTCCCAAATGTTATATTCTATATTTTTTTAATTCAAGATGTGAAATTCTAAAAGTGTGACACGATACAAAGTTTCATGCAAGTTAATATTTTGGGGAATTTTACTTTATTTAAAAATTTCTTAAAAGAGGCATGAAATTAATTATTTTGCATTAAAAATGAAAAAAAAAATCCTGTAATTTATGAGTCTGAAGCAGTTATTGTAATAATGTCATTTTGTATTTTTACTGTTTTCTCATAAGTTGGCTTGTGGAAAAATAAAATTATAAAAATTAAAAATTTTTATGTCTCTATGAAATGAATCCATTCACCTCAAACTTGTATATTATCATCTAATCTTTCATATCATCTGTTTACACCTAAATTTTTTTTTTAAATCTGCAAACCAACTTATAAATAAAAATTGATCTCCAGTTCTGATCAATAAAACGTTTTCATTTTTATGTTTTTTTTTTGTTTTTTTTAAACCTATGGATTGAGTATACAATGTTCATTATTTGGATCTATTTTCATTAACTGAAAGAAAGTAAAGCTTGTTTCAAGCTGTAAAATTTAAAGTATTACCTGAAGAAATTTTAAAAAGTTACATATTTTATCTTGTGCTTTAATTTTTTTATATTTCTTCTCAAATAAGATTGGTTTGCATTCTTCAGAGTACACAAAAATAAGTTTTATTATATATTTAAAATCTCACACAAGAGGATATTAAATTCTTATATTGGTCATACATTCAATTACATTTTTCTCATAGGTTAAAAATGTTACTTATCAAAACCTAGTGCAATTTGTACACACTTATATCAACACAAGACATTATAACTATTAACATTAAATGACGAAACAAAATCCTTGAAGCTATTCAATAGAAAAACCCCAAATTAACCTTTAACACTCTGAATTATACACTACTCTCCTTTCCACTGCATTGTTTTTCAAGGATCCTCTACTGCATTACTTAATTTTAGTTATGGTCATTTTCAGTTGCCATAGCAGGATATGTCAACACAACTGCAAATTGAAACGCACTATCATTCGTTCATCTGAGTCACTTGCTGTGGCAAGATAAAATTAGTTACTTTGCAAACAATCACCTCCAGAATGTTAAAGGGTTAAACAATATCTTTCAGCAGAGTTGAAAACATTTTAAAATGTATTTAAAAATCAATCTCTTTAGTGTTGTGTTTTTTTTTTTTTTTTTTTTATTTCTTATTTTACAAACTTTAAAACATTCTCTACATATAGTGTGGCCCTGTTGCTGCATGCAACTTTTACTTTACTGCTCTGCACCAATCCAGTGTCCACACATTGTGTTTCAGTATCCACAGGAATATTGCTGAAGAACTGTCGAAGATCAGGTTTGACTACTCATTATCCTGGCTCTCTTGGTGAAAGGTTAAAGTCACCAGTGTCGCTAGTAACATTAATTAACTTCGACAACACTCATTAACAAGTGTAAAAATAACATGTATTTATGGTACTATGATTAATAAAATAAAAAACATCACAAATACATAAAAAAATGGGATTTGAAGAAAATTTCTTTGTAAGGGAATTCTTGAGCTGGGAGGAAGAGGTTAGAGTTATGGCTAAATATCCCAGAGTCATTCAACTATTTAAATGAAGGCAGCTGATTGTTTGAAAAAGGGGTATAGAGAACAGGATTTTAGCTGATTAAGTAGTGGCAAGAACAGTTCGATTTTACTTCTGCCCTTTCCACACCTGCTTTTATGGGGGGGGGGCAATTGCACTGCCTTAATTAGCTAGCCAATAATAATGTTTGAACTTGTAGTCACTGGGTCCCTTTTAAAAAGCTTGCTATCTCCAAATTGCTGTGGTTAACAGATGGTGACACAAATATAGTGCATCTTGTCATTTGAGTTGAGATATTAATTCATCCAAAAGACTTGAGAAACTTAAAATGTTACATGCTGTAAAAAATTCCTAGGTTGTCTTGTATTTATGAACCACTGAAGATATTTTCTCAAAGACTTGGCACACCCTATGTATGTGTAAATAAAATCACAAAAAATTCCAATATTTTGTCAGTTGATGTGTGTTGTAACCTAGGGAAGGTTACTGAATAGAATAATCAAACAAAGGTTGGTAATGGACGATAATACTTAGGACAAGAACACATATAAGATTCGCCAGCAGTGCGTAGAAGTAGTAGTCAACTGCTAGAATTGAGTCAAGTGAATTCCACAATGAATCTCCAACTGTGGGATATCTACCAACTGCCTCACACAGTCAGATCTAGCACAAGGCCGAATTTAATGTGGGGTATCTGAGCCTGTAGGCTTGGCTAAAAATTCCCTGTAGACCCAATATAAAATGGGGTCGGGTAGCTGTTTCCCAAGATGAGACTCTGCCTTTTGACATTGTCTGGGGGATCCTCTCTGCCCGGAGGCTGAGGGTTTGATGAATCTCTAACTACAGACCAACATACAGTATTTACTACTGTATTTATGTGCATGGGGACATACCCATTATCACCCATAGGTATGCTACAACAATGATTGGAAGTGGTTCAAACCAAGAAATATGCCAAAAGTGATGGGTAAATGTTTAGCATTATGGAGGAACTCTTAAGCCCAACAGTGTAGAGCAACTTGAGGTGGGATTGATTTCACAAGTGGTTAGAAGACCTTTGGAGAGATATCATTTTAATATTTATATGTGCAGAAACTTTGTATGCAAATAGACTTCTCCACCAAATTCCATAAATCCTTCATTGGATTCATTACAAATGAACATGATAGCCATACCATTCATTGGAAGTCTCAAGAATGCTCCTCAAACCAGTTCTGGGCAACTTTGACCTGATGACACAGTTCATTATCAGAAGTGATAATACGCTGTCATCAGAAAGGTGCCTAGTATCATAATGTACCTGTCTAACTCGGGCAACAATTTGATATGACTCCACAAATGGTCAGAGATCTTTGGAGAAATGTTTAACCATGCCATCTTGATAATGAACTATAGCTACCAAATATTTGAAGGTCCAGGAATTTGCACGTGAATAGACTTCTTCACTACATCCCTCAAGTTTTTCATTGGGTTCATTACAAGTGAATGTAGGGACTACACTATTCATTGGAAGAAGGCCCCTCAAACCAGTTCTGAGCAACTGATGATGTTGCATTATCCTGTTGGAATAACCCATTTCTGGTGGTGTACATGGCAATGGTAATATTAGTTTCCTTACAAGGAAACATTCAGCATTTATTGACTGAGCAGATGGTGCTATTTTCAGTTGATATTTAGAAAATCTCTTAAACAATCTTCCAGAAAAATAGGTTTCTCAAGTCCACTGTTATTGCTTTCTAATATTGATGATTATATTGTTATTTTCTCACATTACACGTTCTAACCATGTTTAGTTGTATTTGCTTTAGAAGTCCTCATGTAATGTGGTTTCTGTTATCTCGTACAGTTCTTTGTGATACTGCTGCACGAATTCACTGATGGATCTCACTAAGACCTACACGCTTCATTAGCTCAAAACCATTTTTAATAATTGAGCTGAGAAAGCAGTTGTTTACAGCTGATAGTTTAGATAATTCTGAACAAGTTTGGTATGAATGTCTTGATCTGACAAGGCTATTTAAGAACATAAGGTTCTAGGTTAATGTTTTGGTTTTGAAGCAACTTGCGGCGTTGGGAGAAACTACTCGTAGCACAGTCTTTTCTGTACTAAATTTCTCATCTAGATGCCAAGGTATTTGAAGTGTTTAGTATTTGCTAATTCCAAATCCTGAATTTTTATGATGGATTCAGGGTATATACCGTCATTACTTTCATTCCAGATTCACATCATAGTTTCTGTTTTAGAAACGTTTATTTTGATTCCAATTTCTTGTTAAAGATCATTTTTATCCTAAGAATACCTGTCATCAGCTTACCCTCCCAATACATTGGCCTTGGGAGAGAAAGCAAGAATGCTGTTTTCTATTCCAAGAATAGGTACAAGTGGTCATG